TCAGCCAACCTTTACTTCTGCAGTTTGTAAACTCATGTGTTTTACCTATTGTACTCTATTGCTCTCCATTAATCTTTCCTGGGCTTCTCAAAAAAGACTATATCATATTACGAAGGGTATTAAATGCCATGAATATAGCTTGTGGTATGCCACTGCGTGAGCTCGCCAATATTACAGTAGAGAGACACATAAATTCCTGTACAAAATGGGCAAAGGCCGTACTGTCAGTCCCTCTGCTTTTAGGTTAATGACAGCTATTACAGCTGTATCTACAGCTAACTGTATGTTATACCAGGCTACCTCAGGAGTAGTCCTGCTGATGACCTCAGATAACCGTTTCGCTGCCAATCGGACGAATGAGAACCACCCCCTATCTGTGAGACAGCGCTCTATTGCTTAGGCTGTTGAGTTTGAATGACTTCCCCCGAAATAAAATAAAACAGAAGTTGAAAACCCCCTAGAATTCAGAGCTTGAATATAAACTCCCTGAATGCAAGTACGTATGAGTTCGCTACTTTAGAAAAGCATCTGACTGCGCATGTTAGAACAATAGTATGGATATTATTAAGTTTTCGCTTTTCCTCCACATATTTCAAACACTTTGATTTTTGAGCCCAACTCCTGTTTTGGAACCTATGCTTAAAATTATCCCTTTATTCACTAACATACACTTGAACTAATCGTCAGTGTAGAACTCCATGACTAAAACCTCTTGGTAAAATACAAACAGATGAGCCCCATGTTTGTTGTATGTTGTTCACTTTGAATTATTAACGGTTTTTAGAAACTTTTCACCCCTATTTTGTAGTCTTCTTTTGTCTTCTCTTTTCAATGGTACTGACTTTGACAAAAGCATTAGTACAGTGATGCTGTCATCTACGTCAGTGTTGCTCAAATAGAGCGTTGAGATCACTAGCACCTACACTTTGCAGTTATTCGGAATATTACTAGCACACTCGGTGAATAATGGAACCACCTTCGTCATGAAATTTGTTGAAATGTTCAAAGTTGGTCTCAATAATGACTGCAAAACGTCACAATTATGGTGTACTTACCGGTGACTTTGAAATTTATTGGATTTTAGAAGACTTTATGAGTCATCAACTGATAATTATCGTTCATTTTGCATCTCTTGTTTCACTACAGCACCCCCCTAATAAAATGCTACTTACCTCCCACTATTAACGTAATAATTTATAATTCCCGCGTTAAATTGACATCCAGTAGGTATTTTCTTCAGCTAAGATTTAGATTTAACGCTATATCTTATAACTTATTCGGTCGAATCATATTTCGAAAATCGGTTGTCTACTTACTTGTACTTATTTTAATACTGCTACCATGAGGTCAGTGTTCAGCATAAATTTGAATTAGCCAATCAAATCATATATTCTATCAGTTACAACTAGAGTACATGTGTCCATGCCTGCAAGAATGGCTTGTTTCTGTTCCAGAAAACAAAATCATTATTGTACACTGTAAACGTATGTTATCAACTAAGGTCGAAACGCCTCTTTATTTACTATCTTCCGCAATTCTGTTTCTAACAAGATGCTATCTTATCTGTTTTTTCTTGGAACATTCAGTCACCTCTAAAATAACTAACAGTCACGCGAAGAAATATCATTTACCTAAACGATGATTGTTCACTGGTTGATTAAAACCACGTGCAGTAAAGGAAACAAAGTGTGGGTTTCCTCTCAACGTTGATGGCGACCTTGGTGACAGCTCTACAATCTATCGATTGTACTGACTTGTTCTGACAGCTTGCATTATAACTCAGCTGTTGAGGTAATACTAATTAATTGAAATTCTCCAGTTGAAATTTGTGCCATGTTTGATCGTGCCTGTAGAAATGGCATGCATTTCATGTAAGCTTAGCCGTTTATATGAAATATAAATTATCACCACATGTCCGACTTGTCCCACACAATCCTGACAAAAAAACAGCACAGACAACAATCTTTTTGCAGAACAGACAGTCTCTATATGACATGGGTGACCATCAAGATGATGCATCAGCATTTGTATATGCCATGCCAGTTCGGTGCATGCCTTCAAAATCATTTCCGAAGATATGCCTGCACCTAGCCGTCTGGCTTTCAGAGTGTTTAAAATCTTGTAACCATTGAAGAGCGTCATGATTTGTTCCAAGCGCAAAAGATTTACTCAGTAGGTAAGTCCTACACCAACAAATGAATGTAACAGCGACCAAAATCGCCTTCCTAGTGATGAAGTAGCTCTTTTCTGCTCGCATCAATGTGCAGCTACCGTATTCTGCAACATGCATATTCCCATCAATGCTGAGGCAATACAGCTCCAATGGCTGTCTGACTAGTATGAGTGTTTCAAATATACTTGCCAAAGGTTGAGAGTGTTTCTGGGAAGATTGAAGTAGGTGGTGAGCACGATAACTCTTTCAGGAGATTGTAAGAACGGTTACAGTCCTTCGTCCACACCACAGAAATATTCATTAGGGTTTACTTTGCAATTGTCCAGCAATTTTGGAATCATTTCTCATGAAACTACAATAGCTAACTCGGGAAAACTATGCGGCTCACTTTCACACTTGTATGGGTCACTGTCTAACGGCTGTAACTTTTTCTAGGTCGCTTTTTATTCCGCCTACGCTGAGTGAGTGTCAACAGAGTGTTACTCCTGTCCACAACTGAAGACACTTAGAAGGCTCCATCCTGGATCCTACTTCCAAACGCCCCCAGACTATCCATAATGTATCCACGTTTTCCTCAGCGTTGTAACTGAACACTCCGATGTTACCTAGATATACCATGCAAACATTTAGAATCAGCCCCTTACCTACCGTTTGAAATGACCTTTGAGATATTGCTGGTGTGTTGCTTAAGCGGAAAGGCATTGTCCAGAATTAAGATAACCTGGTAGGTGTAGTGAAAGCATTCCTGGGCTGATCAAGAGGATTCACTTCAACATTCCAGTATCTGTAAGCTAAATCAATGGTTGAAAACCAGACGGCTTTTGCTAATGCTTCCACCAATTAATCGATTCGCGGTAAGGTGTAAATGTCTTTCATTCAATTTTCTGTGATCCAAATATAAACAAAGTGATCCTTTTCCCTTGTAACCAACACTAATGGGGAAGCCATGGTGCATCTTATGGTATAGTTATCTTTTTATGCAACTTTCCCCCTTTTATGTTTTCCAACTGCTGGCAGAAAATAAAAAGCAAGGACGGGGTATTTATTTTATCAACGTACAACCTCCAGTGTCAATGTGCTGCTTTGTAGTTGTTGTTCTCCATATTCACTCGCCTACGAAATAACCTGTGAAATATTTGACATCAGCTCGCATATGGCCTCTTTGGGTCCAACGAGAACCTACATTAAAATTTATCCCATCATGGCCATGTCAACTGCATTTGCACTCAACCGCAGATGTGTGGTATTGTTGTCTGATTTGAACCGTAAATTGGGGTCTGACAAAGTAATCGTTTGAAATTAAATATCGATAGGGGCCTCATAGATGCGTAGAGAATTGTAGCCCACACCTATGTTCCATGCAAGTTCCCTAGCTACCAGAAAAGGGTATCACATGCTATCATTTCTACCTTCCTGCATGATTCTTAGAGCCCTGATTACTTCCATTCTCCAATTATTGGTCACTCAGTGTTGTGGGTAGGCGGTGGTTGTCACCAGTTTGCTGCTATAAAGTCTACCTGATACCAGAACCTACCAACCCAAAGAGTGTTTAACCCTCGAATTTTGATAAAACTGTCGTTAGCTGATTAAATACTCATGGATCCCCTGATATCTGGATAACACTGGATATAATAAGCAGAGGCTCTACGTTTTCCCTGGTAATGCGAGAAATCGTTTGGCTCACCATCGGCTGTGGTTTCTTAGAGAGCATAATACAGCATTAGGTCGTTGTTCCCGCCAAACTGTTGGACATACTGCCGGCACCGCTCCTCTAGCAGTGCAAACCACTCACCTGGGACAGAAGTGTCCGGTACCGCAAACTTCACTTTTATTTTGCTCCTCTCCGAACGTCCTTTCTTGTCAGTTGTCACTAATGACGTTTTAACCGAAATTGCAACCTCCTGTATTAAATCTGCCTGAGGCCTATCGATCGATGGGATGGACGCACTTAACGACTGCTCTGCCGACAGTTGTTTCGCTTCCTCACCATTTGCGGATGGGCATAGATGATCAGCAGACCCCAGATTCTTGAAATCTCGTCTCGATTTTGACGGTATTTCCCATCTCTTAGTCATTCATCTAACACCTTGGAATCGACACCTGAAAAAATGCAAATATTGCCGTGAGAGCTGGCTGCTAGCCAAATCGGTAGACAATAATTTACGTCAGTGTTCACATCCCCAATATTGGTCGTGAGAAAAATAAGAACGAAAACTGATTGAACATTTAGCCAGAGCAGACTTTGCTCAGGCGGATACAATTAGCAGATTGATTATCTGAAATTCAATAAACAGAGCCACAAAGAGATGAAAGATTGACGTTCGGCGAGAAACAACCAATCAGGAGACTGTGTTTGTCTGCTAACAATAATCTATAATAATGTACATGAAAATCTATAAATATGTGTTGATTTCCTTAATAAACTATCTGTTGACTGGCCCTTGTCTTCTGTTTTTACAATACTAGTAATTGTACAATGCTGTAATCAGTTCTTCTCCTAACCAGTGCCCACCTGTTTTATATTCTAGTCATTATTTACTCACTGTACAACCAATATGTAATAAAGCTTTTCAGTAAAAGACTATCTATCTTCATCAGATAATATATTTGTGCATTTACATATTCAATTATGGATCAGTATATTGTGAATAAGAATAAAATAAATGAACATTGGTTATTCTTTCAACCAAATAAAAAAACAAACTAAATCATTAAAAGACGTACGACTTTTTCTTTACTTGTTCATTTTTAAAATGTTAAAAAAATGTAAGTGACTGTTAAATATTGAAAAAGTAAGCATAGGGTAAAACGAAATAGCGGAAAATTATCTTTACTAATAAAGTCGGTAACTATGCATTTACTCTGTGAAGAGAAGACATACATCATTATAAAGTACAGTATTCTTTTAATGCAATAGGACGGTTAAAGTCATGAATTATCACATACGTGTATAGCGTACATTTTGAGAGAAGATAAAATGCAGAAAGAAACTAAAGATAGATAGACAGATAGATAAGTAAGCTGCCGCATAACTTTGTTTACTTTTTAATTATTGGAGGTAAATGGATTGGATTGTATTTCCGTTTAGATTTTGAATGTTGTCTCTTGTTCCAAGTCATCTCATTATTATGATTGTCAGTTGATTTATTCTTTTTCAGATTGAGAAACTGACAAAAAAAGGAGATACAAAGTGTTTGTTCTTAATTAAAACAAAGTTTGCAAAGAAGATTTTTACAAAAAATTGACATCATTCATTGAAGCATTAAAATGTGGGCTATTAATTAAGCTCGTGTAACACAACTATGCTCATATAGTGATCCCCTAGCTAATAGTGATTAGTAACGAAGCTGTGGTGATTGACAATTTCTATCTCTGTATTGTTTAAGTACTTACGGTTGATTGCTAATATGTTTCATATATGAATTGCATTAGAATTCCACTAAATACAAATTCCTGAATTCCGCCCTCTCTGTGTTTTGTTTGGATTCTTGTAGTTCGGTCATCTCGAAATACTAATACTACGATTACAATAAATTACTACGAATTGGCGTCGCGATGGAACTAAATAACCTTGGAAAATTCCCTATAAATGGTTCTCCGTGGAAGATTGCTGATTATTTTGAATGCTTCAATGCGTGGTGCATTTCCAAGAATGTTCGTGATGACAAAATACCAGCACATTTCATTACTGCTATTGGGCTAGATGCGTATAGCCTAGTGAAGAATCTGGCGTTTCCAGATAAACCAATTTCTCTGCCATGTGCTAAGCTCCGTGAACTTCTGATAGATCACTTCCATATAACTACTTTTGAGACGAGAGAGAGGGCTCTATTCAACAAACTGGTTCGTGCTCCCAACCAGAAGATTCGAGAATTCATTCTTCAACTTCAAATACAAGCTTCAAAGTGTAACTTTGGAGATCAGCTGCATACTCAACTACGTGATCGTCTAATTTCTGGAATCATTATTCCTAAGTTAGAGAAAGAGTTAATTCAGATTCCTTCTTGTACCTTTCAAACTGCTAAAGATTTATGTATTACATATAAAGATGTCAATAATGAATACTCTGCTCCCACTACGTCAGTATCTGATGTTATGCTTTCTAAAGTCGAAAATACAAGTGTTCATGGAAAGCAATCCAAACTGCCATCCACAGGTAATAGAATGCAGCCAGAGATCAAAAACATTAAACCGTGTTTTTCCTGTGGAAAGTTACATCTACGAAGCACTTGCCGTTTTCGGAGTGCTAAGTGTCACAAATGTGGTAAAGTTGGACACATCAAGACTGTTTGCAGAAGTTCGAATACTTATGCTGCTCAACATTCTTATAATTCTCACAATCTGTCTAGTAAAATGGAGTCAGTGTGTCATTCATCTTTTCAAAATACCTAATGTCATCCAATGAAAACCTCCACTACAAGTTCAGCAACTCAAGTGTCAACTGTTTTCAAAAATGTGGTAGCCGAGTTACAATGCGAACTGTCGAAAACACGAAAAAACCTGAATGAGATGAGAGAGCAACTGATTAAAATGGAGGAATTGTTGCATATGCATAGACTGCGTCTGTTGAATGCATTGAGACCACCTGTTCCACTCAGAACAATTATAATATAATATATATTATGCCACAGTGTACAGAATAATAAACAAAGTATTAAGTAACTCTGAGTTTAATCGTTTAACGGTGAACGTTTCGCTGTCAATGTAGGATAAATTTAACAATACTTACAGAATGATGAGTATTCACAAATTTATTAACAAGTTGCATTTGTTTATCAAAATTTATAATATAATCTGGAAATAAACTTTCTTCATTGAAATGACTTGTAACAGCTATAAGCAAAAACAGAAAAAGTTGAGAATTAAAATAAATTAATTTAAGAGATTTTCTAATTTTATTATGAGTTAGATGAAAAATAGAACACATAAAGAAAGTGGAAACACGGTGAAACAATAAAGTGCAATAAATAACCATATATAATAATAATAATAATAATAAGTATCTTTAGACTAACATGTTACACCAGATATGTTCTCTTGGAAATTCGATATATTCTCCTCTACGACTTCTAAAAGAACAGAAATTAAACGGAAATAGATTACATGCTTTCAGGAAGAGGAAGCGAAACTTTCTCTTGTTGATTTGGATGGATGGAAATATTATAATCTCTAAGGCTTGATTGATCAGTGGACAATAAATAATGTTTGCAATAACTTCTTCAGTTTCTGCAGTTATATCGCGTTATAAGGGAGTGTTATTGATCTGTATTTGTCGTCTAACTTGATTAAAATGTTTCCACAGACACGACATGACAACCTGTTCATCAATGTGAAAAACAAAAATATGCTCTCTCTCTGTCGACATTGAGTCATTATTTACCAACGTTCCACTCACAGAAACTGTCTATCACATTTGTCAATACATAGACGAAAATCATCTGAACAACGGATTACCGACGACTTGTTTAAAAGAACTACTGCTGAGATGTACACTCAATGTACAATTCACATTCAACGCTGTTATTTACAGACAACAAGATGGGATCGCAATGGGATCTCCACTGGCTCATTACTAGCAGATTGCTTCATGGTAAACCTCGAGAATGGTTCACACAAATCAATTATTGCCAATTTTCAATTGTATGTTGAATATGTGGAAAATATCTTCATTATCTGTGATGATGGTCACGATCTCAATCAGTTACTATGTGGTGACTGACAATTTCTATCTCTGTATTGTTTAAATACTTACTGTTGATTGTTAATATATTTCTTATATGAACTAAATAATAATTCCGCCAAATGCAAATTCCTGAATTCCGCATTCTCTGTGTTTTGGTTGAATTCTTGTAATTCGGTCATCTCGAAATAATAATACTACTAGTACAAAAAATTACAACATACTACAAATATTCAACAAATACCATCCAGCTACAAAGTTCACTCTTGAAATTGGAAACGAATCTAAAATCCCTTTACTTGATGCTGAACTCACAAGGAGAGCGGACGGAACTTTAAGAAGGTTCATCCATGGGAAACCCACATGGAACGGTCAGCTAACCAGCTTTTACAGCCGAGTACCAATCAGTCGAAAAAGAAACCTAATTAGATCTCTTGCCACTCGCGTCAAACAGAAAATCCAAAAGCAAGAGACACCATCCGTGCCAAAAAGATACTTTATGTGAACCTTGAATTCAAAGGTGACCTACTCAGTGATGTCCTTAGGAGGAGAATTTCGGCTTCTTTAAGAAGAACTTTCTTTGTGGCAACATTGAGAGTAGTGTTTACCGGTCGCCCGTTGATCTGCAGAAGCTAAAAGGACAAAACCCTTCACACCTGACCACTTCTATGTGTTTATATCATTTCAACTGTTGCTGTGGAGCCAGGTATATCGGTCGTTTAACGCGCATCCTGTCAAAAAGGGTCAAAGAACACTATCCAGGGTGGCTGCGGAAAGGAAGTAGTGGCCGTATAAGGAGTGCAATAATTGAGCATCTCGTCAACACTGGTCATTCCATCTCAACAAACGCCTCCTTCAAAGTAATCTACAAAGTGAAGAACAACGTTCCAAAGCCAATACATTTCCGTCTTCTTTGCATTGCAGAAGCCCTAGACATTCATTTGGAAGAACCAGAACTATGCATACAAAAGAAAATTATTCAACCACTTCTACTCTTTTGTATGCTTATTTTTCTAACTAATTAAAACCCTTGCGTAATTCCGTACGTTATTGTGTTTTCATGTTCACCTTGAGCACAACTCTTTCATCAAACTATTCACATTATTACGCAACTCTTCTTTAACAATCGTTTGTGACAACTCATCAATTTTGTTACTACCCTCTTATATCAACATCCAATCCATCTGAACTTACTAATTGTATTTTCGTTTGACAAATTTAATGTACACACACACATACAAAACAACCATATATATTTGCTGTTGTAGAGCTATGAAAATGAATTCGCCGGAAAGAGACTCTTCGCTCAACTACTGATCTTCTGTCTATTAATGTTCGAATGGGAATTTTTCATGAACATAAAAATATTCCCGACACTGTGGGAGACACAAAAGTAAGATTTACTGTGGCGACAACAACAACTTTTGTTGTTCAAAATACATAGCATATGTGTAAATTTTGAAGACAAGAGACTTGGTAATGGAATATTTATTTGCAGTTTAGTATGTCTATGTGACGAAATTATGTACACCTTATCTGAAAATCGTCATTTGCACAGATCTTTTGTGTTGTGGTACTTGTGCCCCTCGTATTGCGTTTCTTCGTCTTCTTTTCACGTCTCCTAGGTATCTTCATAACGCGCAATCATTTGCTTTTTCTTACTTCAAGTCAGTCTCCCTGTTATTTGATATTTTTATTGCCGATGAACATCTCTTTATATATAAATATACTACTGACAAATTTTATCAGTAGTACACGCCACACTCGTCCCTCTTTTAAATAGTTCCAAACAAAGCCGCTCCGACCTTCTTAGTTCTACCTCTCCCTGGTGTACGTTGGTCCGGGCTTCTCAGTCCCACTGTACCCATTTCTTCAATTGGCTGATGTTAAATCGTTTCGGCTTATTTCCTCTTTTGTTGGTATAAACGGGACCTGGCCTCTCGGAGATAGTGTATAGGCCTTCCCACTTCGGAAGGAGTTTCCGTGAACCTAGTCCAAATCCCACTGCGTCCTTCCTTTCTCTCCACTTCACTTTGATCGCCAATCTCAAAAATTATGCATCTCAATTTGTTCTTTCTGTTCAGATTTCTCAGCTTCTTTTTCCTGGTTACGCACTTTACATTCCGTCTGCAGTCTCGTCGTATTGCATTCATGATGGAGGGGCCAGGTTATATGCTGTGTCTCGGTAGTAGCTGTTTCCTCTCATACATCAACTTAAACTGTGACTTATTTGTTGTTTCTTGGGTGGAAATATGATGTGCTAGTAGAACTAATGGATGCTCTGTCTCTCATTTACCTCCCTTCGAGACCAGCCAATCCTTAACTGTACGGTTATTTCTGTCTTTTACACCATTCGTCTGTGGATGATATGGTTTTGTTCTGATCTTCTTGATACCCATCTGTTGCAAAAATGCCATATATGTTATTTACAAAATCTCAGAAATAGAAGCCACAAATAAACCAATTGAAAACTGTTCAGTAAGGTTATCGCATCAATATATGCATAAATTATGAACGACTTCGTGTCAAATAAAAAAGCTTGTCCGTCCTAACACTTCCTCCCTTTTGTAAACAAGTTTTTAATTGGACGTCCTTCTGAAGATACTTTGTAGGCATATGCTTCCTCCATCTTTGATATATCCATAATATTTAGCGATTTTTTGTCATTGACAACATTATCTTTTGGTCATATGATATTGAATCACTAATATGTAAGGTTTCAAAAGCATCTATATGTAATAATATGCATAAATACAACACTAAATCGAATATCAGATAATTTAGGGAAAATGAATCTATAGATTCCACATCAGGCCAGAATAGCAATAGTAGATGATACTGTTTCTTTTCCACGCAGGACTCCGGTTTTTTTTCAAGTGAATTGCAATGGCTTCTGCTGTACTCGATAAATCATTAAAAAAAGATTCTTCAACTCTGCATTCATAAATAAGGCGAAAACAACAGGATTTACTGAGTAAGCTGATACTATAGTGTACATTGAACCTTTGAACTTTTGTTCCAATGTACTCACCCACTTTTGGCACTACTTCAGCTTTTGATTCGTGACTCTCCTGTACATACATACTTGGTTCGCTCTCTCGTTGTGCTTTCATTCAGCGCACTCTTCGAGCATACCACTAGTCAAGGCAGCGGATAAGTTGTATAACACGTTTATTTATTAAATTTGATATTTCATTTGCGTAAAATACAACTCCGCTTCAGACACACTTCCCATATCAAGTCTTTTTACTTTGATTTGGTTCGTCAATACTTACACGTTAGGTAGAGTACTGCTAAGGTTATAAGGCCGTGAAGTTTTTGGTAAGTGTGGTTATTTTGAGGTCTACCTTAAGTCTAGTCTAACACTTACTATACCATCATTTATTTCGTTGGTTTCTCATCAGCTGTATACAGTTTAAAGAAATCATTATTAAACCTATGTATAAAACAGTTTTAACACAGAGTTGCAAAATTTACATGATGTCAGTTGACCGGAGGCTCTAAACTTAATGAACACTGATCAGAAAATTGTATCTATATACTATTTACTCAGGGAGACAAGCGAAGTTATACTATTTAAAAAAAAGAAAGGTCAAAGCTAAAGATTGCGTAGTCAAATGACCAGTTACCAGGTCAAGGAAAGATTAATAATTGCTTCCTTATGAATGCATAAATCGGGTTTCACTTATGGCCTGTTCCAATAAGGTGGTTTATACCTGAAGGTGTTTGGTTCGATTCCTGATTGGTTCGTGGGTGAGTACTACTGAAGAGTCCCAAGCAAGGACGAAACAGGTGTTCAGCGCTCCCTGGTTTCCAACAGTCCTTGAAGTAAAGTAAGTTTGTGATTGAACTTTGCTATTGAACTGTTGATAGTTTTTGCCAGACTTTTATTCAGTCACACTACTAAGTATTCTTGAGTATAAAAATCTAAGCACCTAGGAAAATGGCCAGTTCAACAATAATGTTGTTATTCACAATAATTCTTCAATTATTATGAACCTATACCTATAGACACTGATGAAGAAGTTATTGAAAAGACAATATTCTTTGTTCAGTAATCGGTGTTTTGAGAATTTCTAATGATTATTTTTAACCAATTAAATTAGTGCCTGCTGATATGTATCCTAGTGAGATAAAAATAATCGTTGACTATATAGACAGTGAGTAACTGTAATCAGTAGGCATGTTAGCTGGACTGAATTTTCACCACCCCAAACCCCCTCCACCACCACAGTATGAGTAAGAGTGAACAATTTTCAGGGGTTGACTTTACTTAAATCCAACACTTCTCTAGGGCGAAAAATCCTCATGGTTGACTTTGTAGTCTTCTGAAAGAAATGGTTTACTGCTAGCTATTATACCACCATTCACCAGCAGTTGTACGTTTCTCTAAGACTGTATGGTGCCGACTGCTTTTATTCTATTTACTATCCAATAAATCTGTCTTTCTTGCAATGATAGGATCAGCAGGTACATTTGTTCCAGCCAGTTTAGGTTGTTCAATCACCGTGATATACAATCTTGAATACTAAGCAAGTCATGAATTGACTTTTTATAGTTTAGAGAACTAAGTCACTTATCCATCCATCAGAATACGAATTTTGTATACACAAAATTAATAATTGAGAATTCTATGATTTCAAGTATTGGTTTTGTAGGGATTTTGTTTGATTGCATGGAGGATTTAATCATGAGCTGACATCAGTTAGAGAACCACTGGAAAACCTGGGAGTACTGGACAGCTGTTTCGTCCTAGTTTGGGACTCTTCAGCAGTACGCACCCACCGGGATTCGAACCCAGGAACTTCTGGTTACAAGGCGAGCTCGTAGACCATTGAGCCACTGGGACCCGATCCAATGGTCCTTGAATTCTAACTTCCACTGGACCATTGGATCGGGTCCCAGTGGCTCAATGGTCTACGAGCTCGCCTTGTAACCAGAAGTTCCTGGGTTCGAATCCCGGTGGGTGCGTACTGCTGAAGAGTCCCAAACTAGGACGAAACAGCTGTCCAGTACTCCCAGGTTTTCCAGTGGTTCTCTAACTGGTGTCAGCTCATGATTAAATCCTCCATGCAATTCTATGATTGGCCTGAAATACTACTATTTCCTGTCTAATTATATTTTGCAATTTTTTAAACTTTTCAAGGTTAGTTCATTATGTTCAGTGTTCAATGCTGAAGAAATAAAAGTTTGTCTTCCAGCTATACAAAACTTATTAAAGGCAAAGTTTCTGTAAACAGTAATTTACAAGACTCCAGATGGCGATATCGAAATTCAAATGGGTGATGTGAATGCAAAACTTGAGACACTTCATATCCATACACACGATTTGAAAATTTCATCAATCAAACAAATGATCTAATTCTAGTCTGTGGGCAAGAGTTATTCTCTTATAATAATTAATATTCCTTTGGGTTCCAAGAGGAACTTAGGGCTTCTTTAGTACATCCGCATTTCACCCAGCCCTCTGCAGCCAATTTTAGCTGACTCCACGATTGTCCATAAGTCCTTGTCTCCTCTTCTATGTCACTGTTGAGCGTTTTCCATTCGCTTTCCATTTGAGGGCCTGGTACCTGATGTCATTCAATGGTCTCCTCAATGTGTTTCCACTTAATCTTCATTTTATTTGGAATGTTACTGACTTAATTAGTGGATGGTGACTAGCAGTGGAATCCAGAATGCGAATTTCGTCCTACTTGGGACTCGTCACTGGATGTACCTGCATTCCTCAGTCACTGAATGATAATATTCCCACCGAGGCTCAAACCCAGTGCCCATAGTTTCAAACGCCAAAGCGTTATCCACTAGACCACTAACTGAATGCCCAGACGTCGTAGAAGCATCTACTCAAGAAGCCGACATGTCAACCTGAGACCGAGCACTTCAGTCCAATCAATCCACGGGGAAATCTAAAATTCAATTAAATGTTATTGACTGTTTCGCTCCCAGAGTTTCTTGTTGTTAATTCTTTCTGGGAATTCGATTTTCAATATGTATTGAAGATAGTAGTTGATAAAAGCCTGTAACCTGTTGGAAATACGCAATGAGATTCTCTGACTCATACAGAAGAGCTGATTGAAGTACAATTGGTCTCTTGCCTTTCTTCTCCTGCTCTTGGCATTTGCATCCGTGTCACCTGTAACTGAAACGATGCCACTTGGCGGGATAAGTGAAGGATGTGACCTCTTGCAAACTGCTTCCATTGATAGTGAGTGCTGTTTGCGGTTGTTGTTGTTGTCGCTAGGTGGCTGGGTATCTTCATCACCCCTGTCTCCTGTATGCTTACTTGAAGTCTTGGTCTTCACCGTCTGCTTCTTACAACAATTTATTCGTTTTCATCTGTAATTCTTCTAGCTTATAGCATTAGACGCGAACCGTTCGCGAAGTCCAGATCTTCTATAGTTTTGTTTTTTATCAGCCAGTGCAGTGTATTCCTATCTTCTCGCTGTCCACTCACAATCTGTTGCATGATCTAGTCTACCACAATTAGGAATATCATGGGTTATAGTTGACAGCCTTGTCTTACTCCTGTCTTCACTTCAAAGACTGTGTTGAGTTTACCTCTGTGGATCACTTAACACGTGATTGATAAAGGCACGGGTCGCTCAGTAGTGTTGATGTAGTCTCCTAACTACCACACCACGGTCAAAGATGTTGAAGGCTATGAACTACAGTGATTCAGATCTAACCATCTTCTACAAATTTATCACTAGTATCTACAGTATCACTGAGTAAAGCAGTATCGAGGATAACTAAAACACCTGAATAGTTCTTATGAAGTATTTTTTTTTGCATTCCTTCACGTTCCCAGTGGAACATAGGGCTTCAAGATAGAGGCTTGAAGTTTCTGTAGCAGTTGTGTTTATTTTTACAGGATGAGGTTGCTAGCCCCATGCTCAACCTTTCCTCTTTACCAGCATTTGTTTTCTGGTTTAGCGAGGTAAAGGAGTGAGTCGGTGGCCGGGGATCGAACCTCGGACCATCTGCATGGTCGGTGAGCATCCTATCCGCTGTGCCACCGATAGCTGAATGGTCTACGAACTTGCCTTATGACTGGAATGTCCTGGAAAGGTTTTAAAATTTTAAGTTTAAGTTTGGTTAATTTTTGTTTGCCCTTACACCCCCCAAAGTCTGTGTCTTGTCTTTTTCTACCCCACGCTCCTTGAATTCCCCATCCTTGCCCCCTTTTCCCCCCCACTACAACTAACCCCACCCAAAAAGGGTAGGTTTTTTTTGGGGGACCAAATAAAAAAAAAAGGGGGAAAATTTTTTTAAAAAAACTTTTTTAATTTTAATTGGTTTTTGGAAAGGCTTCTGATTGGTTGTTTCGGGATTCCTTGACAAACAGAGTTCTCTATCTGCGAATCATATTTTGCCACGTTAACTTTGCTGTGATTGGTTGTTGACTCAGCCTTGTTCACGGCCCGTATTAGTGACCTAGACCTTAACGTAGATTAGTGCCAACCAATCGGCTAGCAGCCTGCTCTCACCACACTGGGTTCGAAACCCAGTGGGTGCATGCTGCCGATGAATCCCAAACTAGGATCATACAGCTGTCCAGTTCTCTTATGAAGTATTATAATTATTTATTTATTTATTTTTCAAAAGAGAAAAGACTCACGCTGAGGAGATTCAGGATTGTTTTTATTCACTGTAATAGCTGCAATTTCTTCTTTATCTGTAAAATAATTTTCTGGATGAAACATAAAATCTGGTTGTTCCATGTCAGTTACTTGATCCAATTCACTCAGGTGTAAAGCCTAATTAGTTCAAATTGTTTTTTTTTAAAAAAACGTAAGAGAGGAATACAACAAATGATGTATAAAATTGTGTACAAAACAATAATTGTTTTGAAAAAATCTCTCCTGAACGATTTTAATTTTTTTTTTTGAATTTTTATTCTAGCTTGACTCCATACAGTATTTATTTTTATATAAAAGTATGGAAGTTTTCAGCGTGTGATATCAGTAGCCGAAGTTTAGCAAGCCAACCATTGATATCAGGTGTGTGTCGGCTGGGGGATTGAACATCACGGACCATTTGCATAGTCGGTGAGCGTCCTAATCGCTATGCCGCCGACGTGCAATACTTATACTTATTTGCATGTTTCAGTTAACTTTATAATTATATATGTCCAAACCAAGTTCACTTTTAATAGCTTGAAAAAATTTGGGTTTCGGGTATATATGATATTCATTATATAATAAAGGTTTGTTTTTGTATTTCTCAATGAATGTAAAATAAGGGACGATATTGTTGTGTTTTTTGTTGACATTTCGCTATTTAATGCTCCTGCTGCTAATAGCATTATCATAGTATTATGAAACCAGAATTTACAAAATCTCAGCTTATATATAACAACTTAATCTCATCGTTCCTCAGTATGGTGTTATTTTTGAGTTGTCAAGTTGGCCAATTGGTAAAGATAATAAAACCAGGATTTGATAAGCGTGTAAAATTATAAAAGCAGCATGTGTTTACATAATGAAATTTCTTATCACATTCGTGTTGATTTTATCACTTCATGGAAGGGGGGAAGTGTGTTGTAACCAGGTGTAATTCTGTTTTAGTCCACCATTCCTTTTTAGACAATCTGGATTCCAGTCGATATGAAGTGCTTCTGATGATGTGAGACGTTCTTTGTGATTTCTGAAATGCTTTTCCGGATTATTTCAAATATTGTCAAAATCAATTTTGTGACCTGAGTCTATAGCGTGTGGAGTTTTCAATCTTCTCTAGTTCAAGATTGTATTGTCTGAATTAGCTTCCACCTATAGACCAGTCAGGTGAAGTGATTACATAATATCTAAATCACTGTTAACTTGTGTATCTGTGTATGTTCTTATAGCTGTATTTAAACGATATCATTACTTTTTTTCCCTCTTTCATTTCTAATTGAAACATTTCAATGGGTTAGTTTCTGATACGTTAACTCACGTAGGTAGCAGCAGGACGCAGCAATATTTGTTATAAGAACTGTTTATCTGGCGAATGATATACATAAATTTCCATTTCCATAAGTTCCCCCTAGGCTCCTTCATACGTCTTCCTTTCATGCTGTTTAAATTTTATTTCACAAGGATCTGTCATTCCCCCCTCTCTTCGCTATATGATCCGTCGTTCCTGTGTCTATTCTACTCATTTTACACGCCAAAAATGACACATAAAATTTAAGCAAATTCACCTTGCTAACAGTGGTGCTGTGTAGTCGAATTTATCTAATAATTTAGTGTGTAGACTACTTATGAATGGGTATGAGTAGTACATTGAGTAACAACTTCAAAAAATAACGATAATTTGTATGTTATGGTTAAAAGTTTAATTTTTTTTATTACAGCTTGATGCCACACCGTACTTTTGGTACAAGTGTGGAATATTCAGCATGTGATATCGGTAGCCAAAATTTTGCAGGCCAACCATAGATATCAGGTGTGCGTCGGCAGGGGATCGAACCTCGAACCATGTGCATGGTTGGCGAGAGTCCTAACCACTGTGTCACCAACGCACTGAAGAAGAAACGCGTGAAGAAAAAAAAGGGTAAAAACTCTGAGAATAACCTAATAACGACTGAACAATGATGGATATAAACACGCTTAATACACAATAGATGGTATTGTTCGCCTTCTAGGAGGTCGGAATCAGACGAAAAATGTGGGCTTGAGACTTGGTGTGTCAAGAAGAACATTTTTAACCAGGTTCCAGAATCTCTACCTTCTCCCTCTCCACAATTAATATCAACGGATAAAAGAAAACAAATCAAGAAAGAAAAGTGATGAAAAACCCAAAAATAGAAACCAAACCCCTGATGAAGCCTCAGAGGGAAACAACAGGTTGAGCATGAGTGCGAGGGTGACATAGAGGACATCGTGCCACGAGGAGGAGATGAGATACTATTGGTACTCGTGAATTCAGCGAAAGAGGACACCAGCGAATAGGACAAATGGAGACTGGCTACTGAAGCTCTATGTTCCACCCGAAACCTAACGTAACAATAAATATTAACAATGACAGAATGATAATGATCACTGACGAGCACTATTGGATTAAAAAAAGTACCAACAGCTCATTACTAGAATTTAAAATGAACACCTATCAACGTTGAATAGCGCCACAAGAACGAAGACGAGTTGTCCTCATTAAAAAATGACTCAGATTTTTAACTAAATCAACTAAAGAAAAAAAATTTGCATAGAAAAAGTACTTGGACAGGACAATATGCACATTTTCACAGCTTCGTTCCTATCAAGTATAAAAGAAATTTGGTGAAGACCCTCAGCCACAGAGTTAGAGCTATATACTCAGAAGAAGTAATTGAAGATGAATTAAGAATTGTATATGATACTTTGATCAAAAATGGCTATCCCGAAAAATTGATCAAGAAACATATAGTAAAGAAAACGGAAAAGGACTACTCATTATCTGTAAAAAAAGAAGCCTCTTTATATACGACTACAATTCATGGGTGATATACCAAGCGAGATAATTGCGAAGAAATTAAGAAAATCAGTTCAAAGAACTTTTACTGCTGGCGGACTACATATATTATTCTCTACACGACCGATGGTGATTCCTCGACTGAAAGATGAAGTACCTAGACTATCTGGCCACTTCAAATTGTATTTTCCAATTCAACTGCGCTTGTGGAGCCAGTTATATTGGCCGTTGCTCTAGGAACTTGATTTTTCGTGCTCATTCAAGAACATCTCCCAGCATGGCTAAGTAAAGGTGTAGTGAAAACTATTAACAGCTCGATATTGGAACATCTGGCGCAAACAGGCCACAAAACCAGCGTAGATGAATCCTTCTCTATATTATACCGGTGCTAAATAAATTACCAAAATCATCGAAGCACCGCATGCTCCAAACAGCAGAGGCTATTGTGATTCGCCTCAAACAACCAGCGCTCTGTGTCCAAAAGAAGCAATTCCAGCCCCTACTATTGCTCTGGCCTTCAGTATAGACTATGGATTCATGAATTGGTATTATTATCCTTCGTAATTCTTCTGACACTCAGCTTATTTTATGTTGATGCTACTGAGCTGCAATCTATCAATATTATTGATTTGATGTTATTTAAACATTAATGTCGTTCATAACACTAATTCATTCATTCACAACAATGTGTAGATAACTGTAGAGCCTGATGATGAAGGGGTTATCGAAAAGAGTATTCTTTGTTCAGTGTCCATTCTTTTAGAGAAATTACATTATATGACTCTGTAATGAATCTATCAAAACAATCACTATCAAAAATAGAAGATCAGCTTCATCAGAAAAGACTAAATTACAATAATGATGACTCTTCAAAGACACATTACCTTGCCTCCCTGGAATTATCACTTAAATCATCAAAATGAAATAGAAAAATGCGATAAGAATCACTTCAGTGTTTATGATACCCATGTTCAAGCAGAAAATAGTATAGTACCCATCTTGATACTTAAGAGCAAAATATAAAAAGAACATAGTTATACGCGAAGAACAACAGTAATCATGGGAAAGCAGAGATTACACGAAGAAGGCAAATCATTTTCTTAAAGACAATAATGTATATCGAAAGCTTGTAAAAACAAAAATCCTACCCAACCATTACAGATAATCAAATCAAAACGACGTTAAACTCATCACGAAGTCGGTGTCCCCTTCAGCTATCAGTCCAACAACACGGCGTATATTATTTTATATCGATGCGGATAGACAACTATCGTCACCAATTGCATCACTGGAGAAATGTAGAAATTTTAAACAACAGAAACACGGAGAATGCGAGCGAATATTAGCAGAGAGCTGGCAGTGAAGGAAGGATATCAGATGAGTAAACCAAAAATAGAAGAAGTGAGAAAGACATCTGACTAGTAACAAGTAGCCAGTCAAAATTAGTAGAAGAAATATAACAGAAGTTTCTGTCCCACTCACTTCAACTGGGCAGCATAGTCTCAACTACAAAAATGGCAGACGAAGATGTCAATACCAGTAACGATCGGATCAGGAAAGCAAGACAGGTTATTCATTATTCTGAAATCGCTGTGGAGGTCCACAGCATTAAGCACAAGGACAAACATTCGTCATTTTAATATCGATGTCAAGTTAATGCTTCTTTATGGTTAACAGATTCAGCCCACGCATTTTCAACAAGTTTCCATGAAGTTTCTTCATCACTTAATTTTTCTGGCTCAGATGCCTGGTCAGTAAGAAAGGATAAGTTAGAAGGAAATCTGACAGTGCAGCATAATGGAGACAGAGGTGATAAAGATATCCATTGACCACTGACGACAACAATAACAGAAAGCATCAGTCACTACTAGAGGGAGAACTTTGCGTTAATTCAATCAGTGATTGTATACAATTCAGATATATGGAGCATACGTCAACAAAGACATTTTCAAGTATTGGTTTGTAAGTGTTTAACTGATGGGTTACAGGATTTCATCATCAGCTGACATCAGTTAGAAAACCATTGGAAAACCTTCATAGACTGCTGAACAGCTGTCTCCTCCATCCTAGTTCCGGACTCTCCAGCAGTACGCACTCATCAGGGCTCGAACCCAGTCACTCCCAGTAGCTTAGTGGTCTACGAGCTTTCAATGTAACCACAACCTCCTGGATTTGAACTCCGGTAAGTGCATACTGCTGAAAAGACATTTTCATCAAGGTGCAGACTTTTATCAACAAATGTCATCACTCGCTTCATATTGAAGACCAGATCGTCATCTGGTCAGAATAGATAGTCAGCAAGGGATTCTAGTCGTGTGACGGACCATTCCAACAACCTATCACCCACCAAAACACGCAGAAGGAAACGAAGACGGACAGGACATACTCCTGAAGATACCTTTTTAGTGAAACTTAAACACGAAGCAACAGATTAGGATGTTCGAAAAAAACATGCAGAAGAACATTTGAGGCAGAAATGAAAATTTTTCGGTAGTGATGGCAGAGAATGGAGTTGTAATGTTCAAGCCCTACATTCCAAATATATATATATATACATTAGTTACACACTGTACTTACATAATACGGTCCCTGATTCTTTTGACTTGCACCTTCAGCGTGTGTATCAAACAATTCTGTTAAAAGTACTGGTTGTTTACGTTGACGTTTACTCAAACGTACTTCCTGATAAACTTTGCCTATTAATTTAATTGTAATCAGTAATTAGATTAACCAATTACATTGAATAAATAAAAGCGAATTTAAACCATAAGACTACCTGCAATAAATATGCTTAGCCCTAAACGAACAAGACGATTGTTCAGGGGTTGATTATTTCAAACTGATTGGTCAGAAAACTGCCACCGATTGATGTGAGTGATATGCAGCGACTAGTCATCTTAGTCAGTAAGTATTGGTGCATAGTTCTATGCAATTATGCTTGTTTTCCTGATCACCATTCACCGTATAAAACAGATCACACATTGATATTTGAATAATTCTGGTTTCCGAAAGAAAGTGGGGTGAAATTTCACTTGATGATGTGTAAACTGATAATTATGAATCTGATTCACTTTAATCAGTGGCGAAATTATGCTAGTTACTGAATGGTAACAAGCAGTAGCGTCGAGATTGCCCATTTCGTCCTATTTCAAACTCGTCGTCTAAAGACCAAACCTTTCGCTGCAGTTGAGCAATTAATAACTGGTAACCACTGCAGAAAATGTGTATTTCTTAGCACAATTGGTCGACTGGATAATAGGTTAAATTTTGGAGCGATGGGTACTGGGTTTGAGCCTCAGTGAGAACACCATCACTCACTAGGTACATACAGTAGTTGATGAGTTCTAAATAGGACGAAATTTTCACTCTGAATTCCAGTGGTAGTCATCATCCACCAAGAAGTATTATTGAAACCCTAAGACATCGTTGAGGCGTTCATACTACCAGCTGATATATCAAAAGAGAGAGGCAGAACACTTTGATGCAATCAACTAAAAAACAAACAACCTTAGATTTCAACATAGCGAAAATATTAATTAAGATACTTAGAAGACAAAAGAAAGTTTTCCTTCGATAACTTCCTCTTCTGGCTCTCTTGATTCTAAGTTTTATGTTATTTATGTTAGAACTAATAAAGTGGATGCACAAGTTCAGTTTGAAAGTCTCTACACTTGAATCGAGGGTTAACTGAAGTTGTTGAAAGACTGATATCAACTCTGGTCGATTGTTGCTGTAATTATATGAAAAGTAAACGCAACTCAGATAATAATTCGACCAAAAGACACAGGGAAGCCATACATATTCTCTGGAAAAACGATACCAAAGTAATAAAAAGATCTGTTAAGGGTTCAGGAGTGGCTATCTCGAACAAAACTGATTACTTAGAGAAGATGAATGCCATTTTTAATGACAGTCTAATATTCCAAAAAACAAATCTCATATTATTTGGATTCGATTGAAAAGATAGAAAAGCAGTTAGCGGGAACGTTGAGAGGACTGAAACAACAACAAGGCTTTTTGATGTATCTTCCTTATTCACCAATATACCACTAAAGGAAACATTGGACTTTGTATGCGATGAACATTATAAGACGAAACATCGATATCAGCATTCCAATATCTTTTATAAAAGAGCTTCTTTTGATTGTTCACTTTTTATTCAATGAGGAATCAAACAGACAATTGATGGTGTGGCAATAGGGTTACCATAAGGACCTATTATAGCCAACATTTTCCTTGCAAAACTAGAGAATGGACATCTCAAAGATGTGATTGATGAACTAGAATTCTGCTGTCGTTAGATAGGTGATACATTTCTGATTATGAAAAATGAGGATGAAACGAAGAACATCCTGAACAAATTTAACGATGTTCATCCTGCAATAAATTTTACTATTGAGAAGAAAAAGACTCTAGTATTTCATTTCTAGATGTCCTTATGACAAAAAATCAGGATGGCACAATAAGAAGAGGTGTATATAGAAAGCCAATATCAACGGTCAGTATACTCATTTTTTCAGCTTTGTGCCTTTGAACTACAAATGGAATCTTATAAAATGTTTGGTAGGCCAAAAAGCAAGAGCAGTCTATTTTGACGAATGTCTTAATGAAGAACTTAATATTATAAGACAGTTGCTGAGTGAGAACAGTTACCCAGAAAAAACTCATTGATAAGAATGAAAATCAAAAGTCAAAGCAGGTCAGAGTACCAACAGTTCCGAAAAAGGCCTCATTCTTACAACTTCATTTCCTCAGGAATAACATCAGCGAGATGTTAACACAAGGCCCGAAGAAATCGGTAGAAAAAGCATTTAGTGCTCCTGAATTACGCTGTATGTTCAAAACCACCTTTATGTTGCGTTCGGGAACTTACGATAACCTACCGAATTTCGCCTCTTCTAGGTGTATCTATAACTTTGACAGCTACTGTCAAGCCAGCTACATAAGCCTCACAATTAGGCCTGTTCGTTGTCGGATTTTGAACACCATCATGAGTGGTTAAATAGGGGAGAAAACAAGTCCATTCATAGTTGTATACCCTCTTATCTCGTAGATAAAGAAAACGAAGTTAATATAAACAAGGCCTTCAAAAGTCATCTACCGAATACCAGCTAAGCTTAATTTTACCTCAAGAGTTCGGCTATTACATATTGTTTGAGGTTAGCTGTTGGAATCTACAAAAAGAAATTGATTCAGACGCTTTCCTTACCCAGCTGGTCATCAAGGTTTTAATGATCCTTAATTTGTTGTAGAAATTTCCCTAGTTTTATGTGATATTCTATTTGTTGTTACATTTTTATGCTAATTATAACTTATGTATATTTCTTGAACTGTAATTTTATTGCTCCTAACAAAATGACAATATTTAAAAAATATCAGTGTCGTTGATTGATGATTATTCTAGAATAATCTGTATACGTTTTCAAGTATTGTTTTGTAAGGATTTGATTGACTGGTTACAGGGTTTCATCATGATCTGAGATCGGTTGGAGAACCATTGGGAAACCACCTGCGAGTACTGGACAGCTGTTTCCTTCATCCTAGTTTAGGACTCTTCTGCACTACGCACCCATCAACAGGGTTCGAAACCCGGACATTCTGGTTATAAGGCGACCTAGCTCATAGACCATTAAGCCACTGGATCCTGTCGATTCAATGACTGGTCCACCAATTCCAATTCCTACCAATTCACGACCTTGCGCGATCACTAGCCAATGTCTTCGGCGAGCATTTGTCTTACACACAGCCTGCTGCAAACTACTGGTCACCACGTCTTACCAGTCCTTGAAAATCAATGAGATGCTCACAAGCTGCTGGCCCTATTCAGATAGGTGGTTGCCTGGGATCTAGTGGGACGTCGTGACCAGTAGTGTGCAGCAAGTTGGATGTGAGGACAAATGCTCGCCGAGGACATTGGGTAGCAGTCGCGCTATGTCATGAATTGGCAGAAGTTGGAATTCATGGACCGGCCATTAAATCGGCAGGTCCCAGAGGCTTTATGGTCAATGAGCTACCTCGTCCTGTACCCAGAATGTCGTTGGTTCGAACCCTGGCAGTGGTTGCGTACGGCTGACAGCTGCCCAGTTGTACTCTCAGGTTTTCGAATGGTTCTCTAACCGATGTCAGCAAATGATGAAATCCTGTAAGCAATATATATATATATATATATATATATATATATATTTGTAGAGCTAAAAGGGAAAATTATTGAGGAGAATATTCTTTGCTCAAATTTGCTTTTGTCTTCTAAAACAGAATTAAACAAATAATGACAAAGTAAAGTGACTTATATATACTTTTCAACTAAATTTTTCTAATTAAAAGCATAATAGGATAAAGTTGAGGTTTACTCCGCTTACCTAGCACAGTATTTTTCCAGGCATTTACACGATAACTTGATATAGCCTTATTCATTTCTTCAAGTGACATTTCACCATCTAGTTCTCCTGACATTTCCACAGTGAATTCAGGACTTATTGATTCTCTCTGTATAACAAAAAAAATAGTAAGATGACAATTTTTTTTCAATTTTTATTTATAGCTTTATTTCACACAGTATTTTTGGGTACAAGTGTGGAATTTTTAGAATGTAATATCGGTAGCCTAAATTTAACAGGCTCACTATTTGATTTCAGATGTGCATTAGCCGGGGATCGAACTCCGGATCACTTGTACACCGGAAAATAAACAAAAGATAGTATTTAAGACAGTATACACTGAATGATTGCAGTGATAAATAGCAATACTGATCAATTGTGAGATAATCGTGGTATTGCTGAGGCTTACTAAAGGCGTTGATGCACAACCGCACCAGTGCTGTCATTTATGTCCTACGCGAGTGTAAGGCGGTTCATTCAATCTAAAGATGTCTATCGACTTTGTGTCCCTATTTGTACAAGGTAAAGGCGGTATTTTAAAGAAAACTTCACATCGTTCTTTATTTGTACAAGAAGACAGAACATTGAGAAAGGAGAGGCATTCCTATTGAATTAGTTCCTTATTAAAGGCTCTACAGTTATATATATAAACATATAATTCCCTTGGATATTGAGTGGAAAATAGGACTTCAGGAGCACGTCTTCCTTTCGCACTGTTCCCCGAAGTCATCTTTAACTGACTCCATTATTTGCCGTAAGCTTTAATTTTCCCCTCGCACAATCTCCTCCATGTCACATTTGGCTGACAGTCTAGGATCCGATGGTGTGCTAAACATTTTACTTTAGAAGTGTGCTGATATTTTGTGTTATCCTATAGCCCAGATCTTTAAGGCATCATTTCACAGAGATAGAGTGTACCTGTTGAGTGGAAAGAAATAAAATTGGTCCCTGTACCAAAGTCATTTTCTGCATCAGGTCTAAAGTTTAAGCCAATCGGCATCATGTCTCCATCTTTGAAAATTATGGAGAAACTTCTCTTGCATATTCTTAAACCTTCTTTGAAATCTTTTAATGACTCAAAGCGGTTTGCTTACAAATGCAATAGAAGTACATTAAATGCTGTCGCTTGTACTCTTCGTCAATATTGTTTTAAATCTTGATAAAGACGTGAAGTTTGTTCGAGCCTCCTTTTGAGACTACATTGCTGCTTTTATCCCTATTTATAGGGTACTTTAACTAAGCAAGTTGATTTCAATAAACACTGATTCCTTGGTCACAATGTGGCTGTCTTTTTATTTTTCGGGTAGAAAACAAGATACTGTTTTGAATGGAAGGCACTGCATTTCGTGCGTCGAGGCCCTGGTGTACTCTCTCCATTCCTTTTTTTCGGTCTTTTTGCATTACCTTTTATATTCTTTCAAAGCTAACTTCATTAAATATGCCAATGATCTTACCATTTCTATCCCAGTAGTTTCTGCATTGGATTGTTCTCATATGTACAGATTTTAGCCTGAATTTAACAAATCGTCTCACCTAAATGGTCTTAAATTACATCCATCTACACATCATATTGTTGATTTAAGTTTCAGATGTGAACAAGACTTGCGAGAACTTATTCGGTAGCATTATTTCTGTAATATTGACAACACTGTGATAGGGAGTAAATCAAATACCTTTTATCTCAGCATCATTTTATCTTCAAATCTCTGTTGGTCGTCTCATATCCTGTTGAAATCTAAGAACCATTTTTGCTTGACTTATTACACCAAGACTTTCTGCTGGCGTAACTCAACCTCTTCTCTTACAATTCGTTAATTTACGTATTCTGCCTATTCTTCTTTGTTGTTCGCCATCATTCTTATCTGGACTTCTCAAAAAAGACTTTGTCATATTACGTAGAACACTCAAGACTGTAAGTAGAATTAGTGGTGCGTTTTTGACTAAGCTGACATTATTACCAACAGGCATATCAATTCTCGCAAGCGTTCAGCTAAAATCATCCTGTCTGATACTGAATACCCCCTTTATTCTCAAATTTCTTCCTGTATATCTTCGGGTAAGATCAGAAGAAACTTCATAAGAATTTACTCTCGTACAACTAAATACAAAAAAGTACTATACCAATATATTTAGCACGGGTTTTGTGTGCAGAGAAATTCAGATGTCAGAAAAGAACCTGCAAACTTTTTAAATCGGTATTTGAACTGTAAAGTATAAGCAGAGATTGTTATTATGTGTATTATCTATGATACTGTGGTGAGAGCAGGCTGCTAGCCAATTGGTAGGCATTAATTCACGTCAATGTCTATGTCGCTAATATTGGCTCTAAGAAAATATAAACAAGACTGATTCAACAACCAATCACAGTAGACTTAACGTGGGCAAATACGATTCGCAGATATATGGCTTAACTTTCTGAAGAAACCAGTCACAACCAGTACAGAATAACCTTGAGCAAGAAACAACCAATCAGAAGGCTGTGTTTGTCTGCTTGAATAAGCTTTACTAATATACATGAAATATATATAAATACGTGCTGATTTCCTTAAATAAACGATCTGTTGCCTGGCCCTTGTCTTCTGTTATTACAATACTACCTACTTATACTTCATTATGTTCTCACTAACATTCTGTTTATAGTGATTAACTTATTAATATTATCATTAATATTATTACCAATATATTACTACTCACAAAGGGTTGCAGGTACGCCTTGCTGACCAGTGAGTGCCATCTAGCGCGAAACCTAGATCCAAGGCTTCCTTCAGTCTGCCTCTAACCATCTTTAAATCAATAATTCAGAGTGCCACATTCAAAACTTGACTGTATTAGAATTCAGTCTGCACCAAACAAACGACAGGACACACAAATTACACTAGTCACTGACTAGCATCCAATCAAAATACATAGTTTTATTTAAATGTCTGTTAACTTACACGACAAGTGTCTAGAAATTTTTGTAAACTATCCATTGATGCAGGTGTATCGGCTATTAGATCACCAGATGTTCCCTCTGCACAACTTTCTGTACTGGCTATCGATGGTAAAGCATTCTCTCGTTGAATATTTTCTAATTTCCATCGTATTTCCTTTTAAATAAATGACAGAAATAATAAAGAAAACAAATTTGAATGCCTAATAATCACTTTATGATTTTTTTTGTTAAATGTTTGAAACTCATTTTAAGAATTGTTATGAGCTGAAAGACAGTGAAAATCTCTTCTTGTTGAGTACACTAGTGAGGCTTTCATTAATCCTTCACAAAACCTGTATTTACTGAAGGAACAACTAATTGTAGATGTAAAATTCAAAGGAGATACAATTAGTTGTTAACTCATAGCAATCTACACCCAAACTTCTTCATGTATACTGTAGTTCACCAAAAACATAAAGGGCAGGATCTGACTGTTGGCGAATTCAGCGTGTATTTCTCAGTTCACTTGCTCGCGTGCGGTGGTTAGTTCATAGGCAGTACCAGCTAAACATTGCGTCTAGAGGCATTCATAAACACCTACTAACAAAGTTGTCGAAAGGAGAAAACAGAACGGTCAACAGCTTGATTATTGAGCACATTATTATCTCAGACTACGTAGTTTCAATAAAGACTTTTCATTAACAGCCTTATATAAGGCACAAGCAAGCCACTGAAAGAAATTTTACTTACATATTCTTCATGCAGTCGAGGGTGTAGCAATCCACAAGGCAAAAAATGAGACTCTATGTTCAGAAACGTTTTATCCAGCCTCTTTTACTATCATAACCTCAGTGTCTAATTTATTTTCCCGAATTGTTGCATAACAAACACGGTGTAGTCCCTTTTTATAATCCACTTTCATTTCTTCGTTCTCTTGTTTGCAGTGTATTTTTTTTTTTCAAATGGTTATTCATTGCCTAACGAATTAACTGTTAACCCACTTGGTTGCATAGGATTTTTCACACATCGTTATTTGTAATACACCCTGACCTATTTAGTTACTAATTGAATGTAACCCTTGACTTTTGTTATCAATATAAAATTCCTAAATAACGAAAAGAGATCTTTTCATCTTCAAGAGTTGGTTTGTAGGGATTTATCTATTTCAAGTTTGATTATGGATTGATGTTTCAGCTAGAAAACCGTTGGAAAACCTACCAGAAGTACTAGGCATGTGTTTCGTCCTAGATAAGGACTCATCGGCAGTACCAACACACCTGGTTTTAAACACAGGACCTTCCTGTTACAAGGCAAGGTTGTATACCATTCAGTCACTTTAGTCTCATCCAGCTGCCGAAACATAAAATTCTAACTTTTACCAATTCGTGATTTGGTGCAACCATCGATCACTATATCATCGAGGAGTATTTGTTCTCACTGTCGACCTGGTTGATCCTACACTGGTGACAAATTCTCACTAGAACTCCAAGCAAATTCGTCCTTTGTGTTAACTTATGTGTTCTTATAATCTTGATTTCCACCGTGGTTCTATTTATTCATGGACCATTGAATCTCCACGAATAACTGCCTTTAGTCATCACAAACTTCTTGTTGCCAAAAGAAGAAATAGCGCATACTTTTATGTCAGTATTTCTAATGGATTAAATACCCTTATTATTAGTACTATAACAGCCATTTATAAACCGGCAATTTTAATTAATCTGAACACAAAATGTACACAAACCAATATTTTATTCTGTATGCCCAGTAATCTGGTTTAGTTTTTTTGATTGTAGAAAGTAAAACAATATAATAACTAAAATTGATGCATGACAAGATATCGTGTTCCTCGACTTACAGGGAGAACAACCAACATAAGATTAGGTTGGAAAATAGTGAAATTTGGTTGAAGCCAAACCAGGCATCAATTTATGAAGCTTTCTGACTCTTAGTCTGAGCCATGTAAGTAGGTATAGACTGCCTAGCTGATTTCCCTGAGACAATAAGGACCAACGGCTGTAGATTAATACTGATGTTATGGCTAAGAATCGTTTCCGATAGCACACTTCAATTTATTCCTTCCGACCTGCCATATATATGTTACATTTTGATTATTCCTCTTGTAATTATTCTTTCTTCAATATTGTTGTTATTATTATTTATCATTATTTATTTGCCTTCCGAGTCGAACATAGAGCTTCTATAAAGGTGCATCTCCATTTTTTCCGTTCTTTAAAGTTCTCCTTAACTGGTTCCAAGACTGCCGAAAGACTCTCATATCTTCTTCACACGATTTCTTCCGATGTCATCCTCGGACTCACGCCCAACTCGTTGTTTTATTGACTTAGGTTCCACTCAAGCTAAAGATCAGAGCCTGATGTTATCCGACAGTCTACTGAGCGTGTGACCAGCTCATTTTTATTTTCTTCAACAAATTTCTTATACAAAAGGCTGTTGATTGATTCGTTCCCAGAGTTTCTTGTTGCCAATTCTCTCTTTCTGGTCCTCTTATCTTCAGTATGAAGCCAATGAAGGCAGCTGTCGATAAAAGTCTGCAGCTGGTTGTTCAAAATGCTTTTCCTGATGCACAGTGAAAGTCTCTGAACTACACAGAAGAAGTGATTGATTCAACATTGAAGTTGAATGCCCGAATTTTGTCATTTGTGTTAAGTGTGGTAGATTTTACCACTGCTTTCAGAGTGATCAAGGTCTGTCCGCCTTGGCTTTCTGGTTTTGACATATTCATTTGTTCCACCTACTGCAGTTGAGATGCCACTGCCAAACTTATCCCTGTGATAGTGATTGGTGTTTGTTACTGTTGTTGTTGGTCGGTTGGTTGGTTGGTTTTTTTATCACATCTATTTTCTTTATGTTTGCTTGAAGTCTTGTCATCACTGCTAGCCTCTTGTCCCAACTTGTTGGTTTTAAAAAATTCATGCAATTCTTCCCATTAATAAACTTGAACAAAGCAAGAACAATAATTGTACCAGAAGATAATATGAGCTCATCTTTTATTATTATTTCGAGGATTCTTCTCAACTTGTTACAACCCAAACGATAAAAAATATATGAATTACATTAAAGATTCGAATATACTTTTCCACTATCATAAGGAGTAATTGGTTGGTAGGAAGTTAAAGTAACATTAGTCCGGAATGATTTAACTCATTAAGAGTTATGAACACTGACTATTTATAGAATAATTAGACAATTAGGCTTGGAAACAAAAACAGAGCTGCGTATATATGTGTGTGTAGAGAAACAAGGTTTAGCTAGAAAGGGCATAACAAAAAAGTGGATTACGTAACTAAAGAAAACGCCTTATCTAATAGCCAATAGTAAAAAAGAAAGAGAAGAAACAAAGTAAGGTGAGTCATGTTTAGATGAGAGAGTAGAGTTTTCTAAACATGAAAAAGGGTGACTCATGAAAGTTGTATATCATGAGATGCTCACTGGCGATTTGCCCTATTCAGGTAGATAGTTACCTCGGGTTCCAGTAGGAAGTCTTGACCAGTAGGATGCAGCAGTTCGAGTGTAAGGACAAATACTCACCGAAGACATTGGCTAGCGGTTGCGGTATGTCGTGAATTGGCAGAAGTTAGAATTCATGCGTTGGCCATTGGATCGGATCCCAGTGGTTTAATGTTATACGAGCTCGCCTTGTAACCAGGAGGTCCTGGGTTCGAACCCCGGTGGGCGCGTTGTGCTGAAGGGTCTCAGACTAGGACGAAACATCTCTTCGGTACTCCCAGGTTTTCCAATGGTTCTCTAACAAATGTCAACTCATGATGAAATCCTGTAACCAATCAACCAAATCCCTACAAACCAATGGTTGAGTATATTTTTCGTTATCACCAGGGCAGTACAAGATTCACCACTGTCTCAAATGACTTAAACCAAATCTATGTACGCATAATACAGTCCACCATAATCAGAAATATCATCGGTGATGCTAGGCATCCTTCTCTTACTCTTGTCTTCATTTCACAGACTTCTCTTCCTCCAATAAAGTTTTGGTTATTAAAACTCCTTCACATCTTCTCTGTTTGCCTTTATGAAGGAAGCACTTAGCACTGTTGTGAAAAGTCATGCGCGAAAAATTAAGTCCAGCCCAGTTCATTTCAGTTCAATAGAATACTACCAATCAATAACACAGATTTATATCAGAAAACAAGATTTTTCGAAATTACTGTTTATATAACTTAATAATGAGTATTAAGCCTTCTGTTCAAATAACACTCATCCATCATAATGGGGCCTTTAATTTATTCTTCACCTTCTAAGTGGATCACGGGACTTCAAGTTTTGAAGTGCTCTGAAATTTCAGTAGCAGCGATGTTTATTTGTTATGGGATGGTGTCACTAGCTTCACTCTCAACCTTCCCTCTTTAGTAAGCTGGTGAAGTTTAGAAGTACGTTGACTGGGAACAGAGCCCTGGCCAGTTGAGGGTATGGTTGACCAGCATTTCACCATTAAACCACACAGGAGCACAAAGAGGCCTACACCTCTAGTTAACATTTCAAAATATATATTCAGAAATGTTTAGCGCTGAGTAAATTTCGCCTTCAGATGGTTGGAGGCAGTCAGCAGGAAGCCTTGGACCTAGGTTTCGTGCTCAGTATGCACTCACCAGAAAGGCGTATCTGCATCCTTGAAGGAACTCATATCCATTCTAGGAGTCGAATCCGCGCCACCAACCAATGCTGCAGTTAGGGACGTTACCACTTGGCTATCTAATATTATCAAATAAATGTGCACCGTGATGGCGAGTTACCTAGAATTGTGGCCACATTACAAACCTGACTGATAGAATTCAGTCTGCATCAAAGAAAGGAATAGACACATCAACTAGTTAGTAGTGTCTGATCAAACATTTTTCCCTTGAGAATAGAATAGGAAATCGATAAAAAAGAGACTCACTTGTCCAAATATCCCTATCTTCATACCTTCAAGTGTCCATAAAACTACTGAACAATCACTAGATGCAGTAGCCATAAGCGTTCTACGCTCCACACGTGAACAAAAACACAGACCAGAAATTAAATCTGTATGAGCACTCCATTTGCCTATTAAATCTAAAGCAACAGTTAAAATATAAAACATGTGATTAACAAATATTCGGCTGAACATAAAGGCTGAACAGTAACAGTTACAAGCATAAGTAACATTACAACTCTGACAAATCAGTCAAATTTGAAAAGCTTACACTGTATTCTCTCTCCTTCCCTCTCGAAATTGGATGACTCTGCCACCTAAACTCACAAATTCATTAAGGCAGAAGCTATGTATATCGATAAATGTCACATTCCTAATTAATTCAGGAAAACAATTCACTTTATTTTGAAGATATATTTCTTCGCGAACCGTTTTCAATCCGACAGTCATTAAGGACCGGGAGAATTGGACAGTTGATGCAGTCTAGGTTAGGAACTCCTTAACATCGTGCTGATCATGTGAGTCCATCAAAGATCAATTCCACGACTTTCAACTTACATGGCAAACATGTTGCTATTTATTCACTGGTTCATGAATATCATCTCTTGTTCATTCCTCACCGCATGTAACCGATCAGCATTTTTTACTTTCAGAGATCTGATTTAGTAGACACCACTGGTCATTATTTCACATCAGAACTCGAGAACCTCCATCACATATTCAGTGATCAGTGTATAATGGGCTAAATTTTCTTTCTATTGTTCAGTATTTAAGGTTTTGAATCACCTTCACGGTAGATTTCGTCTGTTAATGGACTGCTGAATAAACATAACTCGGTGTTAATAGACTTCATAACTACCTTTATGTTCAAAGACGCTTATGTTCTAAAGAAATAAGGGAAATGAGTTTCAATATGTTCACAAAACGTTTGTGGATGCATTATGTGCAACCGGTGTCCTGATGTGCATGAAAAGTGCGCCATTTAATTTAAGATGTAAAGATAAGGAACATGAATGAGTATTTAGGGCAGGTGTATTCTGCCCTGAAATAGATATCAGTAGTATAGCGAATAATGTCTTCAAAAGCGCAATGAACAAATTATGCATCAATCAAAAGAAATGTTACAAGATAATGACACTATGGAGAGTCAAGAAAGAAGTGATATTACTTGTGACGATATTGTGACACCAATCCAAAGTTTACACTTTCCATAATATGTATTCTATCTTATGGTAATAAACACTACTTCTGTCATCGTCAGTCTCATCCACTTCAGCAAATGCCATTTTCTCAGTCAGAGACCTTCAACTACTTCAGGTCTTTGAAGACGTTTCTTATTTGATTGGTATGCAAGGTTAGAAGGCTAAGCTGGTTGTCCTGTGAATCGTCACTTTAAAGAAACCGTCATCTAAAAATAGTTTTCAAGGAATTGGATGAAAGGCATTAAGGGAAAAGATTGTCAAAAGGTTGATTTCAGCAAGCAGATGTTCCGGAAATTTAAAAGCCTACAGCTATGTTAAGACAGGTATCTAGTGGCTTTGGGAAATAACACCAACAAATCTTCTGCTACATGCATTATTTACCTTGGATGAAGATTCACAAGTTCAGCTACTAGCTTCCAAATTTATGGAATGATTCCCTAAGCCTGCAATTACTGAACACATTCAAGTCGACGAACTGATGAAGGCTACAAAATATCTATTGTGTCCAATAATAGAATAATGGTTGAATGAGTATCGAACAGCTGACGATAAACAACCACAAATTAAAGAACTTCAGTAACAGGTGTCAGTCTTCCGAATAAGGGTGAAGTAATCTAACGAGTGTTTCACTTATGAAAAAAACAACACGGCATTTACAGAGAAACTATCCGAAACAATGACTCAGAATTTTAGACGATATAGTCCTTCTTCGTTCATCTGTGAGGTCCACTAGTTCAAAGTTAAGTTAAGTCTTATGACTACGAATGGTGATGGCTAGTGGTGGTAACCTTATATCACAAACTGACAAGTCATTGTATCTAAACATAATGGCTGTGAATGGTCAATGAAATCGTCTCGTTACCTGAAGTGCCTGAGTGAGCTCCATGCCTGTTAGAGTCATGAATATCCACCCACTGATGAAGAGTCACAAACTAGGAGAAAATAGTTCTCCAATGGTATTAATCACGTCTGATTACTCCACCCCAATGTATGTTTATACACTTTCAAGTAGAGTAAAGGAAAAAGAAAGATTGAATGGATAAAATTGTGTAATTAATTACCTGGTGCGTAATCCACTTCCATTTCACCTTCATTTAAGCAATAATCTTTAATATTCCATATTTTCACTGTACCTTCAACATCACCAGTTGCTAAATACTCATCGTTAATATCAATAGCCATGATAATACTACTAGCTGTTTGTTTGTTTTTTTCCAATGTGAGAAATGTTGAAAAATGAGGAAATAAAATTGAAAAACAGTAATTATAGAATGTCACAGGTAAAACATAATTCTAACTTAATTTGTGGATGGTGACTAGCAGTGGAATTCAGCCAGGATGAACATCTCTTCCTGTTTGCAACTCGTCATCTGGATGTACCTGCATTTCTCACCAAGGCTCGAACCCAGTGCCCAAAGTTTCAAACGCCAAAGCGTTATTCACTAGATCATTTGGGTCATGATAGCCACCTCTTGTGCAACGCGTCATATTATTTATTAAATTGAACTCTTAGATTTTTGCGTCGATCGACTGGACCAAAGTGCTCGGTCTCAGGTTCACATGTCGGCTTCTTGTGCAGGTACAGACAGCAGGCGGGTCTCGAATAGGACGAAATGCGCATCCTAGCTGGATTCCACTGCTAGTCACCATCCACAAATTAAGTTCTAATTAAATGCCTAGACATCGTCGAACCATTTGCACAAGAGGCCAACATGTCAACCTGAAACGGGGCACTTCGGTCCAGTCAATCGACGGGAAAATCTCAAATTCAATTAAAAGATAATTCTAGTTAAAAAAAACTAATTGTAATACGGTAAGAATTAGTAACAAATTAACTGTTCAGATATGTGTAAAAAAGACATTTTCCACTAGCCAGGCTGATATAAGCTACATACGATGAATAAATGACGGCTGAAGTACATGAATTCTGAAACTCGAGAACTCAAGTCAATCAGCCGCAACACCTCCACATATTGGAAGAAGTCCTTACTTCTTTTGGACAGATAACCTATAATTGTTAATCATGGAGTCATGACTAATGCATGCATTAGTATGGTAATCTGATTGGACAGTTTTTGATTGGTCCGTTTATGGCTTAACTACCCAAGGATATGTGGTGTCATGTAACCAATCAAATTCGTTTACTTATTTACGGCTTGAATTCTTGAATTTTTGTAAACTAAACGTACCGCATATTTTAAAGGATAAATATTTGTGGTTGTTCTCGCAGTTCATTCTGACATTTGTATTTGTCTGAGTGTGGGGTAATATTTTCAAATGATCAGATGGTTATTGTATCGTGTCTGAAGGCGCATTCTAGTCTAGTTAGACGACAACCACAAAACAATAACACTCTATCATAACAACTTTACGGATTAACATTTATTTGGTGTATTCTTTTACTTTTTGTCTACTTAAGTATGAGGATTCATTTCACGCTGATTTGAATATTCTTCTAAAGTACATACCTACATATATATATATATCATATGACTAATGCAGCGCCTTTAAAGTACGCTGATCAGTAAGTAATTATTGCAGTGCTTTTGCCTACTCAAACTGCTTTTATTACTATTACTATTATTCCTTTATGCTCCGACTGGAACATTTGGCATCAAAAGCACGTCTCCACTTGTTATATTGTATGGGGTACCCCTTAAGGTGGCCTTATGATTGCTTAACCCCCTTCATCTGCCCTCCACTCAATCTCCCTATGTCACCCTAGGGTTCATGATGAACTCGTCGCTTCCTATTCAGGTTCTCCTTGCGGGGCAAGTGCATGATGTCATTCACGAGAGTTTGCTTAGAGTGTTTCCATTTCATTCTGTTTATCTATTGTGTGATAGCTGCTTGATTAGTTTATGATCGACTGGCCATCTCCCAATGATGGCAGCTATTGATGAAATTCTTCAGTAGCCTCTTGGAAATGGTTCCAGTAACATGCAGTGCAAGTACCCTGAACCATATAGAAACATGATGTACTTCATATCAGTGTCAGGAAAATGCTTATCATGTTACTGCTGATGAATGAAGCAGATTTTGAACACTAATTTCAGAGGAATAAAGGTTGTTCTAGCTTTTCTGTTCCTTATTAGCTCTGACATCCTCAATCAGGGTTCCTTTTAACTGCAACAATACTGCCTAGGTAAATACTTGGACAAATTTAGACATTAATGTCATTAACACCCATTATAGCACAATTTATTTTAGCATATACATGATCGTATGTGTACTGTAAAAAATATCATTGATACATCATATATTTGCCAATCCGAAAATCTTCTTCATAGTTAAACATCTTTCTTTTTGTTTACAGTGCAGTGTTTAAACTATAGTAGAGAATATTTCCTGTTGACTGAATACGTTTTGGTGGATTGCTTAGTCTTGTTCGACATTACAGCTCTCGTTACGACTTCCTAAGGTTAACATGATACTGTTTAAATGAAAGTAGAATTCAGAAGTCACATTCCATCTTCTTCGAGGTTCGTCAAAGAGATAGTTCTGCATTCCTAGCAAGTGATGCTGTCACCAAATAGACTAAATAAAACTCAAGAATTTGTAGGCTACTGATTCGAAATCTCATGTCATACGAGCTTTCATTTTAGGTTTGATAAACTTGCCTTAAGTCAGTATTAGTCACCTGATAAAACGTTTGAAAATGTTAAAATAAAGAAGCATTTTATGTCTTCGTTTTCTCATTCATATGGGTGTACGCATCACCATATATCTTGCAACAATCTAAACATGTTTGAAAGTTATACACTGAAAATATGGAAGAAGTGGCGACCCTAAAATGTTTCTGAATACCTTCTTTTAACAAAATGCTACTAGACTATTCCTTATGCATATTTGCTTTAACTACAGGTGGAACTGATGAGGATACCTAAGCAATGATACCAAAAGACGGGAAGTTTTCATTACTCTCAAGTCTGTGTGGAGATCAACACAACACCAATCATGAAAAATAAAATCCCCCTTCTCAACTACAATGTGAAGTCAGTCTCACTTACTATGCAGAACAGAGGTCTGCACTGCGTGTCACGAAGATCACTTCGAACAAACTACACACCTTCATCAACATCTGTCTTCACACAATACTCTACTCAAGATCATATGGCTGGCCAGGAAACATCACCAAAAAGGGATCTCCTGCAATCAGCGAACCCACTAACCAGGAACCAGTTGTGCAAGGAATATGCAGGAAGAAATGGAGTTAGGTGGATTGGTTTGGCCATGCTCTGAGACAACAAACCCTCACGTGAGTGACATCACACGACAGGCCATCGCTCTACAAGGGAACCTGAATGGGAATCAGCGAGTTGGTTGTCAGTGCGAAGATGACATGGAGGAGGAGGTCATGTGAAGAGGAGATGAAAGCATGTGGGAAGACGTGGAGCCAGGTGGAAAGCTTGACGTAGAACCGAACGCAATGGAGATGTGTGGCTGAAGCCGTATGTTCCTCTTGGAACTAAATGAAACAACAATAATAATATTTATTAAGTAATGGTTCTCTGCACTTCCAGAGTTCCATATTGTTTATCCTTACCAGTCAGATGGTTATCTGACATTTAGTATCGAGTTAAAAATTGCGGAGGATGATCGACATCAACAACAGCCTTCTGGAAATCCTTCTAACGACGCGTGTCAATCGCTTGACCATCTAAAAGCCTCGACTGACTTGACAATAATGTTAAAAAAACAATAAATCAGATGTTTTTCCCTATGCTACATGCTGGAGATTTACACACTGATTTCAGAGTAATGAACGTCCATCTTCATTCCCCGTTACAATCATGACTGACTTTGACACGCCTATCTGTGGTGTCTGTTGGTGAGACTAATCTTCTCATTACTTTTTACTCCCTCCAGAATAATTTTGCTTTCTCAGTGGAATAAAGATCTTCAAGATTTGCAATTCCAGTAGCAGTAGTGGTTTTGCTCCACCAGGTGAGGTTTTACAATTTCGAACCGGGATACTGTGAGTAGCCGTCAAGCATTCTACCCCCACAAAATCGCAAACGCAGTAAATCGTTATCCACACTTGGCCACTAGAACCATATCAACAAAGATTATTGCGAAGAACAACAAAAATATGTTTTGAAAAAGTGGTGAAAAACATAAATTTAAGAAAATAAAACCCTTCACACCGACAAACACACACATACACAGTGAAAATTAATTTACCATTTTCATGAGCGGAGAATTCACCCACTAAAATGCATGAATATGCATTCCAAAAGCGTACAATTCCATTACCTCCACATGAGACTAGATTTGCACCTTTTTGACTACCTGATCCAATATGTTTACGTGTAGATAATAATATAAGACGTGAAATATTGTACATAAAATCTGGTGACTTGGAGAGAAGAGAGAAGATGAAATTTTAACAAACAACCACAACAGTGAGATGAACAGAAAATAACTACTGATATAAGTAGCCTCATCATTCAATAGACACATGTAATTCCAACGTTCCCTACGTTAAGCAACGAATATAGCCCAAACTTCTTCAGGGAAATTAATCGAAACCAACATAACAGAGGTTTATTTATATAAAAAGGACATCTCTTGTCTTTTTAAAAAAAACTTTGTTCATTTATGAGTCATGAAACAGGCATCGAAATATAATAAACGAAATTGTATCAGAAGTTAACTGGTGGATGATGGCCAGCAGTGGAATCCAGGCAGGATGAGCATTTCATCCTGTTTGGGACTCATTAAACTGGATGTACCTGCATTTCTCAGTGAGTGATGATGTTCCCACCAAGGCTCGAACCCGGTGTCCATAGTTTCAAACGCCAAAGCGTTATCCATCAGACCACTTAGGCTACGACAGCCACCTCTTCTGCAACGGGTCATACTAATTATTGAATTGAATTCTTAGATTTTCCTGTCGATCAATCGGACCGAAGTTCTCGGTCTCAGGTTGAAATGTTTGCTTCATGTGCAGATGCTCCGACAATGTCTGGGCATTTAATTAGAAGTTAATCGGTGGATAGTGACTAGCAGTGGAATTCAAGATGCGCATTTTCTGATTTGTGATCAAAATTTGACCCCATTTATTTTTATTGCTTCCTTTAGTTCCAAGAGGAACATACGGCTTCAGCCACACATCTCCATTGCGTTCGGTTCTACGTCAAGCTTTCCACCTGGCTCCACGTCTTCCCACATGCTTTCATCTCCTCTTCACATGACCTCCTCCTCCATGTCATCTTCGCACTGACAACCAACTCGCTGATTCCCATTCAGGTTCCCTTGTAGAGCGATGGCCTGTCGTGTGATGTCACTCACGTGAGGGTTTGTTGTCTCAGAGCATGGCCAAACCAATCCACCTAACTCCATTTCTTCCTGCATATTCCTTGCACAACTGGTTCCTGGTTAGTGGGTTCGCTGATTGCAGGAGATCCCTTTTTGGTGATGTTTCCTGGCCAGCCATATGATCTTGAGTAGAGTATTGTGTGAAGACAGATGTTGATGAAGGTGTGTAGTTTGTTCGAAGTGATCTTCGTGACACGCAGTGCAGACCTCTGTTCTGCATAGTAAGTGAGACTGACTTCACATTGTAGTTGAGAAGGGGGATTTTATTTTTCATGATTGGTGTTGTGTTGATCTCCACACAGACTTGAGAGTAACGGAAGCTTTCCTTGCTTACCCTATCCTTGTTTTGATATCGTCGTCAGTTCCACCTGTAGTTGAAACGATACTTCTTAGGTAGGTAAAAGAGTTTGGTTTTTACAGAATTCGACCTCATACCTACAGATTTCGGTCTATTTTTTGTTAAATACTTTAAAGAAAGTTTACTTTTTATCATATGTGCATTGATTACTTTCGACTAGTATGAGAAGATATGTGCGTACACGTGGTATGCAATTGTGTGTGTGCATGTGGAAACAATTTTAAATCATTTTTTAGCCTCTCCGTGAGAAGATATTAACAATCGGGGATTTAAATCAAGTATGATTCATTAGTGAAACATATCCATTTTTTATTTATTAGTCAAGATTTGCCATGCATCAGCTAACATCACATCTTCACGTCTTTTCAAACTTTTGGGATTCACTTATAATTGTAGGGCTTCTGCACTCAGTCTTTCTTTATACAAAACAAACCTTTGTGTAGAACCTAAGTCCCACTAAAGTCGGTTTTGTGTCCCGTTTCTATCGAGTTCAGTGCAATCAATGAGTTGTTTTTATTAGCTTCTTCAAGTCTTTAGAGGTCTTTGAAACCACCTTTAGACATTGTCTACCCTCCTACAGTCTTATATTTACTCGTATGGAAGTTTTTCTAGCACATACAGCGTCACAATCCCACAATTCATATGTTACACTAAATTCTATTGGTTGCCTTCTTCTATTGTATCCTAAACCTTCACGAGTGATGAGCGTAAGGTGTTACTTGCACGAAAGTATACTTGTATATTATGATCGTTAAGGATTCGCTATATCTCATCTGACGTTTCTTTGCAGTAAAGAATCAAGCAGCCGAAAATACCCACTGAGTCATGAGGAAAATAAAAGACAGATTCAGCGAAGACAATTTTCTTCATCGACGAAATCATCTTCAGAGTCTGGCTGTACAGTCGTATTTATACTTAGAAAAATGTATAGTGGTCTATTATTGAGTAATAGGGGGTGACATAATTGATATAATTACTTAGAAGTGGCTTTAGAAGTAAAAAAAAATTAAAAGTAAATTACGTGGTACTCAACGGCACAAAGGTAGAAATTTGATAAGGTTAAAATTGTTCTTGAGTGAGAATAAAGGTATTTGAATGTCAATTTAACAAGTGTGAAGAGGGTGTGAAAATATACAAAAGGAGCATACGAGATTGAAAATAGTGAATTAATTATTAAAGCAAAAGCAAACTAAAAGTAACATTAAAAAACAAAAGAAATAATCAAAATTTTTTACGGGGAACGATTAGTGAAGAGGTTAAGACCAAGGTAGAATAAGAGACTGAACAAACTTTATCTGTATACAGAGTTCAGGGTTGTATGGATGAATTGCCAGCGCCTCCGCCATACTCAAAACCCGAAACCTGACTCCCTTTGTACCATTTTTGGCTTCACTTTTATAGAGGTGATCACCACTATGCCAACCCAATTCTTAGCAATAGGTTTCGATTCATCCTTATCTTCACATTTTCTTTGAGATTTTACAAAAATATAATTTTTACAAACGTCCACATATGTTTGTGTGCGTTGATGGCACAGCGGTAGAATGCTGGTCGATCACGCCTCATGTGGTCCGGGATTCAATTCCCAGTTGACGTACTCCTTTACCTCACTAAGCCAGTAACAAAGCTGGCAAAGGGGGAAGCTTGAGGATGAGGCGGCTAGCAACCCCCTCCCGTAAAAATAAACACCACCGAAGCTACTGAAACTTCAAGCCTCTAGCTTGAAGCCCTCGCTATGTTCCGTTGTGAACGTAAAGGAATAAAAAAAATTTCTATATATCACACACTAGGCGTCATAATATTTTGGATCTATTCAGTCAAATCTTCATTAAATAAGTTTTACAGCCCACTATAAGGATTGAAATTTGAGAAAATTTTCAAGTTATTAAGCAATATCTGTGACATTACGGTTGAATAAAAATAAGACAAGAAGTTCAACGAAGAGTCTTCTTTCTGCGAATTCATTTTATTTAGCTGTACAACTAAATTTATATACAAGTGCATGGAGGATTTAACCATGAACTGACATTAGTTAGAGAACCACTGGAAAACCTGCACAGAGTACTGGACAGCTAATTCGTCCTAGTTTCGGATCGGGTCCCAGTGGCTCAATTGTCTACGAGCTCACCTTGTAACCAGAAGGTCCTGGGTTCGAATCCCGGTGGATGCGCACTGATGAAGAGTCCCAAACTAGGACGAAACAGCTGTCCAGTACTCCCTGCAGGTTTTCCAGTGGTTCTCTAACTGATGTCAGCTCATGGTTAAATCCTCCATGCAATCAAACAAAATCCCTACAAAATCAATACTTGAAACTTATATACAGTTTTTCCTAGTAAAATTTGGACAGTAAGAAAAGGGTGATTCATCATAAGAAAATTAACTAATATTATTTAAGACATATGAGAATTTGAGTAGGAGTGATAGCATTATGTAATGGAGATAAATAATTCAGTAAGATAATTGTGATCAGGGCGCGTATGAAGAGAAACAAGAGAAATTTCACGTTACCTGACCGGTTCAGCAGGAAAGATTAGTTAGTCATAAAGCGTTGAAGAAATAAAGTTAGTAAAGCACTTAGGCAGAAAGTAATAATTGGGTCCTAACTATGATAATGGAAGCGGATCAGGAATTTTCTTTTGTATACACAGTACCGGTCTCTCTCTCTCTCTCTGGATAGCTATGGCTTCAGCAGTACAAAGGAGGCAAAAGCTATTCGTCTAAGGAAGACTACTTTCTACTCTCTAGATCACCTTGAAGGAAGGCTTTGTTGAGAGTGAGTGGTTAGTATCTTTAAAGTGTTCAATTATCGCGTTTCTTATAGAGCCTCTGTTACCTTTCTGTAACCATGCAGGATAGTATTAATGAACACTTTTAGACAGAATCTGCATTGAATGACCAATATATCTAGCTGCAAAAGGATAGGTGAACTGGTATTAGATGGCTGGAGGCAATCAGCAGGAAGCCTTGCCTGACCTAGGTCTCCTGCTATTTGGCACGCATTGGTGAGAAAGGCTATTTCGCAACCTTAAAGGAACTCATATCCCTTCTGAAATTTGAACCCGCATCACCTAAAGCTACAGTTAGAGACGCTACCACTGAGCTATTACACCAAACAAAGGAGAAGACACATTGCACTAGTTACTGATTAGTGTCCAGTCAAAAACATCCACTACAGTCCTACAGGAGGTCAGTGGTAAGCTCAAATAACTCAGTGGTAACCTCTCTGACTGCAACAGTAGGTGACACGGGTTCAAATTTCATAAGGGACATGAGTTCCTTCAAGGTAGTTACACATACGCCTTTCTGACCAGTGTGTGTCAATTAGCAGTAGACCTAGGCCCAGGGCTTCCTGCTGATTGCTTCCAACCATCTAATACCAACATATCAAAGTTCACCGTGATGGTGAGCCACCTAGAATGCTGGCCACATTGCAAATTTGACTTACAGAAGATAGTACTAGAAACACTACTGTACTTACTGATTGGTGTTCAATAAAAAACAGCATAGAAATGCTTAGATGTGATGTCTTGTTCTTTAGGCTCCCACAAACCTGCGGACAACTGAATAACACTCTAAACAAAGTGAATTCCTTCAGAAAAAGACTCTTCGCTGAACTAATTTTCTGGTTTTTATCAATGTTTCTATGGGAATTTTTCATAAACATTAGGATTTCCCTCTTCAAAGTTTTCAAGTTAGGTTAATAGCAGTTTGTCTGTTTCACTGCTGGACTTATTGGTTGAATGATAACATACTCTTGATGGGATCTCAGGTAAATTTTATGGATAGATCGTTGTCTGATAAATTTAAGTCTTCAGCAAAACAGTCGCTGACTGATGAGTGATTTTTTTTTAAAATTTTTCCCCAACTGACACCATATACTAATGTCAGATTTATATGAGTAGTTGGGTTATACCCACCCCAACTGGCAGTACCACTTTAAGGACAGCCAGATCCAAACGATCTAAACATTGGACAGTTATTTCCCTCATTTAGAACCGAACCTAGTTGAATTCCAATTCAAATCATCCGAATTATGGCCAGCTACTTAAGAGAACTAGTAATACATTAAATCAAATCACGAAGTTCCCTCCAAATGACTAAAATTCTTCTATAAAGTCTACCTTGTATAAAGTGAATACTAAGATAACTAGAATCTATCCATTCAAAATACATCCATTATATTATTCAATATTTATGTATAATTGATTGATAGATCAGCGCAGAAACTTTGCACAAGAGTTCATCAATTCAAATTGCCAGAATACAATGTGTTACACAGGAAACAATGTGCTTGCTACTGATAATCTGGAAACGCATGAGATATATACATATTTTTACAAAGTTTATAGGTTCTTTGTAGATCAGTCTCCCGAGAACTAATAAGTCCAGGGTATTTGGGTTCTGAGTGGAACACAAGGTTTCAGCAGAGGCGGATCTCCATTTCACCCTCTTCACTGCACTCCTCTTTAGCTGGTTCTGTAATTGACCGTAACCAGCCATCTCCTCCCCACCTGATGTGCTTCATGTCACCCTTGGGTGCTCGACTCACCGTTTCCCGTTAGGGTCCAAACCGAGGGCCAGCCTGGTGAGCAACTTCATTCACAGATCTCCTCAGCATGTGTTTTATCCACCTTTATTTTCTTCTACATATTTTTTTCAGCCATAGTTTCTTGATTGATGCGTTTCCATAGTTTCTTCTTAATAATCCCTTCTGGTGATCTGATCTTCCCTATGGAGTCAGGGAAGGCAACTGTTCATAAAAGCTTTGAGTATGCCTATTGAAAGTCTCTGACCTATTTAACGGAACTAAATGACTTAACATTAGCATTGAGAACAGGAATTTTATTCTTTATACTGATGAAGGTGTCTTCCTCGCCCCTCTGATTCTGATTTCGACATCTTTATTCGTGCCGTCCGCCTGTAGTGGAAACGATCCTGCTTAGATAAGTGAAGGAAGTGACTGCTTCTAAATTTCTGCTGCTGTGAGTGATTGGTGCGTACTGTTATTTTAGTTGCTTGTCGAGTATCTTCATCATCTGCATCTTCTCTATATCCTCACTTGGAGTCCCATCTTCTCTGCTCTTTCTTCTAATTTGTTGGTAAGTTATCAAGTTTGTGTGGCGCTAAACATAAATCCTCCACAAAGTTCAAATCTACCAGAGTGTTCTTATCGATTCAATGCATTCCTGTGTTCTGACTCGCCACTCACAGTCTGTTGCATGAGACAGTCCATCACAACTAGGGAAAATCATCAGCAACAGCTGGCAGCCTTGTCTTAACTCCTGCCTTTCCAAACACCAAATTCAGCGCAAACTTTAATATATGACTGCCATCCACCTAAGAGAAATCTTCAAGTATTGGTTTTGTAAGGATTTTGTAGGGATTAAATCCTTCATGCAATAAGATAAATCTCTTCGTTATTATTTATTTCAAGGCAGGATATACATACACACTAGAATACATAAAAATTCACTTCGTAAAAAGTTTTCTCTTTTTTTTAAAAAAAAAACAACTTACCTCAGCAGAAAAATTTTTACAACGTGCTGTCATACGTCTTGCAGCTAATTCAGAATTTGTATTCCATACAACTATTTCACCATCATAGGATCCAGTAATTAAACCATTTGGCGGTAATGCTGTCCCACTGAGTACATCGTCTGAATGTTCCTTTTATTTTTGATTTTGTTTATTAGAAATATGAAGTAATAAAAGTTATTTTTAATTAAATATTATGATTAACACAGGTCATTAGGATATATGTGAATATTTTGCAATAATAAATAAACCTAATAGAATCTAACATAACACCCTTGACATCATTTGGGAAATATGTGAAAACTAAGAAACCCTAAAGTAAAATTTCAGCTTAGTTTCAAAAATGTACCAGGCAAAAGTTCTACACAGAATCGAAACCAGAAGAAGAATTAGGTTATGTGATGCGTCCATATGCAATCATTGTATTAGTGTCCAATGATTTGTTGTGTCGTATTAACTTCCATTGTGTGTCATGTGTAAACTCCAGTTACCACAGTAGACTTGAATTGAATTCTTCCGAAAAAAAATAAAGATGACTGACCCTTGTTTTGAAGGAATTTCTCAATAAAATAGAATGACAATAGGACTTTCCTAATTTAAATAGTTGAATTAGTCAGTCTTTATTAATATATGGGATTCTTTTATGGAATTCTTTCTATTCCTATGGCTTTATCATGAGATTTGAAGAAAAATTTCATGGCAATTTTACATATATTAGTTGATAAAGTGTTTTGTGTATTCTTTCTATATGTAACTCACCTCGCCTAGACTACTAGCTTGCTAGTTTTCTAGCCGGTCTCAAGCCTGGATAAAGAGGGGGGCAGGTTGGGGCATGGCGCTAGCAACTCCACCCTCAAAACTCAACCAAACCGCTACAGAAACTTCAATGCACCAATATATTAAAAGTTCTAAAAATATAAACAGTAACCTTATTTTTCGCTGGAATCAGGGAAGTGAAATGACGCAGGCTGGTGAAAGCCTTCAGGAAGCCAGTCAACCGATGTGCCTTCTTTTGATGAAATCAAAAATAAGGATGGGAAAGGGAAGAGACGAATGAGACATCAGTGCAAGGGTGACATGGAGGAGATTGTGTGAAGAGGAGTTGAAACAGTCAGTATGGACTAACATGGATGCAGGTGAAAAGTACACCAATAGACAGAAGCAAGTGGAGACGTGCAGTTGAAACCCTATGTTCCACTAGGAACCCAAGGGAGCAATAATATAAATAAATAAAATAATATCTAACTCATTAAGTGGCTTCAATTTTTGAAAGCGATCTTATGAGTGCGTACTGATGAAGACTTCCAAACAAGGACGAAACGGCTGTTCACTTTGATCCCGGCTAACGCACTCCATTACCTTGCTAAGTCAAATGTAAAAGGCTGAATTAGTAGCAGTAACAGTCCTGTGCTTATGTACATTTCTTGAGGTATAATACATATTCTGTCATATAGATTATTCTTATTGGAACCAATTTCTAAGGACTGTATTCAATAGGCTTGATTAGGTTAATATACACACATCAATCTGTAACATTGGCAGTATGAAATCCTTTACTACTTTGTTTCACATCAAATATGATGAGATTTCATATAATGAAGTATATTAATAGCATCAGTTAACAAATCTATAATGTATCTCTCTCTTGCAAAACAGACTAATATGGATTGAGGATTAATTATTCGTTTAGTCAATGAAAAGAAACCCCTCAAATAGCCTCTGTCAGAGAGACAAAATCAATTCCTTAGGAAAAATAAAGCTGTATCCATTGAGGCCCGCTAAGTCTCGGCTATGAAGACAAACACTCGCCGATGACAGAAGTTAGATTTCGTGTATCATCGGCTACCATCCCTTAGGCTACAGGATCAATAGGCCAGTCTTGTAACCTGGTCCTTGTTGGGGTTACGGGTCCATGTTGACGAAGAGTTCTCAATTACGACGACACAGATGTCCCGTACTCCATCGTTTTCCAGCAGTTCTCTAACTGGTCAAATTTGGAATCAGTGAGATCAATATAAACCAACACTTGTAAAACATGGATAAAAAAAACACTCGCTCCATAAGCAGAATTGTTGTATTTATCATGTCAATTATTTTAAAGATAACAGAAATCTGTCGAATTTTTATGTGTTTGAGAATTGATTATTGAGTGATTGAGGATTATGTCGCGGAATCAAAGCTTTCATATGCGCGTTTTATACAGTATCCTTAGTTCTGTACCTTCATAGTGAAGTCAATTCACAGAACATAACAACACTAGAAACATCTGCCTCAGCTATTTATTTGTCTTTTTTTATTATTTTAAAACAGCTAACACTTCATTGTGGTATGTGCTACTGATAAGATTTATCAGTAGTAAATGAAAAGAGACGTTCATCGACATAAAAATATCAAATAGAAGAGAGATAGATTTGACATCGAATGTAAATGAACCAGCGTTGCAGAAAAATATGAGAGGCACGAAAAGAAGACAAAGAAACACAATACGAAGGACAGAAGTAGTACAACGTGAAAGATCTATAGAAATAGTGACTTGAAGATATGGTGTACGTAATTCCGCTACACAGAGATACGAAATTGCTACCGTTATGCATAATAAACAGATCTAAAAGTGAAAGACAAACAGATGCAAACGCCAAAAAATGGAGGTATAACCTAAAATTTTATTGTTTCTGGCTAAATAAACTCCCTCTACTATGTTAGTGAAAGTTAGATTAATATTCCGTTTTCAAGTATTGGTTTTTGTAGGGATTTTGTTTGATTGCATGGAGGATTTAATCATGAGCTGACATCAGTTAGAGAACCACTGGAAAACCTGGGAGTACTGGACAGCCGTTTCGTCCTATTTTGGGACTCCTCATCAGTACCTACCCACCGGGATTCGAACCCAGGACCTTCTGGTTACAAGGCGAGCTCGTAGAAAATTGAGCCACTGGGACCCGATCCAATGGTCCTTGAATTCTAACTTCTGCCAGTTCACGACATAGCGCGACCACTTCGCAATGTCTTCTTCGATGAGTTAGGAGAAGACAGGATTTCATCATAAATAGACATCGGTCAGAGGGCCATTGGAAGACCTTGGTGTACTGGACAGCTGTTTTGTCAGCCTAGTTTTTGTACCCTTCAGCAGTACACACTCACTGAGCTAGGTAAGATGCAATATGTCGGATTAGAGGACAAATACTCGCCACCGACAGCATTCATTACTGGTCATGTCATATCATGAACTGGCAGGAGTTGAAATTTTTGAACTATTGAACTGAGTCCCAGTGACTGAATGGTCTACGAGCTTGCCTTATAGCCAGAGAGTCCTGGGTTCGAACTCTGGCAGTGGGTGCGTACTGCCGAAGAGTCTCAAAGTAGGAGGGAGGAGACAGCTGTCCAGTATTGCCAGGTTTTCCGAAGGTCATCTAACGGATGTCAGTTCATGATGAAATCCTGAAAGTTAAATAAGGTTGAAAGAAGAAGAAGAAGGTTGAATGGCAATTTTATCAATCCACAATGAAAGTGTCCGTTGTCAACTTCAGGAAAAAAATGAAATGCACTGATTGCCTTCCTGACATTCCTATGACATCTGAAACTTAAGTAAAGCTGTAAAATCATATTAATATATGTGTAAAACTTGGGGACTGTCGTAGTAAGTAATTCCATATTAGTTTGTTTATTAGATGTATCACACAGTGAGTGAAACAGTATTATTATTTACTGGATGACATAGTTTCGAACAAACTTTATTGTTCATAATCATTTCATCAATTATAATCACACAATTTCGAAACTTGAGTTTTAAAGTTTCCTTCATCCTCCCTTATTTGTCGTTACTGGGGTAGTAGAATCTTCCAGATATCTAACTGGACAGGTGTTGAATCATTCCTATCACACGTATTTGCAGTTGATTCGATGAACAAAGCTTCTGTTATAAATCTCTCCCTCCATCCAGCTGTTACATTAGATCTTAAAACTGTCATCCAATCCCATCCTTTTGTATGGTTGTTTGTAATTGCATGTAGTGAGTTGCATGGATGAACTGTTCTCTGGATTCCTCATCTTATTAGGGTCAATCAATCTAGATTTTGCTAGGTTTTTATGTTCAGCTAGTCTGACTGCCCCTGTTCTACTACTCTAACCTATGTATTTGACCTGACAACCATTCCAGCAGGGTATTAAATCCACTAAATTGTTTTGTTTTGAAAGCTCCACAGGATTGATCCTTTAACCGACAAAGCTTGTTTCTAATTGAGTTTGTGGTTGGTTTGAATGCCAGTCACTTTTATTCCTGCCTTGTTAAGAATTCTGCATAAGGTTTCCGAGGTTCCTTTCTTGTATGGAATTACTACTGATGATTTAGATTCCTTATTGTTGTTGTTGTTGTCATTATGCTGTGCATATTTGATATGCATGTCGTCATTAATATTATCATTATTATCACTATCACCGCCATCATTGTTTAATTTATTTTTATATTTTCCCTGCATATTTCCTGAATAATTCATCAGGGTAATTATTCAGTTTCAAGGCTTCTCTTATATGTGTCACTTCTTGTCTTAGATTCTCCTTGGTATTACTAAGTTTTTGTGCTCTGTCACTTAAACATTTCACCAATCCTATTTTTACTGACATAAGGTGTGATGATCGAAACGTCATCCAGTGTATATACCTTTTTCACTGTGTGATACATCTAGTAAGCAAACTTATTTGTAAAATCATATTTATATATTTCCTATAGTGTCCTAAAGATATGAAATAAGATTTATTTTATTTATTTTGATTACAGCTTGGTGCCACATCGCTTTTCTTTGGTACAAGTATGGAATTTTCAGCATGGATATCGGCAGCCCAAATTTCGCAGGCCGACCATAGATATCAGGTGTGCGTCGGCAGGGGATCGAACCTTGGACCATGTGCATGGTCAGCGAGAGTCCTAACCGTTGTGCCACCGACGCACTGTGCAGTATTATTTAGTAATTAATTGGTTTCTCTCTATCTTTTGGTTATAAAGAAAGTTCAGAACACAATGAAAATATACATAACTCCAGTTTGCTTGGAAAGAGCTATAAAGCTGAAAGGTGAATTTAGTTTTACTCAATAAAACCCTAACTTTAATTTAACCTTAATTTTCGGTAAACTAATAAAATATCTCCCTAATTAGATTAATGTAAATTGAACTTGTCTCTAGCCTAGATCTAAGCTTAGTCTTTCTCAGAACTAATGTTAAAAACCCATTAAATATCCCGTTTACTGTCATGTCACATCATTCAGAACTTGTTTTTAAAAGTGAAAAAATAGTTTTATTTATCAAGTTTCATCGTCTTGTTCTAACTAAGCATTACAACATCATCGGTACGTTTTTCATTCCATTGAATATCTAAAGCAGAAAGTTAGACATTTTTTTATTGATTGCCTATCCTTTCCATTTCTCATCACAAATACCGTTTCATAGCTTAAAGTTAATTGTTAATATGAAAGGGTTTAGAAGTGTGTCATCTAGGATTAGACCACCGGACCACACAGGGAGCTTGCGAGTTTTCTACAACTGAACCATTGACGATATCTTAACTTGAACAAAACTGAAGTTTAGGATGAATAGTAATAGTTTACCAACAGTTGCCTCTGACTTAAAAAGATTTTATTCTGTACAGTGCCAGTAGATGACAAAATTCTTAAAATAATCTGATAGTGATTTAATATTATTATTTCGTGAAATCAAAGAAGAATCCTTTCATTTTTATAGACATGTTAGAATTTCATGAAAGCAGAAATTAATATGAAGAACGATAAAAAAGAGTTCAAAACAAATTCACAGCAAGTGTCTAGTCCTCTTTGGTTTTCACTGATCCTCTATAATTGACTCCAAATTTCATTATCGTCATCAAACTAGGACGTAGGAAACAGCTGTCCAGTAATCCCAAGTGGTTTTCCAAGGGTTCTCTAACTAATGTCAGCTCATGATGAAATCCTGTAACCAATCGAATCCCTACAAACCAACACTTGAATATCAATGAGATGATCACTAGCGAATTTCCCTATTCAGGTAGGTAGTCACCTGGGGTTTTAGTGAGAGTTCGTGACCAGTAGGGTGCAGCAGGTCGGGTGTGAGGACAAATGCTTGCCAACGAAGACTTTGTCTAGGGCTCATGCTATGTCGTGAATTGACATAAGTTAGAATTCATGTACTGGCCATTGGATAGAGTCCCAGTGGCTTAATGGTCTACGAGCTGACTCGCCTTATAACCAGCAGGTCCTGGGGTTCGAATCCCGGTGATTGCGTACTGTAAAAAGGCCAAGACTAGGACGAAACAGCTGTCCAGTACTCTCAGGTGGTTTTACAATGGTTCTTCAGCCAATATTAGCTCATGATGAAATCCCGTAACCAATCAACCAAATCCCTACAAACAAACACTTAATTGGCGTGCTGTCTACCCCACCAGCGGATTTTTTTTGTAGGGATTTTGTTTGATTGCATGGAGGATTTAATCATGAGCTGACATCAGTAACCAGAAGGTCCTGGGTTCGAATCCCGGTGGGTGCGTACTGCTGAGGAGTCCCAAACTAGTACGAAACGGCTGTCCATTACTCTGTGCAGGTTTTCCAGTGGTTCTCTAACTGATGTCAGCTCATGATTAAATCCTCTATGCAATCAAAGAAAATCCCTACAAAAACCAATACTTGAAAACACTTAATTCCAAATTCATACACAAACCCATCTCATTTCTAATATGGACTTTATACTCATTAGTCATTGACTCCACGATAGATATCATGAAGTTATGATGAATAATGGTGTCTAGTGAAGTTCATATCATATCAGATGTGAAATTGAGCTTCACTGATGTCATTTATTGACGATGAAGGTATACAACACATTTCACACAATTCGGAATCCACAATTCAGTGAATTATTATTCCAAATCATTGACTGAATAGTGAAAGTAAATAACGTAGAGTAACGAAAACATGTAGTGCACAAAAAGTTTAAAATTAGGAGAAAAATAGCTATGCAATGTTTACTAGTTTTCAATTATGACAGTGAAACTAATCGAAATGTCTTCATACTTATAATTCATAAGAAAGGAAAGCTTGTGAACGATAAATATAAAGTTTGTGTGGATTTGATTGCCCTAAAATTTGATCTTGTGTTGACATAGGTAACAGGACAATCTGAAACCAGGGATTATCAAGTAGATATTTTGTCCTTGTTTTGAACTCTTCAGTAACACTCCCTGGTAGCCCCAACGGCCTTAAAAGTCAAACTCTAGAATCTTCAGGCTACAAGGTGAGCTCATTTACCATTCAGCCGCTGAGATGAAATAACTGTCGAATATTATCTGGTTTTCAATAGTTCTGTAACTGATATTAATCCGTGATCAACAGTGCAGATATTCTTTGTTTTACTAAGCTAACTGTGCGTCGGTAGCACAGTGGTTAGGACTCTCGCTGACCATGCACATGGTCCGAGGTTCGATCCCCTGCCGACGCACACCTGATATCTATGGTCGGCCTGCGAAATTTGGGCTACCGATATCCATGCTGAAAATTCTATACCTGTACCAAAAATACGGTGTGGAATCAAGCTGCAATAAAAATAAAAATAATACATTAATGCTTTATACTTCATTTATTTTAAGCAAATGATTATAGTAATGAACTTACTGGACCACCTTTCCATTCAGATGGATAAACATAATGATCCCGAAAATTAGTTGTACGAAATACAGTGAAATGTGTTGAATTCCCCATGACAATAATTGATCGTTTAAGGATAACAATCTGCCCGACTTCAGCATGCGACCCACCATAGCATATCAATGTATGATAACAATAACCATTCATATCCCATATCTAAATAAAAAATTTTATTAAAACAATGAAAGAGGTCTTATGAACATAATATAATGAATTAATTAATTTGAATAACAATTTATAGAAAGTTTATTGCAAAATATAATCCAGTCTCTGGAGTTTTGGAGGATGTCTTGAGAAGCAGATAGAGACCAGTCTTTCAGTCCTTTGATTATCCTTCCTCTGACACATAATATGTGAATTTTTAAATAATGTTTTTGATTATAGCTTGATTCTACACCGCATTATCCTGACAGCTATAGAATTTTCAGCATGTGAAATGTGGTAGCCGAAGTTTTGCAGGCCAACCAATTGATATCTGGTATGCGTCGGGTGGGGATTGAACCCTAGACTATGTGCATGGTCGGCGAGAGTTCTGACCGCTGTGCCACCGATGCACAGTTAGAAGTAATTCCAGAGGAGTATCTGTCCACTTTCATTTGATAAAGTTCACAACTAGTGCTGTAAACAGAAACAAGTTTACCTACCGAATAAGTTACAGCAAGGGGTGTAATATCGTGTAATACATCAATTGGTCTAAACGTTAGTGGAATGAATATAAACATCTTCTCGACTGCAAAAACCTTTTTTAATTACTGTAGTTTTTCGAGAAGTGGTTTGCGAGTTTCTTTAGAAACCTGTTTTCAGACAGTCGCATACAAAGAAGTTCAACTCTTGATGCAATCTATCTTCAGAGCAAAGTTTGCGCGATCTATCAAATAGCCTGTTGGAGAAGGCTGGTTTGTTAATTATTGCAGCAATAGCCAGCAAAAAGACTGCCTTTTCAAAAAATTTATTATCAAGCTGTATTACCGTACATATATGATTTTTTAAGAAACTATATCCCTCTGGGGAAATTGAAATAAAGGAGTGAATACCTGAAATAATAATAGTAGTAGTATGAAATTCAGTTATAATATTTGTGATTTTAATCATAGTTTATATGTCAAATGGTAAAATAAGTAATGTCATATATAGAATCGTTCATAGGATGTACAAATGTTGCAAAATGGTGTATAATTAAAGATTCTGTGAAAAACACTACATTGGCCAAAGTGGACGTCCCCTTCGTCTTCGTATCCACGAACATAAGCTAGCCGTCAAAAGACATGATATCCACTCCCTCATTTCACTACACACAGACAACCACGGACATCAATTCGACTGGGACAACGTTCAAATATTAGACAAAGGAAATAACAAGAATGCTAGAGAATTTTTAGAAGCTGGCATTCCAGTGAATCATCAATCAATAGACACATCGAGATAGACAAATTTATCAACCAATAAGAAAGAAACTTCACACACAAGGGCAAAGTTCAAGTCACAGAAACAATCAGTTCCAACACAAGTAACCTAGAAGGTGTGAAAACACACATAAACAACCAATCACATCCAAGTCACCAGGAGGAATGATTAATAAACTCGTGGAGAAACCTAAAAGCTCACTTCAATTGAAGTATGCGCTGAAGATGTCACCAGTAGGCGATGAAAGCTTTGCAAACTAACCATCCAGCTCAGAGAACAAAACCACATCAAAATTATAAGATTAGCAGGCAAAATAAAAAAGTCCCATAACATGATAAGATATAATTAAACATTACAGAAACATTTTTGATTTAGAATAGCAAATGCGAACAATCCAAGGTGTGAATGATAATAATTATTATTATTGTATCCTTTAATTCCTACAGGAACATAGGACTTCAGCTGCGCATCTTCATTGCCTTCTGTTTTCTGCCAACTTTTTCACCCCGCTCCAAGTCTGCCCACATGCTTTCATCTCCTCTTCACATGACCTCCTTCAAGTAACCCTTGCACTGACGACCAACTCGCCGCTTCCCTTTCGGGTTTCACTCGAGCAATGGCTTGTCTAGTGATGTCACTTGATGGTTTCCTCAGAGTATGGCTGGCCAATCTGCCTCCATTTCTTCCTGCCTATTTGCTTCGAAATCGGTTCCTGCTGGATTGGTTCGCTCCCAGAGATTCCCGCTGCTGATCTTTTCTGGCCATCTGATCTTGAGCGGAGTATTGAGCGAAGACAACTGTTAATGAAGGTCTGAAGTTTGCTTGAGATGCTCTTTATGACGCGCAGTGCAAGTCTCTGATCCGTATAGTAGCACTGACTTCACATTGGAGTTGAAAATCCCGATCTTATTTTCATTTTCATGCTGAGTGCTGTTGATCTCCACATACACTTTAGAGTAATGAGATCTTGTCTTGCTTTCCATTTCTGGCTTTGATATCCTTGTCACTTCCGCCTGTAGTTGAAACGATGCTTCCCAGGTAGGTAATGGAGGTTGTTTCTCTCAGGTTCCTCCCATTCATACTGGCTGATTGTTGTCTGTTGTTGTTGTTGCCAGGAATCTTCATCACCTACCTCTGTTTTATCTATGTTCACTTGAAGTCCTATCTTTGATGCTTCTTCTGCCATCTTGTTTCTTTTCACTTGCACATCTTCCAGTTTGTGGGAAATCAGACATGTATAATAGTAACAATAATTTGAAGGATAATACAAGCTCGTTTTATTTTATGGAAAGGAAGGATTTCTCCTTCCACCTAGGCCGAAACTTGGAATTATTGAAATAAAACCAATCTTCATTTGTCCAGAGTAAAAAAAGTAAAGAAGCATCCATAAGGACGGGAAACAGAATTAAAGATGCATTGAAAAGAACATTATCCATCGCTAGACTCATTCCACTCTACAAAACACGATGCTCGTTAATCCAGTCACAGGTGGGTAAGTATCCTACTCATATCAACTCAAACTACATTTATCAATCCACATGCACTTGCGGTAGCAAGCACATAGGAAGGACTGAGAGTAGAGTGTCTACTGGATTCTTCGAGAATATCCCCAAAAGTCTCCGTTTGAAAGGCATGGAAGTGTTCTCGAGGAAATTAGTCGGGCTTTCAAAATAATCAATACGCAAAAGAAAGCACAGGTAATGCGGTCGATCAAGTAATCTGGAATAGGGCTTCACACACCATTCTTTCCCCCCTGGGAAAATCATGCCAAGGTATGTTCTTATTTACGTATGGAAAGCATTTTCTGGCTACAGCTAATGTATCTTGCTCCACAGAAGCATGTGAACCGAAAGATGCACGTAGAGGCAGCCAAACGAGGGAGTTTGTCTCTTACAGTGACGGAGAGATAATAACTCATGGTTGATGAAGGTCATTTGTATTCTTGTGACAAAGAAAATTTTACTCAGTCATTCAGAGAGATGATTTCTGAGCATATTTTTTAAACCTGACCCCTTTTGAATTCCAAATTCATAAATTTTATTTTCTTTAGCACTGAGTCAGTGACAAGTTTGGATTTCTTATCCTTCATGTTTTTGTTAATAAGAAAATAATTTTATACTGGACAGAAACTAGAATGGTTTAAATACTTTCCGATGAGTATTTTTTATTACACCTTAATTACACACCGTAATTTATGGAATTTTCAGCATGTGATATCGGTAGCCCAAATTTTGCATGCCGGCCATAGATATCAGGTCTCCTTTCAGCATTTTTGTCTATCTTGACTGTGTCACCATGTCATTTTGCCAGAGATAAATTCAGCTTACCTTTGAAGGAGATTGATGTATCACACCGAATCAAAACAGACTAAGAGTTTTCCTTGCCATGACTTATCAGGCAGGTAAACTTGTTCCTGTTTATAATCTATTAATCGAAAGTGAACAGGTACCCATCTGAATTCATTGACCTCCAACTATGCCTACAAATCTACACGTATGTGCCGAAGGAAGTACACTGGAAGTACAAAAAGGTAGGTATCCATTAGCTTCCACAAACATATTCCAAAATTACTGAAAATCAAAAATTCTCATTCCCTTATCTTAGTGTCGTTGGTCTATACTTAACTGAATCAGGAAACAAAGTGGACATTGAAGCTACATTTTCTAATATTCTAAAAGAATAAATAATAATAATAAAATTTAGGCTGCCGATATCCATGCTGAAAATTTCATACTTGTACCAAAATCACAGTGTGGAATCAAGCTGTAATCTAAAATAAATAAATAAAGAATATTCTTTTCAATGACCTGTTCTTCTTCATCAAGTTCTACAGTTACATTAGTCTATAATAATCAAACAATTATCGTTAATAACAACATTAACGTTGCTTTTGTTTTTACATAACACCTAATCGCTGACATTAGAAGTTCGATATGAGAAGATCACCTGGTCGGATATCCTCACTGATTCCACAAAGTCTGATGACAACATTTCTGTCTTTCTTGTCGTCAGAGTGAAACAGCTTACGGTTATTACACTCCTATTCGCCGACACTTCAACTTCGTCATCAAACCATCAACACATTTTGATGGTAAATTACTTTTAGTTTAACTACTGCTCAATATAAATTTCTGGCCAGGTAGAACAGCTGCAGCAACATTAGTTCTAGCCACTGAAGATATGTGGAAGCCCAACTATCACATTAAGGTGATAGCTATTACTCAGATAGCAATAATAATAACATTATTAGAACTTTTTTTCTTTCACAATACCTTAATTGTACCATCAGTACTTCCGGTATAGAATTTAGTCTCTGTTGGATCTTGTACTAAACACGTCAGTTCACTTTCACCATGACTACGAGAGATAGTTTTAACTCGTTGACCTGATTCAATTAACCAAAATGATATTGTACCACTTTGAGCAGCAGATACAATCTAAAAGATTGAAAATAAAGGAAAACAACAATATGGAAATCGAAATGAAGCAACAAACAGTCTTCAGTAGGAGTGTAAGTCTTAATTTTTTTTTCAATTTCAATTACTTTTAATAATTTCGTTAATAATGTTTTTTTGTTTTAATTCCTTGACGTTCCCAGTAGAACTTACGGCTTCAAGCTAGGACTATGAAGTTTCCGTCGCAGTGGTGTTTGTTTTTACGCAATGAAATCTTCCCTTTTTACGTCTTATTACTGGCTTAAAGAGTTATTGGATTGTTAAGTACTGGTCACTGCGATCACCTGGCGTATATTTTCATTTATATTGTATATACATATATATATATATTACTTGTTTCATCTTTTTTTACTTCTCATAATCAGGTTTTTGCTGTGATCCATAGTCCCCATAATAACGCAAAATGCTTTTTGCAGGGTAGGGTGGCCAAGCCACACCACAAAACCGTCCCTCATTTGCAGACCTAGGACCAACTAGTAAACTAGGCGAGGTTTAGATTTATCATCTACTAAGTCAGATTATATCAGTAGTTCGAAGTGGTAGAATACTCATCAAGCAGCCACATGGGTGATGCAGGGTCCAACTCCCTGCTTAACCAGTAGTTATCTCTGGTAAAGAGGGAAGGTTAAGCGCGCAGCCTAGAAAGCCAACCCCATAGAAGGCCAACACCATTGCTACTGAAACTTCAAAGCTCAAACTTGAGTTTCAATTTTCCACTGAGAACGCAGAGTATTAAAACAAAAGGCCATAGGGTCAGCTGAAATAAGGCTGACTAAATGATGAGATCAGCCAGTGCTTTAGCAATGGCAAATTTAATGGCGGATTATATTTATTGTTAATATAATTATATATTGGATACTGGACATGGTTTATTGGGATAATTGTTTAGACAATTGCTTCCCCTGAATGATCCATTTACGATATTTAAGGCTTATTTGGACATTTCAATTAACTTTGGAATGCCTTAATATAGGTAAAAAAGTTTGAGCATTGTGGATTAGATCAAATAAAGTATAATTATATTTCAGTTATTTACGCACAATGATAAGTTTTGTTATTGATAAAGTTTCGAGCAAAATTACTGCAATCTGGACCCTATACCATAATGACTAAATCAGCTGAAACAATCACCAACAAAACAATGAAAGAAACAGCAAAGGTAGTCAGACAAATGAAAGAAGTAATTGGTAAGTCAAAATGGTTTGAAATTATGCCAAAATCTTGTAATGTACCTAGGATATATGGTAAGATAAAATTGCATAAAGAGGGATATCCAATAAGACCGATTGTAGACTTCAGAAACACACCAACGTATATGCTATCCAGATTTCTCTCGACAATACTAAGACCGACAAGAGACAACTCAAAAGCTAGAATAGTAGATTCATTTGAATTAGTGAGGCGAACAAAAACCACTAAAATAGAGGAGGAGGAAACACTAGTTAGCTTTGATGTAAACAGTCTTTATACGAAAATACCCATTCAAATGGCCATGATTGCACTGAAAGAGAAACTAAATGAAGATAATGGCCTGAAAGACAGAACACAGTTATCCGTAGAAGAAATAATAAAAGGGGTAGAATTCTGTCTGACAACAACATATTTCACATTCGAAGGAAAAATATACCAACAAAATGAGGGAGTAGCTATGGGATCGCCTATCTCACAAATTATAGCTGACATATTCATGGATTATTGGGAGGAGAATGCCCTTAAACCATTCAGATCATCACTAAAATGTTGGTGGAGATATGTAGACGACACACTAGTAATAGTGAAAAAAACGATACTGAGAAACTTTTCTCACACATAAACAGACACGTCGACTCAATAAAATTCACTATGGAATTAGAGAATGAAATTGGAGAACTGCCCATGTTAGACTACAAACTACAAAGAATGACAGATGGTAGCATAAAAACAACGATATATAGAAAAGCCACACATTCTGGAAGATTCCTTGATTATCACTCAGGTCATCCACTCTCGGTAAAACGAGGATTAATACAAGGTCTTGCAGATAGAATACGTAAACTTACAACAACACCACAGGACCAGCGTAAAGAAATAAAAGTCCTATTCAAAATGCTACTCGAAAGCAACTACCCTAAGGAATTTATAAAAGATAATATAAAAAAGAGAAAAAAGAGGGTAAAACCGGAGAATAACAAGATGGAAGAATGGAAAAAAACAGTCGCAATACCATATAAAAATGGTACATCAGAGGCAATACAAAGAAACCTCAAAAATATCAGCATTCAAACAACGTTCAAACCGACGAATCTAATCAAAAATAAATCAACTGAAAGATCCCATAAAAATGATGGATAAAAACAATTTGATTTATAAAATATCTTGTGCTGACTGTCCAACTAAATATGTGGGGCAAACGTCCAGATCACTCAAAATAAGAGTGAATGGACATAAACGCCTAACCATAGGTCAACCAACAGGGATACAAGCTTACAAAAATCTTGAAAAAAATTCATCGATAGCTGAATATGCATGGGACAAAAACTACAATATCGATGGGAACAATGTGTGTATTCTAAAAACAAACATGAACAAATGGAAAGAAAGACTCATAACAGAATCGATATTCACTAAATTCACACCGGATACATGTAACAAGGGTGACTCAGTACAACTATCAACAACTTGGTATATATTGAATTGAATTTTCGATTTTCCCGTCGATCGATTGGACCGAAGTTCTTGGTCTCAGGTTGACATGTCGGCTTCTTGTGCAGATGTTTCGACGATGTCTGGGCATTTAATTAATTTAATCAATCGACGGCAAATCAAAAATTCAGTTCAATAATTAATATGACCCGTTGCACAAGAGGTGGCTCTCGTGGCCCAAGTGGTCTAGTGGATAACGCTTTGGCGTTTGAAACTATGGGCACTGGGTTCGAGCCTCAGTGGGAACATCATCACTCACTGAGAAATGCAGGTACATCCAGCTGACGAATCCCAAATAGGACGAAATGCACATCCTGGATTCCACTGCTAGCCACCATCCACCACTTGTAAACTTGGAATACAGTTCTAAATACAAACACATGAATGAATGTGGAATATAATCCTGAACACACATGCACACACAAAACATGAATGAGCAAAAAAAAATGAACTATATATTTGAGTACAAATCATAAATGTGTGAATAAAACAATTCCAACAGTGGTGTGAACACGGGCAGTAATTTTGCTCGAAATATTACCAATAGCAAAACTTGTCATTGTGTGTAAACTATTGAAATATAATTATACTTTATTTGTAATGCCTATTTCTCTTTTCTTCTAGGCTGTTTATCAGCAGTTTAACGTTTGCATATCACCTAGTGACTTGATCTTTATTATTGTCTTTGTTCTTGTTTAATCTTTAATTTAAATGTTTCTGTTTGCGTTTGTGCAAGATGATGTTGATAGCATGTTGTTTTATGACACCGATTTGATTTGAATAAAGTACAGTTGTAGCTGTGGGAATTTTGACCATGTACTGTCTGCGGGAAGTGATTCTGGCTGACAGAGTTTTGATCTCTTCTTAATCCCTGAGTACTTTTTATGATTGATTTTGGATAACTAATTTTTTTCTCGAAAGAATGATTACGGAACAAGAATATTCTTCTTGATAACTTCATAATCAGGTTCTTCAGTTATATAAACATAATAGTGAAGTGAATTAGTGATATGAACAACATTATTGTTCTTTAAATAACATCGAATAAATAATAATATCATCGGATTACAGTTCGATAGTATTAGAAAAACTAATAACACAGATTCATAAATTTATAGTCTTCACTGAAGGCCGGTCAGGTTAGTATTAGTAGTGGCTCGACTTGCTTCTTATGCACACAAAACACTGGTTGTTTAAAGCAAATATCGGTAGCCTCTGCTGTATGGAGCATGTTTTACCTGGATGTTTTTACCTGATGGGGAAGGACTCTTCAATACTAGCTTTGCTGCTAGTTTGGACCAGGTGGTCTAATATTGAACTGTTGATAGTTTTTGCTACGCCTTCATTTAGTCACAGTGATAGATTTTCCCAGACACAAAAACTCAAGGTCCTAGAGCCACGGACAATATAACTCGCTTCATAAGCACAGTTAAATCTGTAGATACAATCAGAAGCGGCTAGTCTAGGTGCTTTATCTTTCAATTAAAGAATCACCATCAATTGTGTAGAAAATAGGACTTCTAGTTTACCAGCACTGAAAGTTATTTGAACTGATTTCCTGAACTTCTTCGTAGTTATTTCGCTAGGTATATAGTCCTTGAATTGCAGTCGTGTTAATAAAGGCTTCTTGTTTGTGGACAGTCAGAAGTCTTTTTCGACTTTCTTAGTCATATGTTTCCTGATAAATTTGTCTGGATAGCTATTTTCAGTCAAGGAATCGCATACAATCCTTAGTTCATGTTCAATTACTTCCTCCGAGCATATAGCTCTAACTATGTGGCTGGAGGTTCATTCTTCTGAAAAAAATATATCAATGGGCATTTTTAATCAGTTAGCTAATTGTTGTTGTACTTTACTTGTTCACTTAATGAGAAACTACTGGATCTGTATAGCTGTCTTAATAATAATAATAATAACCTACTTTATTTCAAAAACAGTACTTATAATACAGGATGGAATTCTCAGCATTTGTCACAACACCTTTTATCTGATTTACTTAAAATTAAAAATTAGAACAAAAGTAACCAGAAGAATTTGTCCACGTTTACGATATAAAGTCAAAAATATTCGAAGCACGAATTGAGATCATTAAATTTAATAATAATAATAACAATAACAGTGATTTTGTTTCAAACAGTATTGTCGATTCCGTTTGGAAATTTTAGCATGTTATAGACTATTGAATCTAATATTCTGTTCATATAGTATGGTGAGGGGAATGTTCACACTTTTGAAAAAATAAACAAATAAAACCCAAAAATTGAGAGGGTTATAAATATAAGTAGTACAATAACAATAAAGCTTGATGTTATAAGGGTGGAGGAAATGGTTTATTTAATAGTGCAAAAGAGGTTGGTTAGTTAGTTCATGCCTGACACCATTTTCATCACATAAAGTACGTGCCGTCAAATATGGTATAGTGGAATTTTTATACTTAGACGTACTTGCATAAAGTCTTCTGAAAAGACTTCTTGTTTTACCTGAGGAGGAGACACAAGGTTGGAGCTACGGGTAGAGTGGGTCTTCAGAGTCTGACAAAATTCCTTTAGCAAATTTGTTGCATGACATCAAGTGCCTATCAGTGACAATGTCACCGATTTGGCCCAATCGGATACCACTCATCCTACTGACCGGCAGTCTTTAGAGTTCTACGAAGTATGACATAGTCTGTTTTAAGCAATCCAGGAAGGAAAGAATAAGGGTGGACAGTAAGGAAGAATAGGTAAAATACACGAGTTGACAAACTGTAAGAGGAGAGGTTAAGTTATGCCTGAGCCCCTTGACTTCTTAATGTAAAAAGTCAGACGAAGTATTCTTTTAGAAATCACTAAGACATAGGAAGAGCAGGATAGGTCAGAAGAAAGAGTTAATCCAAGATACTTAACTTCAGACTTGATTTCTATATCAATATCATCAATTTTGCAATGGTCATAGGAACCAACAGCTTCATTTAACTTTCTTCTACATCGGAAACTGAAATTAACAGTCTGACATTTAGAAGGATTTAGTCTAAGGCCGTTTCAAGAAGACCATTTGCTAATTCCTGATAGAAAGCTGTTTATTTTAGCACAGTCAAGCTGGGAGTTAACAGACGTTGAAATAGTTAGATCACCGGCATACTTAAGAAAGTTCATTGTTGGAGTAATTTGAAGTATTTTGGTCTGTTATTACTGTTATATAATACCACCGAAGTTTTCAGTCACCGACACACTTTAAAACTGTGAATAACTCAAAGACATTTTCGGTTAGCTGTAAAGTAGACTGCTATAATTGGTTTCCAGCATTCAGTACACGATACGTCGGTTTAAGTCGCTACACATACTTGTCTACACAATTAGTAACAATATTTCCGACAAGTTTCCTGGAGACGTTCATCATTAGCTGCCTTGTCATGATAATGAAGATCAGGTAGCCCGCCAGAAAACGAAAGCCAACATGAAACTCTACTAGCAAACTAGTCAGGTACCGACTAATCACTCAACAGATATACAGAGGGGAATTGGACACACACCAAAGAGATCATCAAGTAACATCACAACCTGAATGAGCACCAGTGAGTTGGGTGACATAGACAAGATCATGTATGTTATTTAATTGATGGATGGTGACTAGCAGTGGAATCCAGCCAGGATAAGGCGCATTTCATCCTATTTGGGACTCTTCAGCTATCTGGATATACTTGCATTTCCCAGTGAGTGATGATGTTCTCACCGAGGCTCGAACTCAGTGACCATATTTTCAAACGCCAAAGCGTTATCCACTAGACCAGTTGGACGACAAAAGCCACCTCTTGTGCAACGGGTCATGTTAAGAAGCCGACATGTCAACCTGAGACCGAGCAGTTCGGTTCAATCAATCGACGGGAAAATCTAAAACTCAATTAAACATGTGTGTTATTATTTATCCAAAGATTCTCAGGTTCTATCCTTCAATAATATCAAGGAGTTTTATCAATATCAGATATCATTTTTTTTATAAATCATAGTTTCCTATCATGAGGATGCTAAATGTGACAAGTGAATTAGATCTTTAAGTAAAAAAGACACAATAAAGTAATAAGGAGTAGGTTTTTTCCCTTTACTCTGCTACAAAAAAAATAGGGATTCGAGCTAGAGCTATGCAGTTGCAGTAGCAGTGATGTTTTATTTTTATGGAATAGGGTTGTTGCCAGCCGCCTCATGCCAAAAAAAACTTCCCTCTCTACCAGTCTTATTACTGCCTTAACGAGGTGAAGGAGCACGTCGAGGGGGTGGGGGAGGTTGAACCCCGGATCACATATGAGGCATGGTTGGCGAGCATTCTACCACTGTGCCACCGACATAAAATTAGCAGTAGGTATACACAGATAATTAAAGATACTCAGTTGACTTACTTGATTAAATGCTGAATTGTAAATGATACCAATCAATGGCTTTTCATGGCTTTGAATACGATCGTTTACTTTGATTCGCATTTCCATAACTGTTAAAGTATGATTAAAGCTAAGAAACAAGCGTAATCTATCCTCATGGAAATACATATGTGTTGAAACTATTAAGCAAAAAATTAAATATATATATATATATATATGGAATTACAGTAGAAAACAATAAAGAGAATAGTCTTTATACTAAGCAAGTCAAAACTGTACGTCTAAACAATTAAATAAACAAAAATAATAGTAAAGTTAAACGAACACATGATATATACCGGTGAGTTCAACAACTACTTTGAAAACGCTACCAAGTCTACCAATAAAGCCTCGTAATCACATCGAAGTGATCTCAACATCACACTACTGTTTTGCTCTTCTACAGTCAAGCTCATCTCAAACAGTCAATTTATTTTGAACCACCTGATTTCTGTCTAAATACATAAGCAAATTGATAATACGTGGAATCAGTTTCACAATTTTCAGGTTACACAGGTCGAGGTGAAAATTCAATGCTGTCTCCTATAGAAATCGAAAACATTCACATCATAATATATGATCTCCTTGTTACCATAAATTGTAATAAAAAATTATTATTATTTCCTTTAATTCCTAGAGGAACATAGGGCTTCAGCCAAACGTCTCCGTTGTGTTCGCTTCTCTACTGAAGTTTTCACCTTGCTCTGCCCACATTCTTTCGTCTCCTCTTAACATGACCTCCTCCAAGTCACTCTTGCACTGACGACCAACTCGTCGCTTCCCTTTCGGGTTCCATTCAAGCGATGGCCTGTCTCATGATGTCACTTGATGGTTTCCTCAGAGTATGGCCAATCCATCTCCATTTCTTCCTGCTTATTTGTTTCACAATCGGATCCTGCTGGGTTGGTTCTTTCATTGACGGGGATCCCTGTTGGTGATTATTTCTGGCCAGCCATCTGATATTGAGTAGTATTGAGTGAAGATAGCTGATAATGAAGGTCTGTAGTTTGTTTAAGGTGTTCCTCATGACGCACAATGCAATTCTCTGATCTGTATAGTAGCACTGACTTCACATTGGAGTTGAAAATCCGGATCTTATTTTCATTTTCATGCTGAGTGCTGTTGATCTCCACATACACTTTAGAGTAATGAAAGCTTGTCTTGCTTTCCATTTCTGGCTTTGATATCCCTGTCAGTTCCGCCTGCAGTCGAAACGATGCTTCCTAGGTCGGTAGGTAGGTTTCCTCCAATTTATGCTGATTGTTCTCTGTTGTTATTGCTGCTGGTGTTGACCAGTAATCTTCATCACCTCTATTTTCTCCATGTTCACCTGAAGTCCTATCTTTGATGCTTCTTCTGCCAACTTGTTTCTTTTCACTGGCATATCCAGTTTGTGAGAATTCTGACATATATCATCGGTGAAGTCAAAATCCTCCAAGTTTTTCGAGAATGTCCATTTTATGCCTGTTTCCTCACTGCCTGCTTACTCTCTGTCGCATTATCCAATCTACTGCAATCAGGAAAATCATGGGATACAATAAACAGTCCTCACTTCGAAGGATTCCGTAAGTTTCCCGTTGTGGATTACTTGGAATTCAGAATTGTCGTATAACTGTTGGATGAGATGTATAATTGTCAATAGGACCACGTAGTAGCGAAGTGGTTGCCAAATCACCTCTCGATCGATGCTATCTGTCGAAGGCCTTCTCAAAGTCGATGAAGTTGAGATAGAGAGGTGACTGTCATTCCAAGCTTTGTTCAATGATGATCTGTAGAGTGGCGATTTGATCAATACATGACTTTTGTCTCCTGAATTCAGCCTGTTCCGGTCGAAGTTTTCCATCCAGATCTTGTTTGATTCTCTCCAAGATGATGTGGCTTAGTATTTTGCTTGGGTGGACAGGAGCATAATTCCGCGCCAGTTTTTGCATTGACTTAAGTCTCCTTCCTTTTACAGTTTGAATAAGTATCCTTTCTTCCAATCCTCGTGTACTTTGCCCTCTTTCCAAACCTTCTTCACCAATGGCGTCATCAAGTCAGCTGTTGTTTCTGGGTCCGAGCACAACCACGTTTCCAAAGGAAAGTGCAGTGAATTCTCACCAAGAACTCTGTGTAATCCACAAGTAGAAAGCTTCGTTTGATCACATGGAATATTCACAATATAAGGAAGACACGATTGATTACAATAAATTAAACTGACTGAAAATGTTCAACTTCACCGAAAATCAAGCATATTTTCAACATCAACAACTAAGCCTACGAAAGAATCCTCTCATTTGATAATTTGAGATACGATCATCAGACAGTGTAATTATCACGAACTGTTCAGTAGTGACAGGAACGCATGCTCATGATAAGATCACGAATTCGTTGTGATATGACCTGAGATGTCTACTTCAGTGGAAATGTAACTTTATATTCTCTTCTACTTCTTGATTCCTTTACCGTCTAAGTGGAACATAGGTGAGCTACATACAAACTTCAAATTGGCAGTATCAGTGATGTTATTGCTTTACTGAGTAAGATTGTTAGTTCAACACTCAAGCTTCCAACATTTTGAGGTCTTTTTTATAGGTTAAGTGGGGTGTAAGAGCGTGCCGGTCTGAAACCGAACCGTCACCTCCCACATGCTTGATAAGCCGTCTCCCAGAGAACTATAACCGATATGCCAAATATAAATATGATGCTTTCATTATTTATAGTCGGGATTCACATAACATCAGTGAAGCAAGTGATTAAAATCCCATCAATTAAACAGGCGATACAATAAAATGAATCATCTTTTAGATAGCATTATTGAAACAAGATATAAGAATACAACTTGTGCACTGTGGTAGAGTATAATTCAATTATGGGAAAAAATTAGTTTGATAAAGTCTCACAGTAGTGTTATACAGTAATATTTACTGATGACCACCTTTCAAGCACAATTTATTACTGCGCATAATCATATCAAGGTACTCATACAACTTTACAACTTCGTTTATATGAGTTCAATTATTTTTCATCACTTGATTTGATTGGTAGTAGTATTTTCCATTTTTCCGGTATGAATGGTGAGTCATTTATATGGCAAGAGTTGGGTGTAGACTCGATGAACAAGGATTCAGTAATTAATCTCTCTCTACCTCCACATACCTCTATTACTCCTTAGAATTTTAACTCTCTCCCATCCTACTGTGTGATTGTGTGTTAATGCATGCAGTGTGATTGCTGAGCCTTTTCCTAAATTACTAATCTTCGTGGGGTCAATCATTCTAGCCTTAGCTGACTACTCTGACTACTCCCGATCTACTAGTTTGATCTACGTAGTTGACCCCACTCACACTCATTCCAAGGCATTTTGTAAATTATATTATTTTGTTTGCTTGGATCAACCGACAGGGTTTTTTACGCTACAGAGCTTGTCCGTGAGTGAGTGGGTTTTCAGGTTTGAATGCCACCACTCCAATTCCTGCTTTATTAAGAATCCTACTACATAGGGTCTCAGATATCTCCAACTTATATGGTATAACAGTAGATGCCTTGCATTCCCTCTTATTTATGTTTTTATTACTAGTTTCACAGTTATTTGTATTTTGCTTTTGACCTTTTCTGATATTCCTAATGAATTTTATAGGATAGTTAGTTACTTAACACCAACGCTTTTTCTATGTGTTTCACTTCATCATTAAAGTCTTTTATTGTACTTGATGTGCGTCGGTGGTATAGCGGTTAGGACGCTCACCGACCATGCACATGGTCCGGGGTTCAATCCCCGGCCGACGCACACCTTTACCTCTCTAAGCCAGAAATAATTCTGGTAAAGACGAAAGGTTGGGCATGAGGCTAGCAACCCCATCCTGTAAAATAACTCTGCTACTGAAACTTCAAACTACTAGCTTGAAACTCTATGTTCCACTGGGAACGTGAAGGAAAAAAAATTGTATTTGATAAGATTATGAGCAAAACATTCTGCTCGAAACATATTCATCAGTAAATATTACTGCATAACACTGTGAGAATTTATCAAAAAATATTCTACTCATAATAGAAGAAGCATTTTTGAAATTTTCTTGACTGAACAATGTTCTGATGTTTAATGAGTTATTTTCATCTAAATTGATTACTATAGTCCTTAAGATTATTCAGTGTTTAGTCATGGTATTATGAATTCACTAGTTATCCCATCTTATTAAGGTTTATTGTATTATAGTTAGGCGACATACGATTCAGTCTTAGAAAAGACTTTATAACTAGCTAAGCCCGGAACTTTCAGGTTATGAGACGAGCTGGTTGACTATTCAACCCCTTTAGGCTAGAATTTAATGACCTGTTAAATTCTAACTTTTTCAGTTCATGATATACAGCACATCCTAACCAGCGCATTCGATGAGCATTATATATATATATATATGGCGGCCTGCCTAAAACTTGGGCTACCAAAAACTTCCACCTCTGTCTATTGTAGATAATTCATCTCATTCCCTTTGTTTTAATCGATTCATATATAACCTCTATTGGTATGATATACTCTCTGGGTATTTAAAATATTTACAAGCATCTGATGAGCACGTTCCTATTAAACTTGAGGAATGATCTGATTATGGGTGACAACGTGTTCCAATACAACATGAGATAACTGTTCTTCAGTTATGTCTTTGGGTCTTAAAATTTACTTCTGAACATTTTACAATTGGCTTTCAACAAGATATCGTAGGTTTCTTGAAGGAGACAAAGCGGACATTGTGCTTCATCTCAGAGACCATTGTGTCTGTCACAGGATATGCTGTCACTTGATATTTTACTCAAAGATATTGCCCAAAGGGAAAATACCATGCAATAAACTCCTCTAAAAATTCTATACATTTCATGGATACTATCCAGAATAAAGACATTATTATTTTCAAGAGTTTGGTGTGTAAGGATTAGATTTGTTTGTACGAGTTTGATCACGGTTTAATATGAGTTAGAGAGCCATTGAAAATCAGCCACAGGGAGTACTGCCACACAGCTGTTTCATCCTAGTTTGGGAATCATCGGCCGTACGCACCCACTGGGATTCGAACCCAGGAACTTCCGGTTTCAAGGTAAGCACATATATCATTCAGCCACTAAGACCCAATTGAATGACCAATGCATGAATTCGAACTTCTACCAATTCGTGATTTAGCTCGACCACCATCTAATGTCACTGGTGGGAATTCCATCCTCACACTTGACTGGTTGGACCTCAATGGTAACGACCTCTCACTAGAATTCCATGAAATTCTGTCGTGTAGCAAGTCACTAATGAGCATCAGATTAATTTTCTATGGTTTGTTTTGTAAGGATTAAATTTACTTATACAAGTTTGACCACAGATTGATATCGGGTCCTAATGGCTGAATGGTATACGAGCTTGCCATGTAACCATAAGGTTCTGGTTTATAACTCCAGAGCATGAATACTGCCGTTATTATTATCATTGAGAAATGACACCAGTGGTCATGACTTCTAACTACAGCCATCAATAATCCGGCGACTGAAATTCATTGATATTCTAATGTGTAATTACTCTTTCCTGTATATGTCTTCGTCTATTATAGTTTTACTGCATTTATTCTCTACCTTTATTTGTGAGTTCATGAAGTATGACAACTTGAACTGCTGTACTTTCATAAGGAATCTTACTCTGAAAAATTATTTCAGTCGTCTAAGGCAATAGGCAGTCCTTTTTGTCCCGCCCCCCAACTTTAAAATTTTCCATCAAACTATAGGTTGACTCCATTTTCTAGCCTGTTCAATTTTATGCTTGAATATAGTATTTTTGTGCTTTCTTTTTACACACCTACTAAATTAAATGTCGTTTTTAAAGTTTCAAATTTAAGAATGCTTTAGTTTTCTACCTTGGATACTTATTTTCATTCCTTTGCATAGCAAGGAGAATAATGAGAGAGCTTCAAGAGTTGAGCTTTGAGATTTCAGTAGCGTCAGTATTGTTGGTTTTCCACAAAAATACTTCTAGCTTCATCGTCATAATTACTATCGGCTAGTAAACAAAGTGAGACTTCACAATGAGTCAGTCGTTTAGGAATCAAACCTGGTTCATATGGGGGCATCTTTTGTGCATTCTACTGTACAGCCACTTTCTTTTTTAGAATTCCTTTACGTTCCCAGTAGAACATAAGGCTTCAAGCTAGAAGCTTGAAGTTTCTGTAGCAGTGGTGTTTACGTTTACTGCATGGGGTTGCGAGTGGCCTAATGCGCAACCTTCTCTCTTTTAACCAGTCTTATTATTGGCTTAGCGAGGTAAAGGAGTGAGTCAGTGGCCGGGAAGCGAACCCCAGACTACATGACGTATGGTTAGCGAGCATTCTACCACTGCGCCACAATTCAGCCACTGACGGTAGTTAATAATAAATTATACAGCTTCATTATTTTGTGCATGAACTTGGTTGATTCTTTGTGCATTTATCAGATAAATTATAAAGTAGAATAACTAGTAACTAGTCAAGTGTTAACATCATACACCAGTATCATATAAGTAGTCTATTTAAGTAAACACAATGAAATGAACTAAAATTTGTAACAAAAAATCGATAGCGTCAATACAACAAAAAAGGTAAACAAATATATGTAACTAATTACTTTGTTTCTTCAGTGAAACCGACTCATCTAAAATTATATGAAAATAAAAAATATTTTAGAAAAATTAAGAGTATGGGGTAACATTAATTTTTTGCGATAGAAAGAACATATTTGTAGGATAATGAGGGCCCATACTTGAATAATCACAGTTTCTGCCTGATCAGCTGCAAACGGAGCCTCGTGAAATCGCTCTTCAGCAGAACTAGGATGTTATGTGTTCAAAAGATAAGATCGAAGAGGAACTTGCAGTCATTGAAAAGAGCCTTATCGAAAAAGTATCGCCTGGTAGGTTCATTTTAAAAAAATGGGAAAGAAAAAACCCGAAATAGTTGAAAAGGAACTAGTTTTTATCTGTCTGGCGTTAAAAGGCGTAGAAGCATCCATAAGAACGGAAAACAGAATAAAAGATGCATTGAAAAAAAAAACATTTCCTGCCGTTCGACTCATCCTACTTTACAACACAGGATGCTAGTTAACCCAGTCAAAGGTGGATAAGTATCCTACTCATGTCACCTCAAACTAAATTTACCAATTCACATGCACTTGCAGTAGCAAGTACATAGGAAGGACTGAGAGGAGAGTGTCTACTCGATTCTCTGAAAATATCCCTAAAAGTCTTCGTTTGGAAGGCTGAGAATTGTTCTCAAATGGAATAGCTAGATATCTAACTGACAAGGGACATACAGTGGAAGTAATTCAGGCTTTCGAAATAATCAATACACAAAGAAAAGCCTGATCACTTTGGTTTGACAAGCCATTGTCATACAGAGACTTCAACCGAACCTTTGAATACAGAAAGAAAACGTGTACGACTAATCCCTTGCTACCAAAGTAATCGTAATTGTTTTGTTTGTATACTTTTTGTATTTTGTTCTGTTGCGTAACATTCGACTCAATCTTGATTTTGATTTTTACTCACTCAGTTGAATTCAATGCTAAGGTTGCGAATCTACTAAATTAAATTACTCTATCTAGTTTATAATGAGACTTCACTATTATTCATCGCCTCCCTCCTGAACTCCCTACCATAATATGTATAAATTAAAACTATTGTTTTACCTTGTACTTCGTCTCTAGTCCATCCTTGTTGCCAAGCGTAATCTGAACTCCAGCCCACCTCCTTGTCTAATTACTAGATGAATAGTTACTTTTTTACCACTAAGTAATTGTTTACTTACATTATATTTGAAACTATGCTGCGCGTACTTTCTACGCATAACTTGAAATCATTGCTGCAAGTATGTTCAGACGACAACTTTAATATATAATTGATTTATCCAGGATGTGAGCAGTTGAAGAGGACCCACGAAAAAAACAAGTTCGTATTATCCTACAAATATGTTCGTTCTTTCATTATTCAAACTAATAAAGGGAACCGGCCGCATGAACTTATTGTGACAGCTTTATCAAACATTATAAAAACAAATATACAATATCTGTTTCAACCGAGGTAGGCGGAACAGATTTTTTATGCACCAGACTACGTACTTATTATTGTTATTTATATTACATCCCTTAGGTTCTGAGTGGAACATAGGGCTTTAGCTGTGCATCTTTATTTCACCCTGTTCTCTGCAGTCCTCTTTAGCTCATCCCACGGTTGGTCATCAGCTCTCATCTCCTCCTAACACGATCTCCTCCATGTCACCCTTAGAACCCCTTCCAGCTAGTCACTTCTCATTCAGTAACCAATCGACGGCCTGGTGTGAAATGACACGCACTGGTCTCCTCAGTGTGTGTGTCCGATCCTTCTCCACTTTCTTTGGCACATTTTTTCAGCGACAGATTCTCGATAAGTTCAATATTTAAAGCGTTGATCCTCTAAAGAGAAAAAGAAACCTTATCTATTCTCCTTTTTCTTAAGAAACCGGAAAATATGTACCGAAGAATCTGTTGGCAAAGAACTTCAAAATCTCTGAGGAATTTCAATCGAAAGTGATTATCCACCCAGATTCATAAACAAGAAGAACCTGAAAGCAAAAAAACCTGCTGAATAGATCCAGGATACCCCCTCGCGCAAAAAAAAACATTCTGCTCCTGAATCTCAAATTTAAAAGTGATACTCAAGTAGAAATTTTCCTTATATACGACTTTCGAAATCTCTCAGTGAGACATACTTCGCTGACAGCCTACGAGTAATATTTTCTTCTAGAAACTATTTGACCAGCAGGTGAAAGACAAGCTCTCTCATTGGGCTACTTCAGCATGCATATACCAGTCCATCATTTGCTCTTTTGGAAGCGAGTATGTTCATTGACTGTACCATGCGTCCGCTTGTACAATTCACGCGGGATAAGTATCCAGCCAGGTTGGATAGAACAGGGGGGACGTAGGTGTGTAAATTGCTCTGTAACAGACCATTTAGTGAATTCAGAACAATGAGCTCCATTTGGAAAGTCCTTCAAAGTCCTATACAAAATCCTATGACATGTCTCAAGGGGAGTGAGATCAGAGCACTTGGGCATAGGTGAAGCACTATTAATCCAAACATTCAAGCCAACACTGTGTATTCACAAAAGAACTTCACCCAACCTTTGCTTCAACTATGGCCGTCATAAACACAGTCATTTTTCTCACTAATTATTATCCGACTATGCTTTTCATCTGGACTTTCTGTTTAGAGCCTGTTTGATCACGTAACTTCTAAACCTTTTTAAAGTGTTGGTTTGTAGGGATTTAATTGGTTTCAGGATTTCATCATGAGCTGACATTCGTTAGATGACCACTGAGAAACTTAGGAGTACTGGACAGCTGATTCGTCCTAGTTTGGGACTCTTCATCAGTACGCTCCCACCGGGATTCGAACCCAGGACCTTCCAGTTACAAGGCGAGTCAGCTCGTAGACCATTAAGCCACTGGGACTCTATCCAATGGCCAGTACATGAATTCTAACTTCTGCCAATTCACGACATAGCGCGACCCCTAGCCAATGTCTTCGGCAAGTATTTGTCCTCACACCCGACCTGCTAGTTCTTCAACCAATGTCAGCTCATGATGAAACCCTGTAAACCTTTTTAAATTAATTTCACTACCGCTTTGGTTTTACGAGCAATAATATTTTCTGTATCTCTGGTATTGGCGCTGCGTCTGCCAGTATAATCCACCTCTCCGTCAACCTACCTATTTTACTTTTTATAACTATAAACCTACCCCTATTCTCTTATGTGTGATTGTGCGTTAATGTATGATGCATTGCAACTGTTGTGTTTTTTTTCGCGTAAACTGTTCATCTTCGTGGAATCAATCATTCTACATTCGGCTAAACGCCTATATTCTGATAACCTGATTAACCTCAATCAACTGGTGTGAATAGTGTAGTTGACCTCACTCATAGTCAATGCAAGGTATTTTGTACGTTAAATTGTTTTTCGTCTAGTCGGATCAGTAGAAATCCTGTAGTCTATAGAACTGGCTCCTGAATTGGTGTCCCTAGGTATAAGTACCACCTTAATCCTAGCCTTAATAAGAATCCCACGAAAGGTTTCAAATGTCCCTTTCCTTATAATGGTAAAACTATATTGATTACTTAAATTCGTTCTTAACAAAATTATATGAAAAAAGTTTGAAAGTTATTTGAGTAGCTTAATATGACTATGAGTGATAAGTCGTGCTCAAAACATCCTCATTGCGTAAACAATGCTTTATCACTGTGTGTTTTATAAAACGGATTTATTTTACGATAGAACTATACTCTGCCTCAGTTCAATCATGCCCAGTCACTAATCTCCTCCGAGATTAAACGAAAAGTAATGAAAATAAAGTTGAGGGTATTAAAATCAATCAACTCATGTTTACCATCTACTGAAGCATTTCATCACTGTTCTCAGATGCCTGTATGCTTGTATTTTCAGTGATAAGTTTAAACACCATTGATGGCATAACTACGGCAAATACTTATTTTGATGTGGTTGTATTCTCTGAAGTGGACCAATGGCGAATGAAATCCAGTGAACCAGTCCTACCTCGATTCTACGGCAGACCCAAAATACACAAGGCGAATATCCCGTTACGACCAATTGTATCACTCCCAGGAACTCCAACATATAATTTATCCAAAGAATTATACAGAAAACTAAGAAACCTAACTGAATCTTGTGATCACTCCATCAACTCTGCTATTCAATTCTTAGAGAAAATCAGAGGCATCCAAATAGACGAACAAGAAATAATGGTATCCTTCTCTCCCCTTGTATCTCTTCAGGGAAAACCAGAAGCCTATATGGGAAACTATATGCTCGCACTAGAAAGCACAAAAACTCAACCATACCCTACTAAGCTCGTGTTCTGTGCGATAAAGAAAGCATTAAGCGTGAAAGCTGTAACTTATTAAATAGTCAGTAGAACAACTGGATCTAATCTTTCCAACTCATATCATTTATAGGTACAACGTTTTTCTCTCTTTCTTCCTTTTCCTTCTCTCCCTCTTTTTTTCTCTGTTATATGCAGCTTTTGTTTCTTTCTTTCTGAATATGCTAGAACCTACTTTTCTAACACCTTCTAACACTCTGTTTAATTTAGGCTTTGCTACCGACATGCCAATATGTTGTTGTCAAAACTAACTGAGATAACCTTAATCTATGTAGAACTTTATTTATTGTTAATGTACTAACTGGATGCAATATTGTTGTAAAATGCTGAGAATTCCATTCTGTATCACAAGTACTGTTTTGGAATAAAGCTATTATTATCTTATCTTATCTTCGACGTGACAGCATGATATACCTCAATCGGACAAAAACTAGCAAAAGAAACCATGAAGCAATTACTTAGCAACGAAGAACACCTTCCACAACAATCAAAAATGCAGCACACAAGTTGGATGGAATGCATAAATCTATGCCTAACAAGGTACTTCAAATTCAAATATATCAACAAGTCAAAGGAACACCCATGGGATCGCCAATATCTGGTTTGATTGCAGAAACAGTGATGCAAAGACTCGAAAACATAATCCTACCAAAGATCAAACCCAAAATTTAGATAACTTACGTCGACGACACATTTTTATTAATCAAAAGAAACGACTTCCATAAAGCTCACAACTTAATAAACAACGTCTTCAACGGCTTCAAATTCACAAGCGAAGAGGAATCCGAGAAAAAAATACCATTTTTGGACGTCTAAGTCAGGCGAACAACCACAGGAGAATTAGAAGCTCAAGTTTATAAGAAATCAACTCACACAGACCAAATACTGAATTACAATAGCAACAACCCAATAGCACACAAACGGAATTGCATACAAACACTATTCAAGAGAGCAAGGACTCATTGCAGCACTCTCACTTTGAGGAACATCGAAGAAAGGTATCTCATGGACGTCTTCCAAAAGAATGGATATCCACGGAATTTCATCAAAAGACATGTACCCTCAAGCCAACCTATCAAACCAAAATCCTCAAAGAAATCACAAAGAAAATCGCCCTACCATATATAAAAAATATCTCAGAAATCACTACAAGACTCTTCACAATTTTAGGAATTGACGTCGTACACAAACCAACAAAGTCACTTCACTCAGCTCTACGTTAACCAAAAGACTCAACAACGAAAGAAGTTAAAACCAACATCATCTACAAAATAAATTGTAACAACTGCGAAAACACTACATTGGCCAAAGTGGACGCCCACCTCTTCGTCTTCGTATCCACGATCATAAGCTAGCCGTCAAAAGACATGAAATCCACTTCCTCATATCACCTCACTCTATACAGACAACCAGGGACAACCAACGTTTAAATATTAGACAGAGGAAACAACAAAAATGCTAGATTTCATCATGAGCTGACATTAGTTAGAGAACCATTGGAAAAGTTTTACAAGCCTGCCTGGTATTCCAGTGAATCGTCAATCAATAGACACACCGAGATAGACAAAATTTATCAACTGATAAGAAAGAAACCTCACACACACAAAGGGTCAAAGTTCAAGCCAAGAAAACAACCATTTCCAATACAAGTAGCCTAGAGGGTGTGAAAACACAAAAAATTACCAATCACGTTCAAAGTGAAATCTATAAGCTCACTTCAACAAATTGAGTTATGCGCTGAAGATGTCGCCTAGTGGAGCGATGATAGCTTTGCAAATTAACTGTTCAGCTCAGAGAACACAACCACATAAAAATCATTCACCTGAGCTACAAATCTTCTCCATCATATACAAATAAAAGAAAAATATACTCATTATCTCTTCTGACAAATTATTTTTCACAAGAAAATTAACAAAGTTCTTTGAAAGTGAATCATCATTATTACCACCAAGTGAGATCACGAAATCATGAGTTACACATACCGCAATACAGATTTTCTCAAGGAATAGCGTTGACCAAAGTAAGATCAGGTTAAATCATGTTACCATGAATCTATGGAGGAAATATATCTTGTCTGGTTGTAGTTCTCGGTGCTGTTTAGCGTGATCAGTATTTTGAGACTCTGGAAGTTATGATTTTAAATATTTCACAATAGTGTAAAAGTACTTTATTTTATTTTTAATTTATTCCTTTCGCGCTCTCAGTGGAACATAGCGAGGGCTTCAAGCTAGTGGCTTGAAATTTCGATAGCACTAGGATTTATTTTTACGGGATAGGGTAATTAGACTCATACACAACCTTCCCCTTTTTACTAGTTATATTACTGGCTTAGCGAGGTAAAGGTGTATGTCGGCCAGGGGTTGAACCTCAAACCCCATAAAGCGTGGTTGGAGAGCATTCAACCGGCGTGTCACAAATGCACGCTAGAGAACTTACTTATGATTATTTTACTTACCGCTTAATCCTTTTGGACAAACACTATTCATTTTTTGTAAGCATACTTGTAACTGAACATCCCATATACGTAGAACACGATCTCTTGAAAAACTGAGTAAACGACTCCGTGAAATATGAAACTGAACAGCCACCACAGCTGCCATATGTCCTCTAAGTAACTAATATGTGTACATATATAGGGGAATAAAAATACAGCAATTAGTCAGTAAAACAAAATGAAGAAACATGTGTAAACAAGCAAGAGAAAACAGTTCATTATTATGTATTCATCCTAATTTCTGTGAGTTCCGAATGGAACATAGAGTTTGTTAAACATATCTCCATCTGAAGTCCTCCTCAGCGTGTCCCATGATTGCTCATAAGCCTTTGTTTCTGCCTAACACAGTCTCACCTCTATCTCACCTTTAGACACACGTCGAACTCACCATTTCCCATTCTGGTTCTATTCGACTATCAGTCTGGCGTATAATGTTACTCTGCGGCAGTATGTGTCCAATCAGTCTCCAGTCTCTTCTGTATATTTGTGGGATGACGGGTTGTTGACTGATTCCTTCACAGAGTTTCTTGCTGGTATTTCTTATACGTAAGATACGTGAAATTGGAAATACACTGCGTCGGTGGCACAGTGGTTATGACTCTCGCCGACCATGCACATGGTCCGGGGTTCGAGCCCACGCCGGCGCACACCTGATATCTATGGTTGGCCTGCCAAATTTGGGCTACCGATATCCATGCTGAAAATTCCATACTTGTCCCAAAAATACAGTGTGGAATCAAGCTGTAAATCAAAAAAAAAATTCTTTTGCTCCCCCCTTACTTAACAGAACTCTAAGCTGAGGACTGTACTCTTACGAAACAGTTAAGATTGCAATCGGTACTGAAGGAAACTTTGGAAGATCCCTAGTAAATTATCCTTAACAAAGCATTATTTGCCCAGGAATATATATAAAGAAAATTACATAATAAAATATAACAAGACAGTAAGGAGTGATTTGAAATGAGTTAATGTCATTAGTTAGAAAGAGTTGATATCTATGATACAATAGACTACACAATTATTGTCAATACAGATTTGATTTTCCCCGCTATTTGATTCAACTGAGATATTCTGCTTTTGCTAACTAGTCAGCTGAATGTACCTGCTTCCCCAGTATACACAATTATTTAATCAGTTCACCAATTATTACCAGAGTGAGGTGAACTTAACCATGGTCTCCTTTTGTATATAAATTTAGGTTGAAACCGTTCGAAAAGAGAGTCGATTCAGGAAAACGAAGTTGTAATTTGTAATGATTATAAAGGCAGTGGAAATTTTCCATTCTTTCTGTCAAGGTTCTATAAGAATTCAAGAGACTGAAAGCAGTATATGAGGTATCAAAATAATATTTTTTGAAAAATCCTCCCTGAAGGATCTACTTACAATACTGCTACCTATTTAGACATTCCAAGTAACTCTGTAATTATTTAGAAAAAAAATTCAGCAAAGAATGATATTCTTTTCGATAATTTTCTCTTCCGGTTCTACACACTGAATATTCTAGAATAGCAGTCAATAAAAATATTAGTGTTTTTTAAATAATATTTATTTGTAAAGTAAGATCAACGGAATTACAATTCATTGAAGATGCTTAAATTATAATAAGCATAAAATTGTAATAGCAAATAGAATATCAAATAAAATTAAGAAAATTTTCACAAAAAAGTTAGGATCGTTAAAACCTTGATTGCAAGGCCGAGGTTAGGACAGTGTCTGAACCAGCTTATTCTAGGTACATAGGTTAGGTTTCTTAATGTGGATCTCAACAACCAGCCTCAGCTATACGTAATAGACGAACTCTTAAGGTGAAGTTAAGATTAATTGGTTGGAATGCGGTAAATGACTTTGAAAGCCGCCTCGTTGACATCATCTTGTTTTCCGTGTCCACAAAATAGGACAGAATAGGGCTATGTGAATGGATTTTGTTTGTCCTTTACTTAACCATGCTGGGTGATGTTCAGAAATCAACGAGAAAAATGTCTAATTGTACGGTCTATGTAACTGTCTCCTCAAACGCAGTCAAATTGGTAGATGCACACAGAAGAGGCGAAATTAGGCAGTTTATCTTTTACTTTCGAACGCAAAATAGAGGTGGTTTTGAAGATACAGAGTAATTCAGCTGCACTCAATACTCTTTTCACCGCATTTCTTATGCGCTGTGTTAATATCTCACTGATGTTATCTCTGGGGAAGTAAAGTTGTAAGAATAAAGCCCTTTTTCGTAACTGTTGATACTTTCTCCTGACTTGACTTTTGATTCATATTCTTATTGATGAATTCTCCTGGGTAACCGTTTTCACTTAGCGACTGTCTTATAATATAAAACTCTTCATTAAGTTATTATCTGAGCAAATTGCTCTTGCTCTGTGAACCAAGCACTTCGTCAGATTGCGTTTGTATTTCAAGGCATGAAGCTGAGAAAATAAGTATACTGACAGGCAGTTGATGTAGGTTTTCTATATACACTTCTTCTTATTGTGCCATCCTCTTTTCTGGTCATAAGTACTTTCTGTGATAAAATTTATTGCAGGATGAATATCGTTAAATTTATCCAGGATGTTTTTTTGTTTCATCCTTATTCTTCCTAAACATTAGAATTCTAGTTCATCAGTTACATCTTTCAAAGTCCCAATAGTGTTAATGACGATTATCTAGAATATTCCATGTATATAAACATATATGTAATTGTACAGCCGGAAGAGGAAATTATCGAAAAGAATATTCTTTATTTAATGAATTTTAATTTTCCTGTCGATTGATTCGACCGCAGTACTCCGTCTCAGGTTGACATGTCGGCTTCTTGTGCAGATGCTTCGACGATGTCTGGGCATGTAGTTAGAATTTAATTGGTGGATGGTGACTAGCAGTGGAATCCAGAATCGTCCTATTTGAGACTCGTCAGCTGGACGTACCTGCATTTCCCAGTAAGTGATGATGTTTCCACCGAGGCTCAAACCCAATGCTTATAGATTCAAAGCCAAGGCGTTATCCTTTAGACCACTTGGGCCACAAAAGCCATCTCTTGTGCACCAGGTCATATTAATTATCTAAATGAATTTTAAACTTTCCCGCCGATTGATTAAACCGAAGTGCTCGGTCAACCTGAGACTATTTGTCTGACGTTTTCACATTATCTATTTACTTGACTTTTGTTATTTGTCTTCGTTCTTGTTTAATCTCCAATTTTAATACTTCGCTTCATGGTTGTGTGACGGTTTCGATAATTTTTTGCTTTACAACCGTAAATTTGTTTGAGTAAAGTCAAAGTTATTCTAACCTTGAACCGTTTGCAGGTGTTTTGATTTATGCTGATACAGGTTTGATCCCAAGTGTTACAAATATTCTTCTTGACTTCCAGGTACTTCTAACGGTTGATTTTGGTTAAATAATTTTATTCAATGGTACTTGCTTTGTAACCGAGGCTTGATTTGACCTGTGCAGATGATTAACGGCATTGTTGAGGTAATTTTGCGTCTTTGATATCCTATTTCTTTTTTTAATTACAGCTTGATTCCACACTGTATTTTTGGTACAAGTATGGAATTTTCAGAGTGGATATCGGTAGCCCGAATTTTGCAAGCCGACCATAGATATCGGTGTGCGTTGGCAGGGGATCGAACCTTGGACCATGTGCATGGTCGGCGAGAGTCCTAACCACAGTGCAACCAATGCACATGAATGTTGAATAGTGCCTCAGATTTTATCTGAAATAACTGTCTTTTTACTATCGGCGGAAATTTCTGTGTCGACACCTCGGTTTTTTTGGTTGCATATGATTTTGGAAATAGAAGGTACTTTCCTTTTCGTTCTTGTCAGATATGTCATCTTAGACCTGCTGTACCTACTGGTCGCGGCTTCCCGTTAGAACCCCAGCTTAACTGCCTGAATGGGTACAGTCACTAGTGAGTATCAGTTCTAGTGGGAAACCGTGACCAGTAGGATACAGCAGGTTGAAATGAGGCAGTAAGTCTTCGAAGAAGACATTGCGAAATGTTCGCGCTATGTTGTGAATTGACAGAAGTTAGAATTCATGGACTGCCCATTGGATCGGCGAGTCCCAGTGGCTCAATGGTCTACGAGCTCTCTGGTCTCGTAACCAGAAGGTCCTGGGTTCGAACCCTGGCGGTGAGTGCGTACTGCCGAAGAGTTACAAACTAGGACGAAACAGCTGTTCAGAACCTCCAGGTTTTCCAGTGGTTCCCTTAGTGATATCAGCCCATGATGAAATCCTCCACGCAATCAAACGAAATCCCTACGAAACCAATACTTTAAAACTCCTAAACCTTATCTTAACTCTAAGAACAACCCTGAAATTTAGGAAACTTGAGCATAAAGCTAACAGTCGTATTCAGTGAAACCACAGCACCAATGATACTGCTACTTCAAAGTTCCACTCAGATGGTAAAGCAATCAAGAAGAAGAATAAGAAAAGGAAGAATGTTCCCTTCAAAACCAAGAATATTCTAAGGTTATATTTCCACTGAAGTAGTCATCTCAAGTCATATCACAATGAATTAGCGATCTTATCATGAGCATCAATTATGTTAGTTTTTGTCAATAGTGAACATGTCATGATAATTACATACTTTGATGATCGTATCCCAAATTCTAAAATGAGATAATTCTTTTGAAGATTTGTTTTCATACTGAAAATATTCCGGAAATTTGGTGAAATTGGTCATTTGATGATATTAGATAGTTGGAGGCAATCGGCAGAAAGCCTTGGACCTAGTTTCATGCTAGTTGGCATTCATCAGCAAGGCGTATCTGTAACCTCAAAGGAATTCATGTCCCTTCTGAGATTGGAACCCATCGCCTCCAGTGCTGCAGTCAGAGACGTTACCACTGAGCTATTCGAGCTGGCGATTGACCTCCTGCAGGAATGTAGTGGGTAGTTTGATTGGACACTTGTAACTGGTGTGACATGTCTAGTCCTTTCTCTTTTTTTGGTGCAGATTGAATTCTATCAGTCAGGTTTACAATGTGGCCACCATGCCAGTAGGTAACTCTCCATCCATCACTGTGCACATTGATTTGATGGTGATAATTAGATGTTGGAGGCAATTGGCCATAGGAAGACTTGCCTGACCTAGGTTTCGTGCTAGCTGGCACTCGTAAGCAAGGCGTATCTGCAATCTTGAAGGAAAAATAACAACGAGCTCGAAATTGGATATTTCAGTCAGTTTTTATCCATTGTGTAATCAATATCATTGTTGTCCTCAGAATATTCCATGTGATCAAATGAAATTTTCTATTTTCGTAAATTACACAGAATTCTCGGTGAGAATTCACTGCAGTTTTTATTTCGAAAACGAAATTAATCTTGGTCTTTTTACTTCCAAAAATGAAATCAAGCCAGCTGCTTGTTGTCGACTTCTATCAGAGATCATTGTGAATCTTCACATGGATCTGTGTTATTTTCAAACTGTGAATTTGAAATTAGGCATTAGAAATGAATCAGTTGTCTGAGCTGAGTTAAGCTTGGTGCACTGTTGATAAGCATCAGTGTAGATGGTAGGTTGATTATCTCAAAAAACGCCAGATGTATAAAATTGTTTTTGACGTGGTTTTGTTCTCTGAGCTGGATGGTTAGTTTGCGAAGCTTTCATCACCCTACTGGATGGAATCTTCAGCACATACTTCAATTTGAAGTGAGTTTTGAGATTTCTCCACGAGTTTATTATTCATCTCTCCTGGTTACCTTGGACGTGATTGGTTGTTTACGTGTGTTTTCACACCTACTACACCACTTGTATTGGAGCTGATTGTTTCTTTGACTTGAACTTTGACCCCTTGTGTGTGTGAGGTTTCTTTCTTAACAGTTGATAAATTTTGTCTATCTCGGTGTGTCTATTGATTGATGATTCACTGGAATACCAGGCAGGCTTGTAAAAATTTTCTAGCATTCTTGTTGTTTCCTCTGTCTAATATTTGGACGTTGTCCCAGTCGAATTGATGTCCGTGGTTGTCTGTGTGTAGTGAAATGAGGGAGTGAATTTCATGTCTTTTGACGGCTAGCTTATGATCGTGGATACGAAGACGAAGAGGTGGGCGTCCACTTTGGCCAATGTAGTGTTTTCGCAGTTGTTACAATTTATTTTGTAGATGATGTTGGTTTTAACTTCTTTCGTTGTTGAGTCTTTTGGTTAACGTAGAGCTGAGTGAAGTGACTTTGTTGGTTTGTGTACGACGTCAATTCTTAAAATTGTGAAGTGTCTTGTAGTGATTTCTGAGATATTTTTTATATATGGTAGGGCGATTTTCTTTGTGCTTTTCTTGGGGGTATATGTCTTTTGATGAAATTCCGTGGATATCCATTCTTTTGGAAGACGTTCATTAGATATCTTTCTTCAATCTTCCTTAAGGTGGGAGTGCTGCAATGAGTCCTTGCTCTCTTGAATAGTGTTTGTATGCAATTCCGCTTGTGTGCTATTGGGTTGTTGCTATTTTAATTCAGTATTTGGTCTGTGTGAGTTGATTTCCTATAAACTTGAGTTTCTAATTCTCCTGTGGTTGTTCGCCTGACTAAGACGTCCAAAAATGGTATTTTGTTCTCGGATTCCTCTTCTATTGTGAATTTGAAGTCGTTGAAGACGTTGTTTATTAAGTTGTGAGTTTCATGCAATTCGTTTCTTTTGATAATAAGTATAAGGTTGTGCGCACAAAAGTTTCTAGGCGAAGATAAAAGACTGATACATCGCTCCTGACAATGAGAATGTGAAAAAATCTTACATTTTTGTTCACTTAATAACTAGGTGTATAGAAACTAGCCACCCATCAGAAACCGATGTAGACGTTGTGTATGTATATGTCACTGCTTTCATTGAAACCAAATAAAGTCAGGTGCTACGATATTATGATGCACAATATCTTCATTTCATCAGTTTTGTTCCTGTCCACTATAAACGTTTCCTAGTGAAATGTTTGTTATCAAGGACCCAAAAAGCATGCATAAATGACACGTTGATGGATGAGCCTCCACATATATATATTCAGTTTTACTAGCTAATGGTTATCCAGAAAACTTTATCACTTGTCACAGTAAGGATAGACTACATCTAGAAAAGACAGCTTCTGTACCAAAGAAAGCTATCTTTGTTAACCTACCATTCAAGGATGACGAGGTAATGCAGTTCAGAGACAGCTCAGAGACTTCGGTCAGCCATGAAACGCACATTTTAAGCTGCATCTCTTTCTCCCAGATGCCGAACATTTTCGATCTCTGTACCTACGATTAAAGGACGAAGTTCTGTGGACTCTACTTCAAACTGTATCTACAAGTTCACCTGCAGCTGCGGTGACACCTATATAGTTAGAACCAACAGAATGTTCCAATGTCGTCGAAAAGAACATGTTCCAAAATGGTTATTAAATCACATACGGAATCGCAATGCAATTAATCTGAATAAGAAATCCAGCATCATCATCCACTGCAAAACACTTATTAATGTCAGGTCACGAAATCAATATAATTAATGACTGTTTCACAATTATTTCACATAACTATAATTCAAGATTCTTGAAGGTGATGGAAGCACTTCGGGGATTAATCACATACAGCCTAAACTATGTGTACAAAAAACAGTAGACTTCAAACTTCGCCTACCGTGAACTGACTGTTTGATCTATTTAAAAATTTGGTGGCTCATTTATACGTACTTTTGTTTTTTATATAAGTGAGTGCTTGTCATGCATTTTATTTTATCATTGTTAACCATGTTAGTTCTGTAAAGTGGTTGTAAAGAAACTACGAAATGAGTTTATCATCTCTCGAAATCCTTGTTCTAAATGCCTTATTCTAATATTTGGAGATTTTGTCTATCATCTGTGTGCGTCGGTGGCACAGCGGTTAAGACGCTCGCCGACCATGCACATGGTCCGAGGTTCGATCCCCGACTACTGACTCACTCCTTTACCTCGCTAAGCCAGAAATAAAGCTGGTAAAGAGGAAAGGTTGGGCGTGAGGCTAGCAACCCCGTCTTGTAAAAATTGAACACTGCTACAAAACTTCAAGCCACTAGCTTGAAGCCCTATGTTCCACTGAGAACGTGAAGGAAAAAAAATCTATCATCTGTAGACAGTTTTATTTTCGCAGAAATTACGGGATCGTTTGGACTGATTCTCTTGTCTGAGCTGAGCTCATCCTGGATACACTACTGATGAGCTTGACTCCAGCCCGCTGTTTAGATTACTTCGATCCGACTGACTAACATGCACTACTAGTTGATTTAAGTAGTATACAACTACTCACATCACCTAATCAGTAGTATATAGTTTTATGCAAATCGTATTGTTGCCGAAAGGATAATTATTATAATTTCACATATATGTCTGTGTTGTATCTATTCATATTACTGTATATATTCTACACAGATTAATTATATGTTATCTTACCCCATTCGGTTTAGAAACAACATAAGGATTCCATAGACAAACATGATAATTAACTCCAGCAGTTGCGATTTGATTATTCCCTTCATGGAAATCAAAATCATTTATGCCCTGATGCACTGTAAACACAGAACTAAAAGGTATAAAAGGTAGTAAAAAAAAGAGAGAAATTCCATCTCATCACTTTATCAATTAAATGTCTATGGATTCAGGTTAAATTTAAATAAATAAGGTGATTGAAATTAATACGCATAGTTTAGAAATAAGGTTGCCGACAGTCCACGTTCAATGCTCAGTTCACTAATTAGATTTTTAGACAGAGAGGCAGCATTGCGATGGGATCAACACTGGGTCCTTTGTTGGCTGACTGTTTTATAGCAAAGCTTGAAAACTCTCAACTTAGTCAAACCATCGATCATTCCGACATTTTTAAAAGGTGCCTAGACGACATTTTCATTATCTGCCATAATAACTTAATTCTTGATGATGTCTTGTTTGATTTCAATAAATGCCATTCTTCTTTACAATTCACCGTAGAGAAAAATCTTAACTAAGTATTCCATTTATTGATGTTTACTTAGTAGACGTGGTGACGGATCTCTCAAAAGACCTATCCACCAGAAACGTACATGGAACGGACTACTAACTAATTTTTACAGTTGGGTGCCTATTTCCAGGAAAAGAAACTTAATTCATTCACTCTGCTTTAGGATAAGGAAAAATTGTAGTTCTGATGGCGTTGACTTAGAACTTGACTTCTTAAAAGCCACGCTCTCGGAAACGGTCGCTGAACCGATTTATTGACAGTAACACGGAAGATAAACGGTCCGAACTGGTCACCGATTCAGTTCCATAGGAAGCCTTATTCATGAATTTGGAATTCAAAGGTGATCAAGCTTCAGATATGCTCAAAATCATCTTTCTAAAGCACTCATCAAGACGTTCTTTGCAGCAAAATTACAAATGACCTTCACCAGCCACAAATTGTTCTCCATCTCTGTAAAAGATAAGCTCCGTCGTCTGACCAACTCCACGAGCATCTATCAATTCACCTGTTCTTGTGGAGCAAAGTACATTGACCGTAGCCACACGACGCTTTCCACATAGATACGAGAACATATTCCGGCATAGTTTTACGAAGGAGGAAGTATGTGCGAAGCTCTATTCTAGAACACCTGATCGACTCCTGTCACTCTACCAACCCTGACCATGATTTTAATATCATCTACCGAATCCATGCTAACTTTTGGCGTTTTCTTCGTTGCAGACTTCTAAAGACAACGGAGGCCTTGGCAATGCATAACTTTAAGCTAGACCTTTGTGTACAAAAGAAGTATGTACAATCCCTACTTCTGCCTTGGCCGTAGAGGGATAGACATTTATTTATTTTGTTTATTTAGTTAATCTATGCACTTTTCCCTTATTACTACGATTATTATTATTATCATTATTATTATTACTATTCTCACTCTGAATTGTTTTCACTTGACCCACTTGTCATTCTAAACCCAATATTATTGTTATTATTTTCATTTTTACAATATTGCATTCTATCTTATCAAATTCCACACCGCGCTATGTAACATTTTATATTCACCCACTAATCCTATCATTATTTACCCCTTTCCAACATCTATAAACCTTGTGTATTATTCTGTATATGACATTAATTATTTTACCACTTGACATTTAACTATGATTATAATCACAGATTTTAATTGCATTTCATACTATTATTATTTCATGTATTCACACCTTTGATCGAATTTACCCGCCGAATATAATTTCTTAATATATGTATATACGATTGTACAGCTTGATGTTAAATTCGTTGAAAAGAGTCTCTTCGCTGAATATTGTGTTCTTAATGCTACAATAGGATGTCACTCACTTGATGGTTTGTTTTCTCAGAGTATGGCCAGCCAATCCACTTCCATTTCTTCCTGCATATTTGTTGCAGTCTAAAATTTATTATCTATTTTTATTTTCTTTCAGATTTTTGAAATATTTTGTTGAACAATTGTGAACTGTGTCAAACAAACAAGTTCAATAGTTTACTTATTTCAGTGTCTGTAAGTATAAAGTGCTCCGATGATTATATAATGTTAAATCAGACTGGTTAGAAGTATCTAAAACCTATGTACAAAGCGTGAATAGTATTCAGACGTTGCATTTATGAACATTTAATCGATTTTAGAATAGAATTCTTAAAGAAACAGAATTAGAAGAATGTGATAAAACAACTATCCTGGATTTTAATCGTTCCTTTAGGTGTTGTTCAGCAAAAGCAACAACAAAAGATGTGAAAAACGTGAATGTATAATCTACTCATGATGATTAGTCACTTAACAACTCACTTACCGACGTGATACCGCTCTTGGTTCACAACTGAAAATGAAGAAAATAAAAATTTCCATTTATAGCGGCAATAATAGGTGATAATCATCTGGGTTTACAAAACATACCTTTTCATGTGTTAGAATATATAATTATATATATCTACGCCTCATCATCGGACACAGAATACAACGGCGAAATCAAATATCTACCTGAGCTTGATCGAATCGAAAAGGCTGTCGACATTGGTGACCATGAAGTTATTGGGAAACTGCTTCCAAAGTGTGCAGCACTTCAAAACCTTTAACAGCCTCATTTAAAGCAGCTATATATGACAATGCCTTATGTCATGTGTTCCCCGAAAGAAAACTCAGAGGTGACTTCTAAGTGAAGACAGAAATATGATAGTGCTATCTATTATCTATTATCATTATTATTATTATTTACTTTAATTCCTAGAGGAACATAGGGCTTCAGCTAAGCGTCTCCATTGTGTTCGCTTCTCTACTAAGTTTTCACCTGGCTCTGCTACATTCTTTCATCTCCTCTTATTTTTTTATTTTTTTATTTTTGATTACAGCTTGATTCCACACTGTATTTTTGATACAAGTATGGAATTTTCAGGTGGATATCGGTAGCCCAAATTTTGCAGGCCAACCATAGATATCAGGTGTGCGTCGGCAGGGAGTCGAACCTCGAACGATGTGCATGGTCGGCGAGAGTTCTAACCACTGTGCCACCGACGCACATGACCTCCTCCAAGTCACCCTTGCACTGACGACCAACTCGTCACTTCCCTTTCGGGTTCCATTCAAGCGATGGCCTGTCTCATGATGTCACTTGATGGTTTCTCAGAGTATGGCCAATCCATCTCCATTTCTTCCTGCTTATTTGTTTCACAATCGGATCCTGCTGGGTTGGTTCTTTCATTGACGGGGATCCCTGTTGGTGATTATTTCTGGCCAGCCATCTGATATTGAGTAGTATTGAGTGAAGATAGCTGTTAATGAAGGTCTGTAGTTTGTTTGAGGTGCTCCTCATGACGCACAATGCAAGTCTCTGATCTGTATAGTAGCACTGACTTCACATTGGAGTTGAAAATTCGAATCTTGTTTTTGATGCTGAGTGCTGTTAACCTCCACATATACTTTAGAGTAACGAAAGCTTGTCTTGCTTTCCCGATCCTCGCTGCTTTGATATCCTCGTCAGTTCCGCTGCCTGTAGTTGAAACAACGCTTCTCAGGTAGATAGGTAAAGGAGGTTGTTTCTTTCAGGTTCCTCCCATTCATGCTGGCTGATTGTTGTCTGTTGTTGTTGCTGCTGTTAGTGTTGGCCAGGAATCTTCATCACCTCTGTTTCCTCCATGTTTACTTGAAGTCCTATCTTTGATGCTTCTTCCGCGAACTTGTTTCTTTTCACTTGCATATCTTCCAGTTTGTGGGAAATCAGACAGATATCTGTCACCGGCGAAGTCCAGATCCTCCAAGTTTTGTGTGGGTCCATTTTATGCCTGTCTCCTCGCTGCCCGGCCTATTGTCTGTCTCATTATCCAATCTACCGCAATCAGGAAAATCATTTGCGATAGTAGACAGCCAGCTTGTCTTACTCCCGTCTTCACTTCGAAGGATTCCGTAAGTTTCCCGTTGTGGATTACTTGGCATGTAGCAGTGTCATACAACTGTTGGATGAGATGTCTACTATCACTGATGACATTTCTAATTTTAGTGGGCTTGATCATTTGGCACACCGTGGGGAGAGAGAGGATACAGGAATACGTTGAACCAATAAGAAGACTCTAGAAGATCTGGACTTCACAGACGGTTCATGCCTAATGTCGTACCAAAGCTTAAGATCTACGGGTGAAAATCAATAAGTCGGCAGATGCAGTGCAGAAAAGACGGGATTTCAGGTTAACACACAGAAGACAAAAAAATAAAAGGAAAATACCTGAAAACCAACAACTACAAGCGCTATAAGCAGCACCAACAAGGGAAATTTGAAAGAGGTCATTTCCTTCACTCATCTATACACTGTTGTTTCAACTACATGCATAATGCATCAGGATTCTGGAAATAAGGACTGGAAAGGCAAGACAGACCTTCTACAGTCTAAAATACTTGTGAAAATCTGATTCACTCAGCATAAAGAGCAAGATTTTAATTTTCAACACCAAAGTCAAATCAGTCAGTGGTTTTTATTCGGTTCACAGACTTGACATGTCATGAAAAGCATTTCGAACGGAATGTTGCAAATTTCCAAATAAGTAGCTGCCTCAGCTGGCTGGCTGGCTGAACACTGAAGATGAAGTGACCAGAAAACATGAATAATCAAGGAACTCTAGGAAAGATCGAACATCGCATTTATTGTCCAACAAATACTTCGATGAAAATGGATATGGATTGAATTGGACACACGCGAAGGAAATTGTTGAGTAATATCGTGCATCAGGTCGTCGAGTGAAACCTGATTGAAAATAACAATTTGGGTGAAGGCCAGATAATGATATGGAGAAGATCATCTCAGGAGGAAATGAAGGTTTCTAGGCAATCGTGAAGCCAGCTGCAGACGACTGAACAGAACGGCACAAAATGGAGATATGCAACGGAATAATAATGGTTGAAGATTGAAAACAAATATGCGTGGTAGCAGTCTAATTCTGCACTTAGATAGCTACAGGAATGGCGGCTGGATAACACGAAGGATTTGGATCCAAACTTTTGCTCTAACATTTATCACCACCACATTACATCATCTAGAGACAACCAGAGAATGGGACCTGACTTTTTCAGAAATTCTGTAATGATATGTTGTGTAGCTCAAATCCTCATTCCTTCACAATATCCGCATAATGAAATACGCCTTTTACAAAATAAAACTCTGAAGAGACACCTTAAATATCTGTATAAAATTTATAATATGTTAATTTTAGAATAATACATGGAAGCCAATTAGTTCTTTCTTCACATTGGAATATTCTAGAACCACCCAAAAGTTGTTCTAACCAAAGATTTCAGCAGTTATGTAGTTTCCGTGTAATGTATTCACACATGTCAATACACACACCAGCTAGTTCGTTTAATTGTAAATTATATCACATGTTCGTGGTATATTTTTGACATGGAATTAAACATGGTATCACTTGCTTTCAGTGAATACTTTCCCCAGCTTTCTTCAGCTTATACACACCATTTAGTGTACACAGCAAAACGAGTTAACGCAGTTAGACAACCACTGATAACCAACAAAGCGTACTGCTAGACTGCTGTCTCACCCTACCTTGTAAATCTTCACCAGTATACACTCATCAAGCCTCGAATCCAAAACTATTCCGGAGACAATGCAACCTCGTAGGCCATTCAGATACTGAGAACCGGTTCAGTCGTCACCCCGTGAATTCCAACTTACACCGATTCGTGATTATATAGTGACTGTCACCAGCCAGTGTCATCCACGGTGAGAATTTATCCTCACTCACGACCTGGTGGACCCCAATGGACGCAACTTCCCAGAAGAAGAGCTCCATACAATTTCAGTCTGTAGGTAATCACTAGTGAGCATCAGATTAATCTTCAAAAGTTTGTTTTGTAGTAATTCGACTTGTTTCAAGTTTCACTAATACTCCCTGATGACAATGGCTGGTGGTTGCGCTGAAATCACGAACTGGTAAGAGACAGAATTGATGGGCTGAATATTGATTGGATGGGGTATCAGTGGCTGAGTAGTCTACAAGCCCACATTATAACCTGAAGGTCTTGGGGTTCCACCTCCAGTGAGTGAGTACTGATGAATAACCCCTCAGAAGCATCAGTGGAGATAGAAAACAGCCTGATCTCTAGATTGCAATTGTATCAGCATTGTAGAGATTATGTGTCATGGAAGTTGCAAAGGATTACTGGTTTTCCAGGAGGACTAGGAGTTACTGTGCATATTAATGAAATTGTCTTGATAAGGAAAAGGTATAATAATGGAGGGAGAAGGGCTAATCAAGTGTAGATGCTTGGAATGCATGACACTTCACAATGTAAAGATTTTGTGGAAACAATACCAACTAGAAGTACGGGTGCATTAATTCCAGCAGTTTAGCGCTTGGTGACACCAGAGATAACAAGACATACAGACAGATGGGGGAGATAAGACCATTTTTCTTCTTTGAGTTATATTCATCACAGTGTTAACCACTCCTTCAATTTTGTGGATCCAATTGCAGGCACCTACTCAAACCCATTGGCAGGATTTTCGGGTAGATCAAAAAACAGACTTACAGATATTGATGTGTCTCAAAGTCACCTGGATGCATAAATGTATCAGGTATGATGTAATCTCTCTATGGATTATCCTTAGAGAAACACATAAAAGACCATTATCCCCTGTAATGTCATGTTTGCAATGTTTTTTAACGTATTTTTTACCAAATTTGTGACCTATTTTCGCATCGGAATTCTGATTGGTTGTCTAAGGACACTAGGGCTCCGGCTGCTATAGCTTAACTTTGCGCAGTTATTTTGTAAGCAGTTAATTTGTAGTCAACTCCATTGGATACGTATTTCGTCCTGTTTTATTACTCGTCAGCCAGTAGAAATACATCTATTTCCAGTCCAAAATAGGACGAAATTCACATCCTAGATTCCACTACTAGTTATCCTCGACTTAAATAACACCATATTAATCTTTAAACACCATCCAAATGTCGTTACTAACAATCTACACATATGAAGAGACTAAGCATTTCTGTCCAATATAATCATCCAATGGAAAATGTAATTTAAACTTAAAAAAATATGCTTTTTAAGGAATTATCCGGAGTTTAAAATTTAACAAGAATAGTCGAATAAAAAAACAAAAAAACAAATAACATACAATGCATTTGGATTTCTGGTTATAGTAGCATTTGATGGTAACTTCTCTAACCAAGTAATCACCATCGAATTATTCCATACTGTTGCACATGTAATAAAAGCTTCTAACTGAGGAACATACGCTACTGAAAAGTATATATAGACAGGCATAAGTAGTACATATATGCATAAATAGAAATCAGCTCACCTTTACGCACCCAGTCTGTATGTATACGTAAACGTAGAAATGAAACAAATTTTGATTTCTTTTGAATAACATCATTCAAAGAGACATTGAATGTTGATTCTAAGGAGAGAGAAAAAAGTGGGACAAAAATTTAAAATATAATGTTATTATTCCTTTGGGTTGTAAGTGGAACATACAGCTTCAAAAGCACATCTCTAGTTTACCCTGTTCTCTGCAGTCCTCCTCTTCAGCTAGCTCCAATGATTGCCCATAATTTCTCATCACCTCTTCACATGATCTCCTCCATATCACACTCGGGCGGACTTCCAACTCATCGTTTCCCGTTCGAGTTCTACTCAGGCGTCAGTCTGGCGCAAGATGTTTCCCAACGGTTTTCATGTCCATTATTTTCCGCATATTCTTTAAACAACAAGTTACTGATTGGTTTGTTACTAATGCTTCTTGTTGTTAACTATTTATCCTCATCCGATCTTCATTATGGAGACAGCAAAGACAACTATTGATAAAATTCTGCAGTTGACTGTTCGAAACGCTATACGTGACACACAGTTCAGGTCTCTATCCACTATGAAAGAAAAGATGAACTTAACGCTGGTGCTGGATATCCAAATTTTGTTCTTTATGCTACTGAGTGCAAAAGATTTTCAAGTTGACTTCAGAATGATGAAAATGTATCTTGCCTTTCTGATTCTGCTTTTAACAACCTCATCTGATAGAAGATAGAACTTGTGCACTGTGATACAGTATAATTCCATTGGGGATAAATTTTTTTTGATAAAGTCACACAGTGTTATACAGTAAGATTAACTAATGATGATTCACAAACCATCGGATTTTTAACAGTCGATACTTTAGAAAATCATATAATTCCTAAATACTCACGTCTACGTACTCCAGTTACTTCAAGAAAAAAAAACATCAGCAGCGGAATATGTCAGCAGATTATGTCAAAGAGAAGAACTACATAGAATTACTCTGAAACTGAACAATATACAAAATGAAACTGAAAAACTCAAATACAAGTTCAAATACTTCATACATTTGGTTCCTTTGATCAATTTCGATAAAGAAAGGAAGACGAAATTTGCAGTATAAAATGATATCATCATTCTATTTCACAGGTTCTCATCAACTGCAGACTACTTGAAATTACAATGGTCATATAAATGATAATAACATACTTTAATGTTTGAGGGGTAGTAGAGAAGAGATACTATAAAATTGACACATCCAAAATGAGAGGTTAATCACGCAAACTATACAGACAAACAGAAGGTGTATCAATGCTATCAACAATATCTCCTCACATTGCAGACACCTTTATGAACAGCTGAGAAAATGGCTTCCTTAATACATTTAAACCTACTCCAAAAATATAGTGGAGATATGTGGATGACACTTTCACAGTGTTAAAAAACAGAACATCTCTAGCTTCTTGACGCATATAAACTCACTAGCAGAGAGGAATAAAATTCACATTTAAAGCGGAAAATTAACGATTAGAATTAGCTATGGTAGGCTGTAAAATAAAACGAATAGAAGGCAAACTACACACTAGTGTTTATAGAAAACCAACGCATTGTAATAGATATTTGGACTTTAATTCATCTCATCCGTCTTCTGGAAAGGCTGGCTTAGTTAAATGTCTAACGAACCGAGCAATAACACGAAATAGTATATAAAAAGACCTAAATGATGATATAAAACAGATAGAAGAGGCGTTGGTGTTAAATAACTAACTATCCTATAAAATACATCGAAAAAGGCCAAAAGCAAAATACAAATAATTGTGAAACTAGTAATGATAACATAAATAAGAGGGAATGCAAGGCATCTACTGTCATACCATATAAGTTGGAGATATCTGAGACCCTACGTAGTAGGATTCTTAATAAAGCAGTAATTGGAGTGGTGGCATTCAAACCTGAAAACCCACTCACTCACGGACAAGCTCTGTCGGTTGATCCAAGCAAACGAAATAATATAATTTACAAAATGCCTTGCAATGACTGTGAGTGGGGTCAACTACATAGATCAAACTAGTAGGTCGGGAGTAGTCAGAGTAGTCAGCTAAGGCTAGAATGGTTGACCCCACGAAGATTAGTAATTTAGGAAAAAGCTCAGAAATCACACTGCATGCACTAACACACAATCACACAGTAGGATGGGAGAGACTTAAAATTCTAAGGAGTAATAAAGGTATGTGGAGGTAGAGAGAGATTAATTACTGAATCCTTGTTCATCGAGCCTACACCCAACTATTGCCATATAAATGACTCATCATTCATACCAGAAATATGGAGATGAGAGATAACAAAATCATATAAACGAAGTTGTAAAGTTGTATGAGTACCTTGATATGATTATGAACAGCAATCAATTGTGCTCCAAAAACGTGGTCATCAGTAAATATTACTGTATAACACTACTGTAAGACTTTATCAAAATAAATTTTATCCTCAATGGAAGTAAAACAACGCTGTCTAGATAAGTGAGTGGAATGACGTCTTTCGAATTTCTTCTGTTGACAGTGACCGCTGCTTCTTGCTGTTAGTTGTTTGGTTGGTTAGAAATCTCCATTATCTCCGTCCTCTCTATGCTTATTCAATATAATAATTTGGATTTAATTAACATCAGGATGAATTATTTTGCAGAGCTGATATCATCTAGAATAAAGCCATCAAAAATTAGGTATACAACTATGTGATTTCTTTTTTATTCCTTTACGATCCCAGTGGAACATAGGGCTGCTCCAAGCTAGAGGCTAGAAGTTTCTGTAGCAGTATTGATTATATTTTCAGGATGGGGTTGCTAGCCGCCTCCTACCCAACCTTCCCTCTTCACTAGTCTTATTTCTGGCTTAGCGAGGTAAGGGAGTGCGTCGGCAACAGGGGTATTGAACCCTAGACCGCATGCGTGGTTGGCGAGCGCCGTACCGCTGTGTCACCGACGCACACAACTGTACGATTCTTCCATCCTAATTTGACAAGCTACACTATTGTAAAACTAAAACTCTACAAGGTTTAACTTTCAGGATTTGAAGGTTTTATACAAGCATACCGGTACACAACAATTAAATCGGTATCATTTGACTCACACATCAGTTGTGCAATGTACTGTAAGCTTATTATTTTAGTTGAATAGATGAAAATACTGGAATTTAGGAAGCAGACTGACTGAAACTCTCATAATTGATTAACCTTACTAGAATGTCTCATCTTTCGAGATTCAGTAGCAGAGTCAAAGGATGCAACGATAAGAAAATCAGAACAACAGCATGAAAAGTAATACCTTTGGAAGAGATAAAACTGACCTTTAGATTTACCAGGTTGCATTTCATAGTACTGTTTGTCTCAATTTAATCACTTCCTAATATCATCCTACTGCCTAATCTATGATTCTATATCGTCAGTTAATGTTGTAATGGGATAATTATTTTAGAAAAATTCCCTCCCGAATGATCTGTTTCCAGCTTTGATGCTTATTTGGATGCTTCAGCTAACTTTGTAATTATTCCTCTCTTTTCTTTTAGATTGTATATCATCATTCTAAAATTTGTATATCACCTACTTAATCCGCAGTTTGAATGCTTTTCTTTCTGATTGTATGACAAGGTTGATGTGGTCTTGTTGTTTTACAGCTGTGATTCTGTTAGAATGAAATCATGGTTTATTGTGGAGCTGCTGATCTTAAACTGTCTGCGAGAAGCATTTGGTGCATGTTTCTTGCTGGCGGAGTTTTGATCCTACCTTGTTTGATGAAATATTCTTATTAATTCTTAGGTACTTCGTACGGTTGATTTTGGTTGAATAGTTTTGATTGGACACTAGTAAACAGTATGATGTGTCTAATCCTTTCTTTGATGCAAACTGAATTCTATCAGTCAAGCTTGCAATGTGACCACTGTGCCACTAGGTGGCTCGCCATCACGCTACACTTTGAATTGTTGATGTTAGACGGTTGAAGGCAATAGGCAGGAAGCCTTGGACCTAGATTTTGTGCTAGTTAGCACTCGTCAGTGAGGTGTATCTGCAGCTTTAAAGGAACTCATGTCCCTCCTGGGATTTGAACCCGCGTCACCCACTGCTGCAGACCTGACTGATAGAATTCAGTCCGTATCATATAAAGAGTTAGACACATCACACTGGTCACTAGTGTCCAATCAAAGTACTCAGTACAGTCCTACAGGAGGCCAATCGTGAGCCCGAATAGCTCAGTGGCAATGTCTCTGACTGCAGCATTGGGTGACGTATGTTAGAACCTCAGGAGGGACATGAGTTCCTTTGAGGTTGCAGATACGCCTTGCTGACTGATGAGTGCCAAGTAGCACGAAACCTAGGTCCTGTCACGGCTTCCTGTGGCCGATTGCCTCTAACCATCTAAAATTTGGGTTAACTATACAGTAGAAGGCGAGGATTTGCTTTCAGAGTTCAGACTACAAGCTTTCGAGTTTGCTTGTTGCAATTAAGGATAAACGACAAAATTCTCTGTTATTTGTTGACTGTGTTTCTTTCAGTTAATAAGGATTTGCTATAAGGAGCCGAAATGAGAAAAACCTTTAATATCTTGAACTGACAAACTGTGATTTCTACTGTACTACCGCAAAAGCTGTTAAGTTGTAAAAACTTAGATTGTAAATTAAGATGGAAAATATTAGTAGACCAGCATAGCGAATTTAATTTTTTGATTATGACTGGGTGACTACTACTTGGAACAGATTTTTCCCGTACTATGCTAATATGAGCCATACTTGTTGTCGATACTACCCACTTAATTAGACTCAAATAGGTAGAGTGAATTTTAAGCTACAACTCATCAGCTGAAAACCAAGTCCATACATAATCCAATAAACTGCATTTCCACTGTCATTGAAAAGTCAAAAAAGAATCACATAAGAGATGGGACATACTTTTTAAATTTCAATATTAATCTTAAAAAGAAGTAAATCCACTAGAATCCCCTCCTGGTGCCTCTTTACTTAAATGTTGCTGAATAAATATAAATACGTCAGTTTAATTAAGAATTCTTTCTTTTGTAACTACACTTAATTTTTAGATGAAAAGTTAGTTACGTATATCTAGTAACAGATAACTAAAGATGGATTAAATTCATTAGTACCTTAAGACCATTTAAAAACCTGGTTTTCGGTTCAATGGAAAGAAAATCACTACCCATTTTAAAACCAATAATGTTTCGTTAGTGCATACGCACGCACTTATTACCTCATTATCTTTTAATTCATATTTTTTTATTCTCTTATCATATCATTACATCCTTGTCTAGTCGTCCTACACCTATTTAAGCTGAAAAACTCTCTACTGCTATTGAACAAATACTCAGGTGTCTGAAAAGTGTTTTTATCCGCATTTCAAACAGTTTAAGGTCACAGCTTTAAACAGTTCCTTAACTGCCGACTTGTTTTACACAAATAAGAGCTTATCAGAGCAAAGATTTATAAGCCTCTATAACCTTTTGAAAATAATTCATTTCTGGATATTGTCTGGTGGTAGATAAAGGCTAAATAGTTGTGACTAATAACTTTTATCTTCTGAGACACTTCAAATCCTAAGAAACCCAGATCTGAGTCACTTATCACTCTACAAAAGGCTTTTTGAATAATTTACACTATGTAATTGTTGAAACACAATAAAAATGAAAAGCTGGCTTGAAAAGGAGTTATAATTTGATTTGCCGTCAGTTATAGAAGGGCAGTGGTGGGAAACTAGGCTTCTGGTCACTAATCAAAATGAAGACACTACGATAACTAGTCCACTTGGTGACCTACTGGCAGATTTAAATTTTTCCCCTTTATAGGGTTTTTAAACTAAGTCAAAAATTTTAATTTAACGTCAAAGAACCCATGGTGCTTATCCTACTTCTTTTATACTGAAATTAAAGTTTTCATAGAGAAACATCCGTTTGTGGTATTTTCATGCCATTCATCAATTTAATTAACTCAAATGACAACACAGACACAAGAGTTTAAAATGAATTCTCCAGTCAGTAAGAAGTTTAGTTATCAGTAACATTAAGTAGGACCAAAATTGCTAATAAATATTCATACCGAATCACAAATAACACAAAAAATACCATCATACGTTAACGAAACTACATCAATAAAAGCAAACCTTAAGTGATTTACAAATATCATTTTCGTTATGTAAGAAATAGCAAGATGAAAAAGCATACATCGTACTTACCCTCCTTTTCTGTGGACAAATTTGTGGGCTTGTCAAATAATGCCATCGACGCATGTGTCCAGAACAAAATGTTGAGGTAACCACCAGTATCTCCCCAAGCTAATAATGCTTCATTCGGGTTTTCAGGTTTATGCCTTAAATTAAACAGTAAATATATTTCTCTTACCAATGATCTAGACAGAGAGGTGTGTGACTGATGCCGCAAAGTTTTATAGGACAAAATAAGTCCATTTTTACACTTAAGTTACAGAATGCTTAAAAACAGATACCTCTCCAAGAAATATGTACCAACCTATCTCCTTGCTTGTGAAGGCTACAGCAACTTTGTTGATATTTGGCATCACAACAAAATCTGTTACAAAGATGTCTCTTGGCCTACATGATTCAGTCGAAACTTTAGCTATGCCATGTGGTTTCAGGTCTATCCCCCAAAGAGCAGCAAGTCCTTCCTTTTGAAAAATCATGGTTAGATATACAAACTTGAAATTCACTCACCCTGCTGATTGACAGATATCGTGACATGTTCCTTAAAAATACGATTTTCTGAATATTGTCTTTGTGGGGGCTTAAAAGTTATAAAATAAAGGAATTTAAAACCTTTTGATTGACTTCATATCTCTCCATTGAGGTATGCTTAGAGTCTTCTGTCTGTCATCTCTTTCATAAAATTCAAGTAATAGATGAGATGCAAATTTGTCCCAGTCAACAAAACCATCTGAAGTTATATCAATTTTGTCAAACAAATCCTTGTACTTAATGGAAATAAAAGAGAGAATTTCAGTCTACCTCTTGGCGTGAGCCACGACTTAGCAGCAAACTCATAGCTTCAACGAATTGCTCCTTTGTCAGTCTTATTTTATTGTCATAACCGTGTCCTTTTAACTTCATGTGTAGATAGACATCACATAATAACTTACAGAAAATGCCTCGTAAATAGCTTGTAAGTCACGAACATTAAGCTTTGATTCAATCTTCTGATCAGTAGCACTGACAAATTATACATTTATACTATATGTATACCTTGTTGTGTGGGATTCTTTGGATCCTTTAGTGATCACACTTGCCATGTTCTCATGAAAATTTAAATTCGTGCAATTTACAAGTTGGCATGTTTACACTGATCAGAAAAAAATTCAGCGTTGAAGTCGTCCAATGCCTATTAACAATCCATATAATTTATTTTCTTTCTTAGAGCTCACCAACTTTTCATACAAGTAATTATTAAACCTAATTGTTAGCTTATCTTTTAATACTTCTTTGATATCAAATAAGAGGTGGTTAAAAATAAATTGCAAACAACTATCCTGTGATCCAAATGGAAACCACTGTGTAGCTCACATTATCTCCGTAGTGATCTCGTAGAAATTTTTAATTGAATGGAGTTCTTCTTAGCCGATGCGAGATATTTTCGGATTTCAGTCCAGGAGGTCTATCTCCTTGCCTTTGTAGCGATTACAATGCACAGTGTTAATGGATTTCAGTTTATTCGCATTCACTATCAAGTCTGTCCGAGGATATTGTAGCTTATTAGGGGTGTTACAGTTTTTCACCAGCCACCGACTCATCTCAGTTGGAAATCTATAAGCAAAAGTATAAAGTAAGGGAACAGCAGTTAATGCGAGAAAATGAGATGGATAAAGAGAATACAATAGAAAAATGCATTGGATTTGCAATAGATCGGAGAACCAAAACGCAGAGAAAATCAACGGTTGCGGGTATTAGAGGGGTCACCGTAGAGCTAACACAATTCGCCGAAGTGAGGCTGCCCCATCCCGATGCATGCATGCAGACAATGTGACATTGAGGAACCACTTGTTTTTCCTAGAAATTTTCCGGTAAATGGACGATTTCCACGTGCAGTATAAATATCCAACAAAGGTCATCAAAGGAAATGCCGAAAGTAGTACGATAGCATACTAAATGGCGAATATACACAAGAGTCTGTTAGCGTTCACAAGGCTTCACCATCGAAATGAACATTGGGAATTAGGAAGGAACACATAAATCCCTTCACAAGCTAAACAATTTTGCTTATTTTACAAAGGCTAGCCTCTTGGCCCACTGCGTACTCCAGCTAGCAAAGTAAATTTGTGATATTGAGGTGAAATAGGCTACGTAACGTATTAAACTCATGTTGGTAATTTTCGATTGCAATAGGTTGCATGCTAGTTGTGTATACTCTAGAAAAATAACTTCCATACATAGACCGTTTTATTTTCTACAATCAGAAATGTTGATGATAACTCAGGATCTCTCTTCTCTGGTGAAAATTCCGTCTGGGTCCATATCTATGATGCCATTTATAATTGTAAATGCAGAATAAAGGCAGAAATACTTGTGAAACGCATTGGACACTACCAACAGCATACTGTGATAAATAACTCCGGTGTCTTGAAAATATACCAAACTTAAAAATGAAACATTAAACTTCCTTCTTCCACCCGAGAATGTTACTTGCCCATCCTAAGCTTCTCAAGTGTTAACAGTCACAACTATCCATTGATCTATGGGTGCTCTGTATTCTCATTTGTTGGTGCACAAGTGATGACAGTTTGCAGGTATCATAAATATGGTAAATATTATGTATATGGTGTAAGCAAACTTAGATCTATTGGATTACATAAGATGTGCTCTTGAAGCAAACTGTCGTTGCACTTCCTCCAATTTAAGCTTGTCATTCTGTCAGAGTCCGCCAAGAATAAACTGACACTTTTCTAAAATAGGTAGAATATATGCTTTTTATAATAAAACTTTGTTTCGCAGCGAGTGAAAATGTGAGTAATGCAGCTTAGAGGCTCGTGTGTTTTACGTCTTTTATGATTAGCCTTTACAGAGAACATTAAATTACTAGAGTATTTGATACCAAGATCTGCGACTTAGTTGAGTTTCGCTGGTTTTTACCCGTTTATTTCCAGTGCCAGGTCAAGATTACTGTCGCTGATGTAAATCCAGCCTCATCTGTCAGTGTTGACCAACAAGCAGGTTTCAGCACGATTAGTTTTACTCTGTGAAGGCCTGTCTTCTAGAAGAGCATTTGAACACTATGTAATGTTCTTCGGTTGTCACGGAGAGAATAACTTTGGTTTTGACTTCTCAAGGAAGTGTCTTATGACCATTTTGGTCTTCCACTAATTAAAGTGTCCAGCTAGCGAGGGCAGCTGTTCATAAAAACCCGAAGTGTGTGTTCAAAGTGCTTTTGGTGGTGGCATCGAAGAGTTGGCTCGCCTTACAAGCGACAAAAATCTGGATATCATTACTTGTGAAGAATGCAGCAGATTTGCACACCTATTTCAGAACAGTGAAAGCATATCCTGTTTTCAGATCCTTCTATGGACATCCTCATTCGTGCTGCCGAAATAAGTAAAAGAATTGGTGCAGTCCGAATTTCTCCCGTTAATAGTGACTGTCATGATCACCTGAAGTCCAGTATTCGCTGATTACTCCACCAGATTGTTTATTTCTTGCCTGTAGGTCTTTCACTTTTGTCACATTAGATAAGCTGTCTCCATAGTTCGAAGCTCCTACAGTCTTCCTGCTATTTTATGCCCTGTTCGATTATGGTGCCTTGGGATGAGATCAGATCCTCATATGATCAGTCTTCACTTAATCCAGCTTCTTCCGGGTGAAGTTTGGCATCCGAATCATCTTTTGGTGTCTCCAAGAAGATGCTGCCTAACATTTTGGGTTCTCAAAAGATTAAGTCACCCTTCTTTAGCAATTAGTAAAGGTACCCTTGTGGAGCTATTTAAACACAGATTTCTATAGCCACCCACATGAAGTGAGTAACTGGGAAGCTCAGAAGGATAGAACTGGTAAACAAGTTGGAACTATATCTGCTAAATGATTTGTGGGGGCTTATTCTTTGTGTGTGGGTTTTTTCCCGCTTCGCTCGTCCTCTGCCGCGCCCCCGAAAATAAGGTTTACAATATTACGAGTCGTCTGCTGATAAATCGAACAATTATTCTGACGGAAAAGTGAGTTTCTGAAGCGTTTCTTCTGATCAATAGGTATCTCTCCTTCCTTCAAAAATGTCTGCATTAGAAGCTCAAGGTCTGTGAATCTGTTTTCATTGGCTTTATCGTATGTCCTTGCTTACTTTAGCCTCGTAGTCCATATCTGTTTTGGTTTAATAGCAACAGCTCTATCTTTTATATACCTTTCAAGTGAAATTTTGCAATAAGAACTGTTCCTGACATGCATACCATCAGCTTTTTGATGTAGCTGAACTGCATTACATTTGCTGCTCCCGTATCAGGAAATGTCGCTTGACATTGAAACCCGCACATTATGATGAATTAAATAAGTAAGTTGGAAAGTTTAAAGTGTATTATTGAATTTTCATGAAACTATGCCAGTTTATGTGGCCCGTTTGGTGAAATGTTAGTCGTTTAGTGGTTGCTGGCACTCGTAACACAATACCAGAATTAATTTCACTTTTCAGTCACTCATCACAGTCTGATTTTCATTTCAAGGCACAAAGCATTAGCATAATACGTAGCATTGCTTTGAATTAAAGTTAAATTGTTTTTCAAGTCACTTTTACTTTGGGGAAAGATTTAATTGCCATGATTTTCCGATTTCATATACACAATTTAGAATAATACATGGAAGAAGGTTATTGTCTCAGTTGAAATAAAGAAGAGTTGTTCAAAAGGCAAGCGAGACTTTATCTCTCAGTTTTTTCTTTCATCAAGTTGCACTCATCTGCACATAAAGCAAGAGATTACGAGTACCTTCCTTCCCTTTTCAACATGAGAAAGTTAATAACACGGGATTTATTTCACAAGATTCTCTATATTTATCTCAGCAGAGGCCAGTTGGAGTTTTTCCGCTTCAGCGTTATATGAGCGAAGTTGTGGAAAATATACGCCCTCATAGTAATGCATTCGGTATGGAGACATTGTAGTGAAGTCAAAAGGGCGTATGTTTTACTAAATTTTGTACACCTTATATGTAGATTTGATGTTCTTAAATTGGCCATTTAGCAATTTCAGAATGCTGAAGTCACGCCAAAAATATAACGCGAAATTCCGAAAATTTTTATTTTTATTGGCAGAAGCTAGCGTTTTACTTAGTCTGCATAATCACGATACCCATTTTTTACTTTAGCGAGCAAACAATAACTAGGCTTTTTGAAAAATTAGTACGTCAGCTTGTGGACTTCATGAATTCTACAGACTGCCTTCTATTCATTTATTACTGAATTCTTGATCGTGCCTGTAAAAATGGCA